TAAACAGAATTTTACCAAGGTTTTGCCATCGCTTGAGTCACCAAATTTTCTGAATCTTATTCCTGCAAAGGACTATGTTTGAGTCACAGCGAATCACAACTGGAATAGTTTACATTAGGTAACCCCTCCTCCAAAAAAAAGTAACACAAATAGTGTATGAATGCATAACGTGCAGAGCACAAGAACATAATCACCATCATGATCACAGACTTTACATTTCAAATACAGATTTAGAAAATTCCAAGTATTCCCTTACCTTCCAAGGAAGGACTGCAAGTATCAAATCTCCGCCAAAAAAAGTGAATATAATGTGTGAACCAATGCTAACTCTGACGACACTATGACTAAAAATTCTGACTAAGTAAAATTAACAGCCACAAGGAAACTGCAGGGCAACACTCCCCTAAAAAACCTTACACAATCGCTCAATACCGATGGGTGTTCCCTTTCACAATTCTTTCTGATATGTTTTTTTTTAATGACCTTGTTTTTGAAGTAACTCAAGCGTGGCGGCCCGTCTGTAACCACTGGCATGTCTACGTGGTACACAGATTCACGACAAAAGGTAGAAATTGCCCATTTACCGGGAGTAAACATTTCAGGGTTACATGAGTACTGTACATGTATGTACATGTGTGTACAATTCTACATGCAGTTAGTGAGACCACTGGACCATAGTCAGACAATTTAAATTTGACAGTGGAGGAAGAAGATGACAGTATGGAATCAATGCTGTAAGCATGCAAGGCCAGGATATTCATGAATTCATTTATCATTTCAAGGATTCTCAAAATGTACAATCACTGTACCTCAAAAGTCAGGGGAACCCTACCGAGAGAAGTGTCGACGATGTGTGTCATTTTCAGACACGGGATTGAATGTGTATTTTGCAAAACCTAATTGAAAACCAAGGAAAAATATGGAGTAATCCACTGGAAACCGACAGAATCAAGTACTGCACCCACATAACTCTACTTAAACAACAAAGGTTCGAATTCAGACCACAAATTGGGCTTAAATATTTCTTCCCATTACAATCTTCAAGCTGTGTGGTTCACGTTACGGGACATCAACAATACAGTAATTCATCAACCCATTGCAGTACATGAAAAACACGGACGCATACATTATGTATGGAGACAGATACTGAAGGATGACCAACTGTACGTACCGGTATGTTTAGACTTTACCTGCATAATATGACCTTCTTGACTTATGGATTGATACTAATCAATACTATTGACAGTAATAATAATGCATTACACAGTATGTACACTTTACACAGATGTCTAATAGCAAATAAAACTTGTTAACATAGTGTACATGTACACAATGGGCAGATATATTGGTTGATATTTGCAGTGGAAAAAAATAGTGGCAATGCACTGATTCAGTTCTCAAACGTTTGACAGAATAAAATCCGGAAATGCATGCATTATCACTTCTCTGGGTAAAATTTTCCTAAATCTAGGTAATACTATGCAAGATGTACAGAACTACAGATACAATCCACTTGCATCAAATGAATACATCTCCACTCCAAAAAAACAACATTTATTTCATTCAAAACAAAAGTGGCTGGGGTGGGCTTGAGGTTGGGTAGGTTAGGGGGAATGGAATGGGGTGGAATGGAGGGGTTTCACTGTAAAATGGGGCAAGGGTGAGTTGTGATCAGGGTATGGAGGGATCGGGATAGGGGTAACTTTTAGTCTATAAACTGTAGTACATGTACTGCGATTAATTTCACGTTTTCATAATGTACTTGTATGGTTTGCATTCAAGATGTACATGTACTCTCCATGCTATTTTGGGATTTCACCCTGAAAAACTGAAAAAGGCCTGGATGAGACATCGAACAAGACATACGCTGACATTTAATACACCCACACAATAATTCAGGCGTATCGTTTGCACAAAGGCAACCCAAAATGAAAGGGTGGAAAGATTTCCATATAAGAATTTCACTCAACACCCTGTGTACAAACCCTATGAGAGTGGACTGAAAAATTCTAAGTGTTTTCTAAGAAAATGCTTGTATTTTCTCACTGCTCAAATTGACTTTGATGGCATGAAATTGCTATCTGGGGGCTTGTTAGTCAATACAGAGGAAATTTAGTGAACTTCTTATATGGAAATCTTTCCGAAAGGGTTACTAGGGGGTTGTACCGGTAGTTTTGTACACGCACAGAATAGAGAAATACATGTAGTTTGGGGAATTTTGGAGTTAAAATAAAACAGGGAAATTGAAAATTTGTAAGGAGAAAACAAATAGTTAGCTGAAGGGAAAGTATACTTGTATCATTTATTAACCCTCATGCTATATCTGAACAGTCACAGACAGTCAAAAAATCAATCCTCTTCCCCTGCCATGCCTTTTACAGAGGCTAGTCACCAACAGTCAGATCATATTTCAAGCAAACACTGTGACTAGTCAAATTCAGTCAACAGACAACAGCAGGCAAGAAGAAGGCACAGCTAGCTTATCAATCACTACAGTAAAAGCATAGCTGTATCACGTTACATTTACAGTCACAGCCAGTCAATCCTGCTTTATGTCGGCTGGGAGCTCCTAACTGTTGAAAACAGTCACTTGATTGATTTTGACTGAAAGGACAACTTGGCACAGAATGTATTTGTTTGCATAGGAGGGTTAAGGCAATGAATTTTAAAGCACACTCATAGAAAAAGACACAGTTCAATAGGGTATTGTAATTAATTCAAGTCACTACTGCACACCGTAAACAATAGCTGTCAGCTTTTAATTAAAAACTTCCATTGTAAATATTTTACGATCCCATTGTAACCATGCAGGCAGGGCCTTGTATCGTCTCCGTTATGACGGCAGGGTTAATTAATTGAGGGAGCCATCGTAGAGGGGACACTAGGTCATCCTTCATCGATGTTCCCAGTGACGTTAATGGGTAGTAGCTGCGACACGAAAGGTCTACGCGACACACACTAGGGTCGTAGGCACCGTCATATCGGCTGTCCCAACACCATAGTGAATTGCTTGCTGGGGGTTCGCATAATTAGTAAGAGCCACCAGATAGATACATCATACATGTACACATGAGATGGATACGCACAGCTAAATTGCCTTGCTACGATGAGTGCAGTGTCCGCTCGGTGCAGGCGTGATAATAAATCAGTCCAACTGTTAACTGTTCGTAGAACAAGGGAAGAGTTGAAACTTTTCAGTGAGACAATTGTGGCAATTTTCTTTTTTTCATGAGCTTCATACATAAAGGAGACTGATTTTTCTGAACATAAATTGACTTTACTATGTTGACATGTTATAAACTCTTGCCCCCCCCCCCCATTTTTTAAGACTGGGCTGTTATAGCTTTTTCGTATTCATTTCTTTTGCTTATTAATTTCAAATGCAGCACCACAGTTTATGAGGATAACAAAATATAGATGACACAATTGTATAATCAGCCATTGAAATAAAAGGTTTTGGCGGAATGTATTATTGTCAGAATCAGTGGATTTTGGTTTATAGTAGATATTTGCAATTTTTCATACAACACAATATAATTTTTTAATTTCAACAGTAATTTTGGAAATTGTGCATTTATTTGCCCTTTTCCAGTATTGTACCCGTTATGTTCACTCTGCATGAAGGCAATGCATTAGGTAGACTCGTTTGAGGATAACATCACATAACGAGGTCGAACTCAGTTCAACAGGAACGGCACGTACTAGGCGTATTAGTGTCATAAGACGTCTTTTACCATCCGTGTCCAATGCAAAACACAAGTGCCGTGTGTCCATGTGAGGACAGGTTATTTAAGGAAAAAAATTAGTCAGAAAACGGGGCTACCAGGTCAAGTATTCTAATGCTCGTTCAATTTCTTAAACTTAACTAAAGACTTCGTTTTTGTAAATTTCCATACATATACATGTATGTACGAAAAACCACCAACCCTCATATATATTTGTAAGTATACAATGTACGTGGGTGCAGACGTCCAGGATTTTTTTACACAATTGGCTTATCTAGCTCCCAGACCTATGTTCTTGAAACTCAATGGTTCTCGAGTCTGGAGTGCTGAATGGTAACACATAGCAACCGATGAAAACTGGTGTGCAAATGAATATGTTTTCATCGGATGACGTCAGCCCGCCTGCCCCCACCAATCCATCAGTTACAGCATTGTTACAGGAAGTACATGTTTGTAAACCACATATATCGGTTACTCAAATCCCAAGTTCAACATAAAAGGAAATTCTAATCAATGAAAATGGGACGGGAAGGGAAGAAAGCAATTAAATGAGAGATGTGCAAATTTCCGTCCTAGGAAAATTTTTACAGTTTGTCTACATTAAACATTGCATGGTACATGGTGTTTTTTTTTTTTTTTTTTAAGTATTAGGCACTAGCAGGAAAATAATTAAATTGCTCTCTTTTAGTTAAGGCCGATCGAGTTTAAAAAACAAATTCTCGTCTTTTTTTTTTTCAATGGAGACAGCCCCCAATTTTTCGCAAAGATGGCAGATTTTCCAAGATGGCGGTTGGATTTTTTCATTTTATCAACTCTTTTGACGATACAAGATTATGTCCGAAAGGAGCTGTCACCCTTTCTTCATAGAGCTACAGTTTTTTTTGGAAACAACTAGAAAGACAATACTTTGAACATACATTGTAATTCACAAAATATAGGCCTATTGCATATTGTATGAATTAAGTTGTTTTTTTAAATTGAATTTAATTTAAAAAAAACCACACAAGTGGGAAAATGGAAGCGGGTGGTGACGAGAAACTGGTTAAATTTGTTACTTGGCCTGATCATCAGGGATACAAGTTGGACACTTTCCTTCGTATTCCAACATTTTTTCGACAAATTTACAGGCGCATAATATTACCTAATTTAAGTCTTTTAAATTTAAAACACTGCATAAACATGATAAAAGTTAAAACTGTGCACAAAATAAACAAGTGCGAACATCAAACAAATGTCATCAAAATGAATGGGCAGTATCCGTCTGCATATACTCACCACAAGAGTAAAAGTTGCTACAATTTCAGAAGGTAATCTTGATTTCTTTGGTAGACTTCCGTCGATCTACAACAGTCTTACCACCCGCTGAATCTGATTTACAAGAAGACAGATTGCGCGAGTGTACGGCAAAATACAAATGGGATGGGCTGCCGACCACCTGTGCGATTTTGTGCACAAAAACCTCGCCTTAGACTTACAAGCAGCTGAAGTATTCAACAAATTCGCTGTAGGAATTCCACTGCACCCTGATCTCTGTCATAAAGAGAGATCGATGGTGTTGATAAGCTGTAATAGTGTGACTATTTCAGGGCAGGGCCTTCGCAAATCCGCCGGTCGTACGAAGCGCGCGTGCATATATGGACGGACCAGCCCATAAACCCTTGGGATCAAATGAGGGCGCTATGACGAATTTCAGCTGCGTGAAGTTTCATAATATTTTTGCGAATGGGGAAGTGTTCTACACTAGGGTTGGAAGACCATTATTTTGACTTAATCAAAATTGAAAGAGAATTTATTTATTTAGTAAATGGACCGTCAATACCACCAGGAAAAACTACTTTTATAAGCACTTAGGCTTGGCCCGAGTCTGTAATTTCTCAATGGTGAAGAAAATTGTTTTAGGGTTGAAGCATTTCACCTTTAAAACGTACATTCCCTACATCCCAACTCCTTCCAAAACCCAGGAAAAATACCATAATGCACTGAAAATCCAACACGCACAAAATTTAACGCACATAAAACACTGGATAAACGTTTGGTATTGCACAGTGTGTACTGTCTTGCAAACCTTTTATTTTAATTCATTACACATTATCAGATGTTTAAAATGCATGTGCCCATCAGGAGCACAGTTGCTGTTAAAATAAGGCACTAAATCTTGCTTACAATAATGCAAACAAAAAAGTCAAATACTATCATATTTTTACAAGGAGAAAGTCATGGAATCTACGTTAAAAAAAATAGAAAAATAGAGAAGCTGCCAATATCCTGAGGATTTCTTTAAACAAATTTTACAATTATATTATTTTTTTTTTCCTACCTATATTGTATTTACATGTAAGGAATGTAGCTATAGAAAAAAACATTGATAATTCTATGGGCCAAATTTCATGACGCTATTAAGTTTCTACTTACAGACTCCATGTCAACTTCATGGAGTCTCTAAGCAGTAAACACAGCAAGGAGCATGATCAACTCTTGTCAAAGACTGAGTTTGCTTAAAATAATGATGCGGTGACAGTAATCTCTATGCTCGCCCAAACATTACCCCACCTTTGCTAAAACACATGTAAAGTTAGCATAACTTTTCTTCTTATTTGGTAAGCAGCGTAATGGACTTGGCTCCTAGTCACAGTGAACTTGACCCAATTATGCTGAGCAAAAAATTTAGCTAAGTACCAGTCACAGGCAATATAAATTGCATGACATTTTGGCCGGTGACCTGCTCTTACTGAGCAAATATTTTTTTTGAGCTTACCAAATTACTATGCTGATTAGCACCATAAAATCGGCCCGTGGTAAAAAATAATATCATCCCTATAAACCGTCTGGTAGCACATCGCGCTTTGTAAAGAGCTTATCCAGTTCCTTCTCAAGATCTGCGTTGGTTCCCCTGATCCCGTTGATGACTTTGGCCGACCACTCAAAGTAGGTCTGGACGCGCTTCTTGGTCCACCCCTCCGGAGTGCTCTTCTCCAGGTCACGCAGGTTGTACAGTTTGTCAGCAAGCTTGACCAGCTTGGCCTTGGGGCAGATGAACGGCGAATGGGTGACCTGAAGGTCCTTGCGCTTCTGCCAGTGAAGGGTCTTGTCGTCCGTGACGTCCGCGACGATGTCCCGGACCTCTTTGCCAAAGTGCTCTTCAATCTCCTCAAAGGTGGTGTCGGTGTCCTCCACCGTGTCGTGAAGGACGGCAGCCTGTGAAATGAGGGTCCAAAGATTAACCTGTTAGTTCTTGTGCTGCTCCAAACCACCCTGCTTATGGAGTACCAAAGTGTGACGTCATTTAGAACCAGAAACTGTAGTGCGAACGAACGGAGTACGTGCGTGTTGGTTCTCGGTCTGAATCACGCGCTAATGTCTTTCAAACACATTTTGTGCGTGTGACGTATTAACTTCGGTACTCCATTACTCCCTACTTTGTATGTGGTACTTGATAGGTTTTTCTCCATACGACTCTGCAGGGAAGTTTTAACAGGAGGTGGGAAGTCGTTAGGGAATAAATACATGTACAATGTAATACAATATAGCACAGATGCTTGGAAAAAAATACACCCCCCAAAAAAAACCCCCACAAAACAAACAAACATACAACAAACAAAGTGATGGTGATACCAAGTTTTACAACAAGACAGCAATTCTTTCTTTACTTTTTTGGTTGTGTTTGTGTTTCTTTATCACTTCACACAAGACAAACTAAACAATACCTGCAAGGTTGCAAGGTCAGAAATCCCTCCTTCCTTTGCCAAGATTCTCGCCACACCTGAAAAAAAAAAAATGGAACGACCCAATCAGTCAACACATAATTACTAGGCCCTGCATTTATGCAGGAATATAGCTCCAGTCCATGATTAAACATTGCGACACTCAATCAATGCAGATATTTGAAAGAAACTCAATGACGTCCTAAAATCGGAAAACATTGGACAGCATTGTTATTAATAATATGGTAACTTTTTAATAAAAGAAAAAGTAGGGGTTGCTACTCCATGCAGTTTGACAGGTGAAAGTCTTGTGAAGGTCTAACGTTAATCTTACCGATAGGGTGGTTAATATACGGCGACTTTTCAGGATCTTTTCTCCTCTGTGTCGAATGCTTTATGGCAGCAAAGTTAACGCAGTCAATGAGTGACACCAACATACTTTCCTGTGACATTTTTTTACGATAAAAATGGCCTGCTTTTGCGAGGTAAACTTTTTCGCGACTCGGGCGCGGGAAGTGCTGCGTTGATAAAGACAATTGAGGGCGCTATTGCACGGCACTGTAAATTTTGAGTTCACGACTCTTTCTCAAATTTCGACTTCGTCTGATTCGGCTTCCTCCCTCACAAAACAATGCTATCTTTTTTTTTTAATAGACCTACTCCGTCCTTGAGTTGTGTCTCACATGATTTGATGTTTATTTCGATGAAAAGGGCCGTATTGCAACGGAATCTTCAAAATCAAGGGCCCGCGAGACAAGTCTTCTATTAGGAGCCATGACGCGAACCGGGCCAAAACAGGGCCGACGTTTGAGAAATGGCTATGCAGCTCAATCGAGATATTGAAAAATATCACTTAGATAGGAGTGACATTTGGCTTCAAATGCAACATTCCAAGTGTTGAACAGCATCTATGTCAAAAAAGTCAAGATCTATAAACTATATTTGAAGTGGCCGGGAGATTTTATTTCAAAAATATTTTACAGAAGTTCCTGGCAAAATATGCAAGCAATGCCTTCGGAATCTCTTGCAAACTGCCATCGAACTTTTCCAGTAAGGGTTTTCAGTACAGGGCCATTGATTAAAAAAATTAAAAAATTTGACGCCCATGAAAAAAGTAAATGGGTGTGGCTGGTACTTTTCATGTACCAATAAAATGTTTAAAAATTTTCGAAATCTATTGGGCCAAATAAAAGAAAAACATGTTTAGGGTCCCCGCCCACTTCCTTTTAGGAGGCCCCCTCTTTTTCTTTTCTTTTCTTTTCTTTTCTTACAAAAAAAACCACGAAAACATGATAAGTTTTAAACAGTGAAATCATTCTGGCCTCTTTGTCTGTTGCATCTAGCCCATATAAAGCTGGTATGTCATTCCCAAGTCCAAGTGGCGGCCATTTTATAAAAATTTTGGAAGGAAAAAAAGGGCCTCCTCTTTTCTTTTTCCAAAAATGCAGGATGCTTAACATGTTTTCTTTTTATTTGGCCTTACGCGTTCTTCTCTCTAGATAAACAATCAACACAAAAAAGCTCATTTTGTTACAATCTTTTTTTATTTATCCACATTTAAATGAAAAAAACACAAGTTAGCAATGCTTTAAAATGTTGCGAAAGTCTTGCGCAACGTTCCATTGTACTAGAACATGTCAATCTTAACTTCTTTAATCTTATGGCATCGAGTTCGTTTTGATCAAGTTTTGTAACAAGTTTTGTAATCTTTTCCAAATCCATTTGCACAAAGACTGGTTATCTTTTAAACAAATAAATGAGATATTCTTAACTCAACTTACGATCCCCAAAGCTTAGCACAAATACAATAAAGATATGCAAATATTATAGCTGTGCAGTGTAAATGCAACGCTTTAAACAATGGGTTTTTTACTCAATCCTGCCCTCGACAAGCGTTACAAGAAGATATTTTTTAAAAAGTTTGTGCAGTCAAGCTGAAAAATGTCAAAGAACCTCCGGGTGTTCAAACAAAATGCCCATATATCCCAAAAGAGTTCAGATTATTAATTAAGAATACAAAAATATTTTAAAGTTGATTCCACTAATTCCATTCATACTCGCATTTAACAATCTAAATAGAGTGGAGTTTTACGCGGTGAAAGCATCTCATCCGTTTTGAAAAAAAAGTGCAAAAATATATTTTAGACACCAATTAGGAAAAGTATTAAATTCCAATTAAAAACAAATTAAAACTTCAGCCATTCAGTTCTTAAGCCAAAAAATAAATAAAATAAAGCAAAATATTCTACCAACATAATTATGAATTTTCAAAAGAAAATGATTTTTTCCCTTGTTTATTCTTGAATACTTTCAGCTGAAACGAGCTGGGAGATCACAATTTGATTGTGGCGAAAAGTAAATTACTTCTTACAATTTTACACGTATGTATTTCCAAAAACTGTTTGCTTTCCTTTAAAAGGTCAGTTTAGGACTCACACAAATCAAAGAGCACTTAGTATGGATGCAAATTAAGTTCAGCTGTACACTATTATGTATATGGCATGCAGTGTACATGTACTTTATGTACAAGACTCTAATAAATAAAGAACTTTACAAAGGGCATAAAGTTTTCTAGTTCTCACTAGTGCCAGAAAATTACACTGAAAATGTTTTCCAAGCTTAGAAATGAGCTTCACCATGCATTAGCCTCAAACCCTCATGTTAACATATCACAAACCAGCAATCTTAAGCCAGTTAAAGTCTGCAGAGCTAAAATATTCTAAAAAGTGATGTTTTCCCCGAATTCACAAAATGTGAACCACCAAACAAAAGGAATTTTACAATACATTAGTCACATTATGTACAGCACTTTTTTACAAAAATTACAGCAAAACAGCCACACATTTAAACAATGTCCATCTGCCTGTTCAACAAGTTCAGTTTCAGAGTAAACGTGCACTTATATCATGACCAACAAGAACAATGTCAAAATCAATTTAAATCAGTGTCATTAGATTTCAAACTTTCTCACGGGTAACCCAACTCCTTCAAATTACAGGACCCAGTCCTAAGGCTGTAAATAGAAAAACATGTTACCTTCCTAAAGTTAAGAGGCACAGTTTGAATAAATAGAAAACTTGTCGACTTAGTTAAGGTTGTACAACTACATCCATGTAAATGTCATGTCTTCGTATTACTTGATATATGCTTTCATATTTTCCAGTCTAGAGAAATACACTGCATTCTTACAAGTGTTTTCTGTTGTAACACTTAATGTAATTTTAGTTTGGCACTTGCATCAACATTACTGTTTAGTTAGACTGTACATTTTGAGCTCTTTTTTTTTCTCCATTTATGCAACGTTTTCTCCTTTGTGATACAAAACCTAACTTTGTATCAACAACTGAAGGAACATGCCCTCAAATTCAGCGGACTTCCCCTCGGAAGGGCATTTGCGACTATGCAGAAATGCAATAAAAATATACCCGACAGCAGAAGCAGGCACAACCGGTTAAAATACTTCCACACGGGTCAAAGTTCAAATCCTGGCTAGGGACCTGGCTAGCTGCCTCGCATTGCGCCTTGTCATCACCCAACTGGAGAGTGATCGGAAAAGTACTGGGGCAACCCAACAATCAGCAGATCTGCACATGTTGACTTTTTGTATCAGAAATAACCATCGTGTGATAATTCAAAGATCGTTGCGAACACTTCAAACTCCACTTCTAGTTAAATTGGGAAACACGCCGATTAGCACGTGAAGATCTAGCACATGTACACAAACTGAAGCACAGTTAAACTTGCAATGAATTTGTTACAGCTTAATGCATAACTTAATTGACATTTTGAACAAATCATGGGATTTTGTTTTACACATTAAGCACCCTTTTTTGGTTGAAACATTTTAAGTTTTAAGATTGCAGTTTGTTAGCAACAAATAAAATGCCAACTGTATGGATGCCTGCAGAATACCTTGAAAGCGAGAGAGTATTTTGGTGGCAATAAAAAAGTATACAGCGCAATTTTCATGCATCTGATTTTTGGTTTGGTTTGTTAAGTTTTTGTCACACAGAACTGCATTTATAATATAAATCAGTAAAATGTTCCAAAAGTTGTGACCATTTCAATAATTTATAAAAAAAAAAGGATTTCTCCAAGTTTAAATACAGTTATGGAATGTGTCCCATGTTGCAGACTCGGACACCTATCTGGGGTTCAAATCACTGAAGACAACCAAATGCTCTGCAGAAGTCGACAAATCTCAGAGTAACTTTTAAACAGAAGCTGCTGATGAAGTGAATTGAAGGAATTAAAGCCTGAAATCCAGTCTTTGATAACACTTGCTGTATAGGCTTCCGAGTGACACAAGTCTCTGGGCAGGGCTGAAAGAGTCTGTCTGCCAGGCTTTCTACCGATGTCTGGCCGAGAAATTGAGCATAAAGTCTGTCAACTTGCTAACTTCCTGAACTGTTATGGCGTTATACAACGAGACGCGCATTCCTCCTACAGATCTGCATCAAGGAACAGAGAAAATAAAGGGAAAATATCAATCAAAACCGTCAAAGGAAGTCAACTACAATTGTAATACTTCAGTTTTGTCTAAAAACAATAAGCGAGACTAAAATTCAAAGTCCTAAACCACTTTCTATCAACATCACTGTACTTGTTTTCTCTTTTGTTATTATCACACTGCTTGTAAACATGAAAACCGGAAGTAAATACTAAAATAGTTGAGTTGCTTCGGAAATGTGAAATGATTATGAAATATATGATACAAAGAATCGAGATAATTGAGATAAACAGTCGGTAAAAGAAAATATTTCCCACAGTTGGAGATTCCAGAGGGTGATATCGCAAGATTTCTCACCCCCCCCCCCCCCAAAATAAAACAAGGTGTTCAAAACAACCTATGATAACAATATTTGGCGATCAACAATATTTAGCCAAAACATTATTTTGGGAAAGCAGGATAAGATTAGTCTTACTGACCTGTGACCTTTGAGAGACACCATGCCCAGTTTTTGGCACTCATCCAGGAATTTCTTTTCCAATTCCTCCATGCCGTCCTTGCCGCCGATCCGGAACACCACGTTCATGCGGCTGCGGGCCGACTCCTCCAGGGCGCAGTGGTAAAAGTCGCCCGAGTTGCTGATGACGTCGTAGACCATCCGGGACTTGGTGTGGCTCAGTTCCGCCATCTTGGCTGCTCCGCCTTGTTCCTTGAGCCACTTGAAGACGAGGCCCATGATGTAAATGCTAAGAAAAAGTGGGGGGAAAGAGAAAATAGGAATACGTATGCTAATTGCTGTCCCAGTTCCGTTCCATTTTGAAGAATACCTGGCAAAAATTAACTGCTTTATGATTAACACCCACGTGTTGAGTCACATTTGTGACGTCACACTGATAATCGATGGCACAGTACGCTGCACCAGAAAGGGATGATAAGCTCAGCACAACAATATATACTTAGCAAAATAATATCTGCTTAGCTGATGCAGGTTACCAGCCAAAATGTTGATAAATTGATGTAGCTTTTGACTGGTACTCGGTTTATTTTCTTCGCCAATTGCATACTTGCTTAGCAGCAGTATGAAGTGGGACCAGCTTATTATCATTTTTGCTGTTAGCTTCATAACTAAGCTTACCTGTACGTTGGCGGGGTGTTGTACAGCGAGTTGTTGCCAACTTGCACCTTGTAGTCAAATATGATTGGACACTCTCTGATAGCATGACCAATCAGGTCCTCTCGGACGATGATGACCGTTACTCCAGCACATCCAATATTCTTCTGGGCACCGGCATAGATCAAACCAAACTGGAAACAAGCAAGATCACAATTAAAAATCACGTTTTCAACCCCTAATGAATTTATCTCAAAAAGCATAACGCCAAAAGCATTAACACATTTTTAAGCTCTTCATACTGTGAAAGAAAGTGTTTATACACAATATTTCTAAGATCAACCCCAGTTTTAATTACAATCATACAAAATTATTTCAAGCATTTCTGTATTCACCAAGTAAAAAAAAGGATTTTATTCTCAAAGAGGAAAGGAAATTCACCTTTGAAACATCAACAGGTCTTGAGAGGAAATTTGAGGACATGTCACAAACCAGGGGCACTCCATCCGTCTCGGGGACAAAAGGGAACTCAACTCCTGCAATGAAAAAAAATAAATTGTCAGGTTACTTGTTTATTATTATTGTTTGTTGGCTGTTTATTACTGTTTAATGAGATGAAAGGCCATTACAATTCTAATTGAGGTCACGAAACATTCGCTGCAAAATCCGCAACAATTGCAAAAATGTTCAGCTTTTGTGAATTCGCAGTGTCAATAATTGTCATGACGTCACAAATAAACTACGAATTGGATTTTAACAAACTCACTGAAAGACATACCGTTTACTGTTTCATTGTCACAGTAGTATACATAGGAAGCATCAGGGTTTAAGTTCCATTTGTCTTGGTTCGGAATCGCTGAAATGAATGAAAAAGGCATGAATGAAAAATTGTCCACAATGATAAGTGCACACTGATAAGATGAGTTTTTATTAAATCATCAGGTTTTCAAATTTTACAGGTGTTCAGAATGCAACCAACATTTGCAACGACTGCATATGAGTTTGCAACGACTGCATATGAATATAGCAGTTAAAGACTGCTATATAAAATATAAACAATTTTATTTGTCTCTTTTAATCCAAAACTCACTTGTGTATTTGTCGAGTTTGGGGAAGACTGTGTTGATTTTGCCGTATTTCTCGGCCTCTTTAGCCGCTTTTGCTGACCAGCTCCCAGTGACGATGTAGTCGGCTGATCCCCCTCTCAGCAGATTCATAGGAACTGCACTGAACTGACCGGTACCCCCTCCCGGCAGTAGTAAAATCTTGTAGTTGTCTGGAATTGCTCTGCAAAAGCAAGTTTTGAAGACTCAGAATAAGATATCATCCAAACATTTAAGTTTAGGAAAGAATGTTGCAACCTGACGCTATTTCGGCAGTTGTGTACAAAGTCTATAGAGAGTCAAGTAATTTTCTAAGTATTTCCTAACAAAATTGGAAATATTTTCTCAGTCCCAGATTCATGTCTTATCGTCATTTTTGCAATGACTGACCTTCATTGAGATGATATATGAAGAAAAAGCAGCGTCAGGTTGCAACATTCTTTCCCAAGTTTATATAACTTGCATTTTGGAAGTTTTTTGTTTGTCACTTTGTGGCTGAATAAATAAATATTGTATCAAAAACATTATTTAAGTTGAAATATAGAATACTTTACATATTTGGCCTAAATTTTGTTAGACAATATGGTAGAATTTAATCAATTCCGCAAGAAATAGTCAATTTCTTTTGATTCTCTTTAATACTTACAGTAGATCTCGGAGATCCTGTAGTGTTTCATGCACTATTTTTGAAAATTCTGCTGAACGGTGACTGAGTTCTAAGACGGAAGGGAAACAAAAGATAAATTCAGATTGCAGATATTACTTCACTTGGGAAAAAAACCGAAGAAAAGCATTAAAGCGCAGACGAAAATGATTAAATTCCTTGTCAAATGTTGATCCTTCACATTTTGGAGTGTCATCAAGAGACAAATCAATCTTACCCATCATGCTCAGTCCCATATTGTTGAAGTTCAGCATTTCCTTCTGAGCCTGTTGCAAGACCTGAAGGAAAAACAAAGTCAATAATATTAAAACAAAGCTATTACACGACTGACAGAAAATTAGAGTTGGACCTAAAGTGAATCTTATAATTATGTACACTCTAACCTCTAAGTTAGGGCTCCCCTCAAACACAAAACAAACAACCAGCCAGCCCCTCCCACCCAAATTAAATGTTATTCTTAAACAGGCAATTATAATTAATAAAATCCTTAAAATAAAAATCTCAAAATGTGAAGCCCTAATAAAGTAATAGTACTAATAGTAATACTCCGTAAGAGATTTCAATGGTCATCTTGAACAATTCATATCAATTACTAGTCCCAAAATGTTTTGAATTTTGAGCATTTTCGCCCCGCCCGCCCCCCCCCCCCCCTTTCCCGGCGGCTTTCGTTTTATTTGCAAAAAAAAATTAACAAATCAAATTTTTAATTTTTAATTTTTAATTAAAAACTACGATCGAGTAACGCCAAGACATGGGCTAATTGATATGCAAATAGTCTGTCTCAATAATTCAAATTGTGTGTAATATTTAAACATAAATTCTTGTGCAGAGTTAATGTCTCCGATCATCACACTCCATGTGTGCACTCAGCACCGTGATTTCGAGAAAGGCTTCGCCGTCACAAGGCGTAATTTGACGGCGTAGTGCGCGCTCCCAGCGCGGTGGCAGTCCACTCCAAACGTAAACACTCACCGATTCCGGCAGCTTGGCTGGTCCAGCAGCAAAATTGATTACTCTGTGTCCATTCATGGTGATTGGAACGAAAGGCAATATTCTTCTTTGGAAAAACTGCACAATTTGACGGAACAGGGCCAGTTTAATCGTGTACGATCGCACAAATTTGTACTTTTCGCTCTGCTTACACGCCTAGCGTAAGAGCAAAAGAGACAGTTTAGTGTTTACAGCCGGCTTTTGAGCCATTCTTCGTTTAGCGCGCGCCACATGTACTGCATGATGGAAATATCAGAACTTATGAATGACCATAAAACGCGCTGATGTTGATTGGTCCAAACAATGAATAACTTATTCACGAACGGTCCCATTGGTCAGACAGCCTGGAACACGCCGGTTATTCATGACGGCGACGGCTGTTTCTCTGTGGGTTATACAACATTTTGTGCTCGCACGAGCATCATGAACTGCACGGTTAAATACTAACTTTTACTCGCAGGCCTACTTTTGGAATAGGGGGTACAAACTGTTACGTAACCTTTTAAGAACCATGTGGAAAATTCCACCTCGGCACAGTATTATAAAATACTTTGTTAAATTCGTTATCTTGTCATAACAATATATAGCAATGTGCATGAGGCAACCGTTTGTAATTTTTAACAAAATGATCGTTGTGAGCCCGTTTTTCCATGACTCCATGTATTAATGTGCCATTATTTTTGATCTCCAAATAACTCAAGGATGTTCCGGCCTGTCTGCATGGCCCTGCACCAAAAAAAAATCCCATCTCGGAGTCATATAGTGGGTAAGTCTTCTGTTTTGTTCTGTTTTTAAAATTCCCGTTTGCCCGTTTGATTTTCTTGGGAGCCGTTTCACTTCATTCACATTCGCTCCCGTATAACAAAAACTGAGCACGAATGCCCGAAACAATTTATTTAGATACTCTTTACAGATTTTTCTTTTTACCCTGGGCAGATGACAATAGATGATATTTTGACAATAGATGATATTTTAACGCCGGGTACTATGAGGCGCCATGTGTAAATAAATTATTTAACAAAATCATTTATATATAATTCATTATTAATTATACAATTCAGTTTTCGGCTTATTGGCTTATTTATTAATGCATTATTTACATATAAAATTCTTCTCGGACAATTATATATAAATAATTGTTTGGCAGTTTGTATTATTATATAGTAAATAATGAATTATTATTGTTAAATAATTTATTTACACATGGCTCCTCATATGGTACAGGGTGAATATATGGCTCCATTGAACTGCAATAAGTTTTTATATTTAATTTGCCTCCTGCGAAAGATGCCTTAATTCCGCGTATTGACTGGTCACAGTGATTTCAACTTGGAGATAAATATCGAATATCATAATGATTGGACAGTTTGGGAGATATCGTTTGCAGTTTGCTGCAATGTATCTGTACTGTTCACCGTGGATGATAAAGCGAGGAAGGTAACTAAACGTGGACGGGCAATGATGGGTGAATATTGAAGGTGATAAAGCTTGTAATATGATAAGCCACATTTTTATGTATTCATCTTTGATGAACCCTATCACGTGGCGCGCGGCCCCCAACGTGGCACACTTGAATTTTTCGCCTGTAGCGCCTATAGCTAGAGAAATAAAGTTCTAACACTCCCGTTCATAAATACAAAATTACGAGTTTATCTACCCGTTCCAAAGTTAGCATAAAAATGTATTTCGGCGTGATTTTCCGATTATATTTCGAAGTGCACAGTGAACCCTTGACAATGTCCCCTAAAAAAAAGAAAATATGTTTTGGACAAACTTCTAGTTGGGTATGTAAGTGGTTTGTCAGAATTGTCAACTTTATACAGAAACTATTAAATGTTAATTTGGAATTTTCTGAGATTAATTCAAGTGCGCCGTGACGTAAGGGAACACTCAGCCGATTTTGTGCCCAATTTGTGGACGCACCGTTTTTTTAATTTCGGATTAAATTTCATGACACTGAAATTGTTCACAGAGGTTAAATAATAATAATTAATAAGGTAAAAGTACTAAACCAGAAGTTTAATGATTTAATTTGAAGTTTGTCAACAAAGAAGTTTGACAACACTTGTGAGGAAAATTGAAGTCGGGGTAAACGTCGAACGTCGACGGCAGCTCCGCTGCTTCAGGTTGTACGGCCTGTATTTTAACGTCAAACAGTCAAAACAAATCCAAAAAAACGATTAAGAGAATTTTTTTATAGCTTTACCTGCAATATTTTTAAGTGCGAAAAACATTTCCAGATAATTTATTGCAATCTTATAAAACAAAAATTCTAAACAGAATTACAGATTTGTTCACCATAAAACAAACTCCGATTGTTTTATATATATTTTATTAGGTTCAACATATACAAAAGTTGATGTAGAACTACATCCACATGAATTGTATGTGCTTGAATATCGGTCGTCATGCAGTGAATTTGTGGCGTTTTTAATTGACCAACTGTAATGATTGAGTTTATCCGCTAAATATTTTTTCCAACAAGTCGAGCGATTGTGTTCTTAAATAATAATAATAATAAATGGAGCATTTACAAAAGCGCTTTTAACAAAGATCAAAGCGCTGTACAAAACTACAAAACTAAAGATTTTTTTCCTTTTAATTTGGCATATTTGTTCATTATTTTGTGAAAGTTGCTGCACAAGACGGACAAAGGGCTGCCATATACTGGAAGAACTGTTTGCCAGTGGTCGGCACGGTATTGTACCGCAATTTTTAACCACATACACAGCGCGCGTAGCTAGCTAGCTAGCTAGCTCTATATCAAAATTAAAAGTATCGGCGCTTGAAATAGCGCCCTCATATTATCGCAAGCGGCCCTGACCGGTCGGCGATGCGGTACGTAATTAGCAAAGTGGGCGCGGCACAGCCGGCGAAAACTGGATGATGTAATCATGCTTTACGTCGTCACTCCAAATCCGTGACGTTATTGTCATATCACGAGAGCAGTTTTTCTGCGAAAGGAAAACTTCGTTGTTGACTTACCATTCCAGAAAACCACGAAAGAATGTGTCCACGTAAAAAAACCCGGATTTACATGACAGCGCTTTTATATGCATTAAAAATGCCCGCAAATACCATCACCTGTTTATAATCATCATCATCTTCCTATACTGTGCAGAAACCTCCGCTGGAGTACACTCCATCAAAATAACCATCAAAATAATGCCAAAAATTAAGGATTTAATTTAGGTGGGAGGTCGGAAAAATAAATGCAACATTAAACTTGGATAAATCAAATTTAATCACACAGTCTTATCAATTTTGTTTATTAACTTCGTAAATTTAGGCCCATGAACATTGGCCCTGACATTTTTTGTTCACCTTTCAGTGTGTTTTCCCATGAAAAGTTCACGGTTTTCCTCACACGTAGAAAAGTGGCAACCTCGAAAAATAATACATTTCTGACGATTTTGTGCGAGCCTGCTTATAATTTATAATTTTGCCAAGGAGGGGAAGGGTTACCCTGTTACAAGATCCGAGTTGATGTTTTTTTTTCCAAGACAACGTCGCATTCTTACAGTCTGTAAATTTGTTGTGTAACACAAAAATTGGAGGACTATGAATAATTGATGCCCCTCCCATACTTCAACAACATTTGACGTTAAGCAACGTAGCTTGCCACAACCGGAATAAACCAGTTTGATTCATCAATGATGCCTAGTCATCCACAGCATCAGGCATCTTCAGATTAGATTCTTTTGTGTCCTCCACACATCCGTAGTAACGACCTCAGTGCACGTGTACATGTGTCGTCATCACGCATGAAAGTGTCGTCTGCTGATTTTGTTCGTTACCCAGACGTGACAGATGCGAGAAGCAATATTAATCTGGGTGTGTGTTACGGGGAGACCTGACTATAATTTTGAGCGCGCCACACGTACACAAAAAAAATTCTGCCTTCTCTCTCAGCTGTGACATGACATGCATGATGTGCGCGACTACCAAAACAGTGCCCACCGATTGCATATTATATTGACAGCTAGCTAGCCAGTTACTGAGTCAGTGAGCGAACGGAGTTCTTGGACTTTTTTGTGGACTTGAGGGTCGGAGTTTGTCGTTTTTCCCTTGGATGATGTTGACTTGAATTATATTTGAAGAAAACCCGCAAGAGGAATCTTTACCGGTGTTCGTTGGATGATGTAACAATTTGTTGTGGTGGTCGAACATTATTTAAGTTTAACTTCACTTGACAATTATTGAATTAAGTGCCGGTGGCTGTCGACATTCGGAAAGTGTAAAGTCTTGAGGGATGGCTTCCCGTTCACTGAGTCGGCTTCTTTCACTAAGGCCTGCCATACAAAATGTGAGTTCGTTTTGGAAATTTGCCCGCCGTGTTACTGTGTTAACTGTGCTGGCACCAGGCATTTGATTTATATTCCTCCGTCACTGACACACAGTGAAAATGACTGACAGTTTTTGCTGTTGAGTTAATGAGTTTGCGATTCAACACCTGATGAGATTATTGAGCATTCCAAAATGCATGTTGTTAATTTAATGAATTGTTTTTTGTGAACAAAAAATCAACCTTGGCTGGTATTAATTACACGACATGTGCTAATCAGTTCAAATTTCTAAAAAAAAAAAAAAAGGCCTAGGGCCTAGGCCTATCAATTATAATTATCAAAATACTAAATAGGCCTTAGGCCTAATATTAAATAGCAAAATAGTGGCCTAGGTCTTTGAATTTGGGTCAGGTTTATAAACACATCATTTTCATTTGACCATCTGAAAATTTGGATGGCCAGGCACACTTGGTTTTGGTTTGTGTTTCCAATTCCTATTTTTGTTTCAACCAATGAAATGAGTGTTTAAATTCTTGCCCGTCATTGATTGCCCCATTCTGTGGAAAAGATGTTACACTTACTTGACTCCCTCCGGGTTACAGACTCAATGCCGCTGTCAATGAGTGAGAACAGTAGTCAGTACTGTTGAAATATGAGTCTTTCTTTTAACATCCTAGGTATCCCGAGCCACATATGGCCAACAGGCGACTTTGCAGAGTCAGCAAGTACCAGACTGGACGGGACAGGAAATACTCTCAGAGGTAGACCCTGAGATTCTCTCACTGATCAGGGAGGAGAAGCAACGACAAGTTCGAGGTCTTGAACTCATTGCCTCAGAGGTGAGCCCGAAGGGATTCGTAAAAAAAGAGCTGAGGGAACTTTTAGAGCCCAATATGGCTTTTTTGTTATGAGCAAGTTAACAAGAGTCTCCCTAAAGATAATGTTTTGGTTCATTTTCAGTTAATGAAATTAAAGATTATTTGAAAGTTAATTTTACATTTACATAATTTACAAACATTAACATGCAGAAATTTAACATAAATTGGAAAAGTGGAAGGTCATGGTCAATCTGAATCTACTTTTTTTCTGATGGACAAAATGTGAACTTAAATAGTTATCTCCTGAAATGAACTTCCGCACATTGTTTCCCATTGTCTACCCCTACTAGCTCAGGATATTGTACCCTGGATTCCTTGACCGTCTGTGTTCTTATCAGAATGCTTGCAGCCTTTGTTTCTCGTGTTGTTTATTTATACCTGTTTGAATAGCCCATTGCAGCTCTAAAGCAGGTCAATCTATATTCTGTCATGTGTAATATAGCTTTGTCAGTATCAAGTGCAGCTGCACATATACACCTCCCCCAGGGCCATCAAGTGCAACTGCACATGTACACCTTCCCCCCCCCCCCCCTCACCAGGGCCATATGTCGAAAACTGTTGACATACTCTCATTGGAACCGTTCCAAAAGCTGAAGTGTTGTTGCAGTGAATATATGGGTGCATTTCAGTGAAGAAAAAAAAACACTTAAATGAATTTGGACTAACATTTGAAGGAATCAACATTTTTAAAGAGTCTACTATTTGCATTTAACTGGTGAAAAGTTTGTCTCAATACACACACATTGAAATAGACTTTTTGTTATCTTTTTTTTTTGTGGCTCAGAACTTCTGCCCCCAGGCTTCGCTCAATGTGCTCAGCTCATGCCTCCACAACAAGTATTCCGAGGGCCTGCCTGGAAACAGGTGAGTTACAACAGTTTTGAGCTCAGAATCAGAGGTTTTACATCGAGAAGCCTGGCATCAGGTGATATTTTTTACCTGAATAAAACAATTGTTTTGCACATATAGCTTCCATTGAGACTCGTCTAGCTTTGTTTTGAAGCCACATATGGTTTAGTAAGATGAAAATATTGACATTGATTTTATACCCACCCCAAATGCTACTAGAGTCATTCCACTCGACCTTTATCAATTGGACTTAAGTCCTTGTAAAATATTGACTGATATCTTGGATAAATATTATCACAGCAGGATATTTGTTGCCAATGTGCTATTTTGTGGAACATATTTAAAAGTTTATAAATCAGCTTTTAAGTTTTTTCAAGGTTTAGGGACTTCATCATAAATGTACATGAATTTTTGTGCAGTTATTCATATCTGTTAATTTCACATTAAGTGGAAGCACAATTTCAAGAATGGGTGTTGAGGCAGTTGTATCTCTTAAATTTCAGAGAAAAAAAGTTGATATTCTGGGAAGAGGATTTTGCCATTCCCTTCAAAATTACTCTCCAAATTACCCAAAGTTCAATCTCACTTGTTTATTATATTTATGATCCACCGATAAAGTCATTTTTGCCATTGCCAAAAATAAGTAGTCATGAAACAGCAGCATACAAAACCACCTGCACTTTTTATGCTAATGTTCCTTGCAAGGAACCTGATTGGTCAAACTGCAGTCAGGACACAACATATGTTCAAGGGGCCGATGGAAATTGATTTGGGCTAAAGGTCGACTCGGAGACCCTGGGAACATGCGGATGGAAAAGTCTGGTAGTTTTCCATGGAAACCTGGCAAAACACTGGTACTTTTCCATCAAATAAGGTCCAAATGTCCCAAGACCCCAAAATGTACTTTGCTCCTGGCTGGTGCCAAGGTTAAGCTTTTTTTATCAGTTCTCAATTGATCTTGAACCCTTTACTATAAACATCACCCCATATATTTATTGCATTAAAATCAGGGCCAAAAATAATACAGCTTAAGTTTTTCTGGAAGGGATGTCATCAACCCATTGTCTTGCCATAGGTGGTAAAATGTACTTACTTAAAGGAATTTGAATGTAGTGAAAGGTGTAAATTTTACAACAAAATATTAAGTTGTGAGTACTTGTTATTTAAGAAAATAAAGTTGGTTTATATAATATATTGCTTCTTACATAATATCTAGTTACTTGCTGAATCAGACTCGCAGTAACGAGAAGTGCTCTCATTAGTTATTCTGGATGAGGACATTATGTCTTGTAGTGTGAAGGAAGACAAAGTAAACCATCGCTTTGTTGAAAAAAAACAGTGTTTCAACTTCAATCTAACTCTTCCTATTTCTGCAGTACTATTCACCATTTAAAAAAGTTACCTGGTGACTTTTCGTAAGTAAAAGCCAGTTTAAAAAAGAGACTAACTAGTTTTTTTCACACATTGTCATAATAGGTAGCCATTGAAATATTGTAGTCAGAATTTTTTCAGTAACGCTTTCAGATGGAATTACTTTTGGGAAGAGAACTATTTCTGTTCTGTTTATAACTTACACCTGACGGAGCACTGATGGACTTTTTAAAGTGCTCAACCACGTTTTTATCCTTTTTTTTTTTTTTTTTTTTAGAGTAGGCTAAAATTTGAAGCTCAACACTATTGTCATTGACCTTGACTAAATAGGGTTTGTTTGAATAGGAAAAAGATATAAATCTACCCTAAAATAAACTGGCCCCTCATTCTTTGTTTTATCAGCCCAGGCCCCAGACAGCATTTAATCTCGGTCATGTGATACCAGACTTTGACATGCGATCGGATGATACTAAATTGTGACATAATTTTTTGGAGGGGCGGGGGGGGGGGGGGGGGGGGGGCCAGAATTGATAAAATTATGGTCGACAAATGGGTCTTATTTGCCCGAGAAAATGTAGGGATGCAATTATAAATTTGGCTGCACGCAGGCTTGGCCATATCCGGTTGCAGACCAGTAAATAGGCCCAAAATTGCCTATGCCGGCCAAATCATGATTGGCATGCCCTCAAAATCTTCAGTATTTGAGCATATTAATGGGGCATGAAATTAAGGGCCGTAGAAAATAAGGGTTGAAGCCGTGCACAGGACTGTGAGCTTGCAGTTCTGTACAATTTGGATGAATTTGGGGCCCTAAAAGCACTTTATTTTGCAATAGGGTGTTGGCATCGTTTTTCAAAATGGCGATGGGCATCAGGACTAGTAAGGGGTGATCATCTTCGAAAGGAAATTTCTCCTGAATTCATCAATTGAACCCCCCCCCCCCCCCGAAAATTGAAAAGAAAATGAAAGATGATGAAATGAAATAAGCTTTAATTTGATGTGTGTCTCGAACACTTAGGAGAGTTGTGAGTATTTTTCCTGAATTTCTGAAGTGGGTGCATTTATCATTGGGGACTAGCGCAGTTTATTTAATGGTCTTCACCCATACTCTTGCCATTACTAACACATTGTCGTAAAAGTCGGTCTCATAAAATTTCTATGCGAAACCCCCTGCACCAGGGGTTTATGTAGAAATTATCAGACGGTTATTTATTACTCCCCATCACACTCAATTAACTTTGGCAGCGACCGCAAGCCCCATTTGAAAGAAAAAGTTAAGACAGGATCAAGGTACCAACTTTTACGATGATGTGCTAGTAATGACAGTTCAAACCAGTGGCGCACCCAGTATTTGTCTTGGAGGGGGGGGGGGGCCTCCAAAAAATTGGTGTTTTAGGGGGAGGGTAGACTACATGTATTTTGACGTTGGTGGTGCCACTTCACTCCTATAATACTACTGGAAAATAGGCCACATACATATCACCTAGGTCAAATCATGGGACTAGAAAAAAAAATTGACAACCTCTTGGCCCCCCCCCCCCCTTGCGCCACTGGTTCAAACAGTCAGAACACATAATAAATTGGGGTTTTTTTTGACAAAACAGGTTTTCGGGTCATTGGGTTTTAAATGGTGATAATCTTTGAATGGATTGAGCAATTTAAGTGATGTTTTCATCAAGTTGTTTCTGGAATTGGCTTTTGCCAGTCATTATTTTTGTTAAATATGAAATATACTTTTTGGGGGTTTGGGCTCAGTTTTTTTCCCCTCGCCCTGTATGATAGCGAGCTTTTTTATGTCCGTTTTGTTTTAATGTATTGTTGTGCTTTGCTGCACATCCTAAATTGATCAGACATATGTATGTTGTGCTAATTTTGTGCAAAATCAATAAAGTTATCATCTGGGTCAATAATAATGGGATATTGCCGGTTGTGCTTGAAGCGGAAATATGGATCACATAAAAGTTTACAAGGCAGAGAGCGTAAAATATTTTTTCAGTATTTTGCACAATATTTGACATTGATAACAACTGGCCAGTAATGAAACTTGTGATTTCACAATTTTTTTAAAACAATTTTTGCCCTCTCCTGTGGTTAATATAAGACAGTGCTCCTGTTCAAAATAAGATTCACATTTTGTAGTGGACTAAGCATTACTACAATTGAACAGGCTGCTTCACTTATTGGACCACTGCAGGATCTATAGCAGTATTCAGTGCATGCATGAAGTGTGCTATACCTTATTTGGTACAGTGTTTAACAGATGCATCCGGTCATGCAATGTATGTAAATCCTGTCTGTCAATGCAAAATTGTACCCACACAAATATTTGTATGTATCTATATGTATTACAATACATTGTCGCCCACACGAGAACTGATCATTTGAAAATACACAACAGATGTCGTTTGAGGGGGAAAAATACATGAAGAGTGTAGTTTTCAATGTGCAGGCAAATGGAAACATAGAAAACATCAGATACACACAAAATATCCCCCAAACAGGGAAGGAAAATGCTATAATTCTTTAAAGTCTTTGGCGCTTTTCCATTGATACAGATATCAATATGTGCATCGAGTTTGAGTGTAAATTGTTTTACCTAAAATCACAATTAAGATGATATTTTTCATTAAAGTAGATAAGGCAACTAATATGTCAAGTGTCTGTGTAACATATGTTGCCCTGGAAGGCATGTTGCATTTATTGAAACCACTGAACCATATGGTTTTTATTCCCCTCTTTTTTTAACATCTGTTCGTTGACTTGATATTAACACTTAATTGCGTTTTCTTTTGTTCTAGATATTACGGAGGAACAGAAGTCATTGATAAAGTTGAGCGGCTGTGCCAGAAACGTGCCTTGGAAGCCTTTGATTTGGACCCGGAGAAATGGGGAGTCAACGTTCAGCCGTATTCTGGATCGCCAGCAAACTTGGCAGTGTATACGGGGCTGCTGGCCCCCCACGATCGCATCATGGGGCTGGACCTACCACATGGCGGACAGTAAGTCTCAAGATTTTAGACTAACACCTGTTTCAGACTGACGTTTAAGAGTTGTGTCCTATTGAAATACTCTAAAGTTTGAATGAAGTTTGATGTCTAAAATAGTCAGGCATGGAACTTTTCCTCGAATCCGCTGATTTCCTCCTTTTTTGCTACTCATGAATGCCATTACAAATTAAAAAAAAAATGTACAAAGTCTTGTGTGGTTTGGAGTTTCCTCGTTTTTTTATTCTAAATTCCCAGTTGCATGCCTATAAAGTAAGGAGTGGCTAGGCCTGCAAGATGTCAAAAAATGAACTGTTGAAGTCACTCAGAACAAATAAACCAGAGCAACTTGATTTCAGATATGGCTCTTTTAAATGAAAAACCAATGCATTAATTTTGCCTTTCTGAAACCAAATTGTATGTGGCTCGACCTGATTCATTCCAGACAGTTTTTGGTTCTTCCCAACTCAAAAGCGTCAGCCTATGACAGGTGTTACTGCTTCGTGGCTGGTGACCACTGAAAGTGTGCTCTTAATAAAAAAAAATTGAGTAGAAGTATCAGTGCCTTTCTTAGTCAGTGTTGCAAATACAATCTCTCTTAAACATGTCTTTCCTTTTCCTTCTGTCTTGCAGTTTAACTCACGGCTTCATGACAGACACCACCAGAATTTCAGCCACTTCCATCTTCTTTGAGTCCATGCCGTATCGACTGGATGTAAGCAACCTTCCTCTTTTCTTGTTAATATATTTGCGGTCTTTCAAGCGTATCTTTAAGTTTTGGGATGGTTAGAAAAGCTCCAGGTAGCAGTCTTTGATATACCTCACTATTAAAACAGTGGTTGATTAGTGAATTTGATTTTGAAATGATAGGTGATACTTTAACATACACTGATTTGATTTTCTGTGGTCTTTTTACAGATCAAGACTGGTCTGGTAGACTATGACAAGTTGGAGGAGACCAGTCGCTTGTTCCGCCCTCGGCTCATCATCTCTGGATACAGCGCATACCCTCGCAGGCTAGACTACAAGAGATTTAGAGAGGTCAGTCAAAACAGGATATCCTCAGTGTTTGTTTTTTGGTTTTTGGTTTTTTTTATTCAGTTTCCTCTATTAACATGCATCTGTTAGCCCTAAGCATGATATAAACATATTGGCGCAGCTAAATATACACACAGGTGTCATTTTTGCCCAATTTATGCATATTTTATAAAGGAAATGTGCAGTGTATTTCACGATAGATGTGCAAACTAAGGGGAAATGAAATGATAAAACAAAATAAAAATTGTTAGCTCATTGCATGTCAAATACAAATTAAAATTGAACAGTATACATGTAAGTGTCAGGTTAAAGACAACGTTGGGCACTGACTGGGTTAATGACATTCATGTTGAATTTTGGCTTCTGACTAACACCCTTTGAACAAAGAAAAACGACAGATTGGAAGACCATCAACACGGGTCTTGATAGTTCAGTTGGGTTGGTAAAGTACAGGTACAGTGTTCAAATCCTTCTCCAAACATATTTGTTATCGTCTTTTAAAATATTTTTTTTTCGTTGTAATCCACAATGCGGCTGTCGTTTTGTACTTGCAGATCTGCGACGGAGTCAAGGCAATCATGATGTCGGACATGGCACACATCAGCGGTCTCGTGGCTGCCAAAATTCTCCCTTCGCCGTTTGACCACTCGGACATCGTGACAACCACAACGCACAAGACCCTCAGAGGGCCAAGGTAAACAAGGCTTCTTGAAAATTCAAAACATCACCAAGGAAAGTTTTGATTTCCACAACACTTCATCAGACCTAATGCATAGCAGTCATCTTAGAGTGCAGTGCTTATGTAACACTAGGGTACAAGTAGGCATGGCGAGATATTTGTGCGTTAAGTCAAGAAACACCCTTTATTTATTGGTAACCCTTCCCCCTCCCACATCCTTCAAAATCTAGAGCTCAGCCATTATGACTGGACATAGTACATCATGCCTGTTTTAAAGTTTGTCTGCAAAAGAGTGTACCATTCGGTTCCTGTACAGTTGAGAATTCAGTTGAGGTTTCAATAAGGTTACCTTCAAAAATGCCTTGGATGTTAGAGCAACAATTTTAGAGGAAAAATATTGCTTAAACGAGTATGAGACTGGTCCTATAGGTATGATGCTACAAGAAGGATTTGAGATGATATTTCTAAAATGATAAGAAGCAGCATCTCAGGACCCAGTATGAACGTGGGTATAGTGTAATATATTTATGGGTTACTTGAAGGCGATTCGGATTTCTCCAGATATGACTTACATTTACAATCGCAGAAAACCAACAAACACTAGTCAATGTATGTAAAAATCTGTTTGTAGGTCTGGCCTCATCTTTTTCCGTCGCGGTAAGAAGGGCGTCAGTAAGAAGACTGGCAAAGACATCATGTATGACTACGAGAAGAGGATCAACCATGCTGTCTTCCCAGCGCTGCAAGGAGGTCCTCATAATAACAACATTGGAGGAGTAGCTGTGGCTCTCAAACAGGTAATACCAGGTAGTTTCAGATGGGCATTCCAGTCTCGCTTAGCTAAGTAGTACTTAGAGCAACTGAGGTCGACTCGACCCAAACAGACATCCTTATAATTATATGAATAAATCTGAAAATAAAAAAAATTAAATCAATGTAGTTTCTTGCGTTTTTATCCACTACAGCCTGTGCCCAGTACCGTCTCATTTTGCTAGAATGCCTCACAAATTTGGAAGACACCATAAGATGTTTTTGTGTCTCATTTTTTTTCTTTAGACAATGACTCCTGCGTTCAAGGAGTACCAACGTCAGACTGTCCTGAATGCGAAAACCATGGCTCAGGCACTTCTGGCCAAGGGATACTCTCTTGTCTCAGGTTTGTATAAATAATCACTTAACTCTTTAAAACAAGGAAAATTCCATCTTATAAAGAGCTTGGTTGCGGTACCCACTGCTATGTCAGACTCGAACCCGCCGGCAAGATCGGTGGTCGAGCGGTAAGACGTCTGCACCAGTAAGCAGGAGCTTGAGGTTCTTTTCTTTTATATTTCGGGTTTCGTTTAAACGTTTTGGAAAATTTGGAAACGGATATCTAATTTGTTTTCGTTTAAACATTGTTTTCGTTTAAACGTCACATCTTTAGTAATTTCAATGATATGACCAAGCAAAGGATTCCTCAAAAAGAAACAGAAAAGAGTGTCTCATGTATCAGGTTAACAGGTGTATTCCTATTTTTCATGTCTGAGTTTCGTTTAAACATTTTGGAAAATTTGGAAACGGATATCTAATTTGTTTTCATTTAAACGTCACATCTTTAGTAATTTCAATGATATGACCAAGCAAAGAATTCCTCAAAAAGAAACAGAAAAGAGTGTTCCTATTTTTCGTGTCTGCAGGAGGGACTGAGAATCATCTGGTACTGGTGGATCTCCACTCCAAGGGAGTGGACGGTGCCCAGGCCGAACACATCCTAGAACTCTGTGCTATATCTGTCAACAAGAATACTTGCCCTGGGGACAAAAGTGCTCTACATCCAAGCGGCCTCCGACTCGGTAAGATATCCATATATTTGTTTTCAGTGCTTGAAGTTGTTGAACACAACCTTGGTCTGGAGTAAGGCGAAGGATACTGCTTTTCAACTGAAGATGTATGCAGTAAATTAAACCAGAATTTCTGTTTTCTTGATTTTTACATGTTTCCTGATTGTAATACATGTGTCATGAAACAAAGGATTATTCTTATGTACCTGTGACTCTGAAGCTAATTATTATTGTGAAGAATATGACTTTGCCATATTAAATGTTGCATTAACAAAGAATATTTTGTCAGAGAAATTCCTGAAAACCCCATTTTGGAGAATTTCCTGGCATCTGGACAGGGACAAATAAATGCACTGTCACACTTTTCATTATTTTAGTTAAAAAGTGAAAAGAGTTTACCCTATTTGCTATTTTTATGCCCTTTCGTCATAAATTTTTTCTTCCTTTTTTTGTCAATTACATGTTATTCATTTTTTTCTTTAATCAGGATCACCTGCACTGACTTCTCGCAACTTCAAGGAAGGTGATTTCTTGCAAGTGATAGACTTCATCGATCGCAGCATCGCCATCGGGCAGGAAGCCAAGAAAATCTCTGGTAAATTTTTGGAGAAATGCAACTTTCAAATATTTTTTTAAGGAGCAAGTTTCAATTTGCGTCCAGAAACTAACTTTTTAGTTCTTTACGCTCCAATAAGATGCCATTGTTAAGCGTACTCAATCTGTAAAAATTTGCTAACTGAAATTACCAAGCATCTGTTATCAAAACTGTCTTTGTGGCTTTCCTTTTTCTTTGATATTCTTAAGTCTACATGATTTGAGACAGAAATTGAATATGCTGAGTGCACTTGTTGGGCACAGCAATTTATGCCGTTAAAAATATGGGTTTTTTATTACAAAAGCTGTTACAATGCTACGGCTTATTGTGCCCCACTTGTGTCCAATGATCACATTAAGCAAATATATAAACTGATGAGAATGACATGACTATTAATCAAATGTATTTTTTCATTTTTTTGCAAATAGGTGCTAACAACAAAGTCTACTATGAGGTCGTGGAAACCAACAAGGAGTTTCTGAAGAAGATCGCCAAACTGCGTCTGGAGGTTGAGGACTTTGCTGCGCAGTTTCCCATGCCAGGATATGACAACTTTTAGTTTTGCCTAGAATCATTCCAGTGAGACTTACATGAGTGAAAAATCTCACTCTCCTGTATATTACAATGTTATCACTCATTCAATGAGTGTTAGCTTTGAACAGTGTTATCTCATTATAACTCATTTCCATTTCCATGTGGTAACTCGCGAGAGAAAAAAAAATTGTCATTCGCTCAATAACCAATATTTCTGAAATCTGCGGGAGTACGGTAAAGAACAGCATGTACATGAACAGCTCAAGCACAGGACCCACCTTTAATACAGCTTCTAAACACACAAACTTTGCTCTGCATATTGCAGGTAAATTGCACATGTTTACGAAAGGTGTGTGTGTGTGTATTAAGTCCATACAAGCGCAGTGTGTGAACTGATTGTATTCGTGATCAATATTTCACCATCGGCTTTGCCATCACATCATTTGTGGATTGAATTTTTTTTTTAAATGTTAGTAAATGTTTTTTTATTCATTTCATTGGAGGTACTCATTGCCCATGTTCTTCTTTACAATTTGAATTGGCTGAAAATTTTGACTGAAATTAGTTCTGTTTTTGGCTATTGCCACAAAAAAAAACAATTATGAGGATTTACGTTTTAATTTTTTTCCCTTTAACTTATTTTCATGTAATTGTTATGCTATGCTACAAAGTGCTAGCTGAAATGTTACACTGCCGTTCTATATAATTCAGTATTTGATCATACATGCAGAACAGTGTGCTCATTAACAAGAAATTTGCTTAGCAGATTCCTTTTAGTTAATTTAAATTTTTGCTTTAGTTAATTTAATTTTGAAAAGTATAAGTTGAATAGTGGAGTTTTGAAATAACGTAATTACACTATTAATAAAAGGTCAGTATATAAACAAATATATTCCATTATTTTTTTCTTTTTCCTTTTTATTTTTACTTATAATTTGGTGATGGAAATACAAATGGAAATGAGAATTAGTGTAATAACATATAAGCTGCAGCGATCGTTCAGACCAAATATAAATTCATTTATAGTCAACAGTTTGTGTGAGAAGTTTGACAATACTATGATTAATAGTATTACATTTTCATTTAGTTGGAAAAGTTTGGGGGGGAAAAGAAAAAATTGAGATTAAAAGAAAATTTAAAGATTAATAAAAGTCTGAAGAGTTGTTTTAGGGAGTGCCTCAAAACTTCAAATGTTCCTATTTATTTATTTTTTTTGGGGGGGGTCTTGCAATTTAGAAAAAGCAAACTCAAAAGTGCTGAGCAAATATCCCCGCTTGCGTCCATCTAAAACAGACTGCTCGTGAGTTAGCATTTGTAGCTTTTTTTAATGGGAACATCTTGAAGTTTTAAGGCTATTCCCAATTGGGAAATGTTCCTAATTAGGAACACCGTAATCATGTCGTCAGTCGGCCAGTCTTCCCTGTGTGACATTCCAAGCACTCCGAGTTTTGTAACTAAAAACTCATGTTAGAAATAAATGTAACAGTCCATTATACCGATGTGGTTAAATTGGCTTGCATAATGCCATGTATATATGGGCAAGATACTAAATTTAATGTAAATTTGTTGAACAAAGCATTGTACTATACAACAGTAACCAAAGTTAGAAAGTTAATGCTTTAAAAAAAAAAAATTTGTTCATTTACTATTCATGATATTGTTTAATTTCCATTCATAAAGCAATAAATTTTCCAAAAGCAGGGGAAAAGCTAGCTTTAACTCGTGTTATTGTAGTTATATGTGTGCTTATAATTCATCAATTATATACTATTGAAAACTGCAAATGTTTCTTACAGCTGAAATTAAAAAAAATTTTGTTCTACGATTCTAAAAGATGCAAAGTGATTGCATTTTCTATTTCTCAACATTTGCACTCATCAGCAAATCAACAAGTTTTATGGACCTCAACATTTGATGTTATAAAAAAATATATTAAAAACCTTTTTTGAGTCTGAGGTCCCATTGGCATTACGGTCAGACATCGGACTTTTTCAAAACGTTTACCGACAAAAACATCTGCTCCGTCAAAATGCGTTGTCAATGCATTCTAATTAAGCGAACTAGGTAACCATATTGCATCTGACGAGCTCATATTGATTGTGTACCTTGTTCATTCAGTCCCAGCAGTATACTGTGTAACTTCATCATCTGGTTTTCATACTTATTCAAGATGAATCGTAAAAATAGTTGACAAGACACGTTTCTTTATATCATGTACAGTACTTTGTATGTTCATCAAGTTGCCATCCCTTCCATCAGCTTTTGAGTCTGCTTCAGCTCTGCGGGAAAAAAAAGGCAAACAGATTATTAGATCTGGCATTCCACCCAAGAAACTCGGAACTCGATACTCGGACTCACACACAAGGTTGAAAACAGAGTAGATGGGGGTCCCTTTCCTCAAATTGAGAGTCATCAGTTTATTCCAACGTTCCTCCAAATTTATCAAGGGCTCAAGAGCTCAAGTGGTAAAAAGCGCCCTCTCTGTTCACACACGGAGCCCATACTCCCTTCAAAGATTCAATTTCAGATTTTTTTTGTTTAAACATTTTTAGACAAACTTTCAAACTACTTACCACTGAGGAAAATCCTGAACTTGTCGGCCGACATGTTGAAGCTGGTCGGCTGGACGGTACCGTCATCAGGATTGCGTATGTGCAGCCTGAGACGCACGCTAGGTTCGTTCACATCTCTCAACTCGCTGGAGCCCAAAATATAGTCCACTCGCCACTCCACTCTGTCAAGCTTCGATACTTGGTAGACAGAAATGATGAACTTGAATTTACTTCAACATTTTCAAAGACTCATCACATCCATTCACTGTTACAGTTCAGCGGATAGTAATGCAAGATATTTGTCTTGTTTTCCCTCTTTCTGTAACTCCCTAACCAAAACCTGTTTCCCTTCTACCTATAGGTAATCGTTCACAATTCATAAGAAAGTTGAATAGATATCTCCTGTCACTATGATTTCTTTTGTTCTTGTTCCTTCTGTTTAGTTTGTAGCTTACACGAGTGGTTCTTCGCCTTGTGTTTGGGCGTTACTCATTCAAAACAAAAAGTCCCGGATTCAAATATATTCTTGAAATGATAACATTCCAGTTTAAAAGCTACAGAATGATAAACTATCAAAATAGACTTCTATGTCCTCACTGACTGACTGACTTATTGTCACTTGTGAAATTTTTAGCCTGGTTTTTAACTGGTGAAGCAAGCCGGGCAGTGCTATTGTATAGGACTACCCCGTAACATTTGGACTAAATTCAGCCCAACGTGTGCACCAGATGCATGTAAAGACTTCCAGTAAAGAGCCATTCTGAATCCATTGCATAAAATTTTGTACTTGTCTTTCATTTTTAAGATTGTGACCAACAAGACCTCAAATTTTCAAAGATCAACTTTCCTTGTTTTGTTTTTTTCTAAAATTATAAGCCAACTGCTTACCTCTTAAGCTCTGCTCTTTGAATCTGTGTTGTAACGCCTCCAGCTTATCCTGGTAGGAGCGACAAAGTGCCGTCGAGTGCTCTGATAAAGATATAAATTTTACACAGAGGTAAAGACAACCCCCATGTACCCTTTTAAGCTAGATAGGAACGGTGCAGTAAGAGTTACATTGCGGTAGATTCTGGGACAGTTTGTGCTACCAACAGGTTTTGTGCAGCATAAACTGTCCCATAATGCAGTGCAGCATATACCTTCAATACAAATTTCCTGGCTGGTGGATTTTTGAAAAAAGGGTCTACAGTGCTGTTAAAATTGCTGCGGCCATTTTCACAGAGATGCTAAGTGCACACATTTTCTTAGCATGGCAAATGTTTTCTGCTAAGACAAAAACAGCCAAAATCCTGATTAACTTCACAGTCACCAGGGGCTGCCAAGCATAGAAGTATGCCAAGCGCAAAAAGAATTTGCTAAGCAAAAACAGGTTACAAGATAATGTGTGTGACTGGTTCTCTGTAGATTTTTGCTAAGCACATAAGTTTGCTAACCAGCAATTTCTGTTAAGCAGCTGTGACATTTAGGTCCTGGGACCGGAGACTTTCAACTCACCCTTGGGAAGACCAAGTTGCTGCAACTCATTGGAGAGAGATTCCCCGTCCACATTGTACTTAGATGCACTGGACAGGATAAAGTTGAGTGCTGCTATGCTGGCTTTCACGTCACCGGTTTCTGTTAAAAATAAAACGTGTGTGAAAATAATGCCACATCCAATAATAATTTAATAATTAAACACTACTCTGTCAGATAATAACTCCTTTTTTCGCAATCTACAAGAGTAGTACTTATTATATAAAACAAATCCCAAACTTACCATATTTTGCATCAGCTGTAAGCTTATACACTTTCTCATACTGAAAAAAATCAAGAAAAAAAATGAAATCATTTCTAGTATTGATAAAACATTCTAAGAAAGAGTGAGCAGAGAGTTTTTACTATTTCAAGTGGAAAGGCAATTTTGAAAGTAAGACCAAAAAATGGTTGTGTTTGCAGTTACACTGTCAAAAACAAAGTATTTTTCACTTCAAGCAGTTTTTACATTGGCTTAAAATGAAAAACTTGACAATAGAAAATGTTGTTTCAAGGTAACGTATGATGTATTCATAAATGATAAACACATCAGCAACTCCGAACAAAGAGAGGAATATAACATTTCCTTGTAACTCAAAAGAGACAGGAACTCACATCAATGCTGTCTCCAAGCAGATCCTTTATGACCTGGGCGCACAGTAACTTCATCTTCACAGATGTCTGCAGACCAAAACCAGTAAAAAAACATTGACTGGGATTATATTAGACTGAAACAAGTACTGTAGTAACCGTCATTGCCAAATATTACAATTTACCATAATATTGAATAAACAAAATAAATAATCAACTCTTGTGGTCCTGAATTCCAAAAAGCGACAGTTATACCCAAAAACTACAGACGAAAAGTTGACATCTCAGTTTTAATGTCAGACCTTAAACGAAGACTGTGATTGAGACAGAGAAATACTTCACATTTAATTAGAAATTTATAGTGTTATTTTCTCCTTAAAATAGTTCAGTTTATCCCTTGAAGTCCTTCAACAAGTCCATTCACCTGTGAACAAAGCAAAAGCAAGCCAATTTGAAATCATATCCACTCACAATTTTGGACAAGATGCTGATTTCTGCAAGCACCCAATCTGGGCAGTCCAGCCCTCCACAAAAACGAAACCTCTGAAAACGGGGGAAAAAAATCAATATTAACTGATGAGTTTTCTATTGAAATTGTGAATAACTCAATCGAATGTGATGAATGGTTTGTAAACAACACCACGTTCCGGTGTAATTTTGAAACATTCCCACATTCGATGTCATTTTATATTTTGATATATATTAATTATTATAACAATTATTATAACAATGTATAATTTTGCCCTATTGATTAATCACTTACGTGTGGCTTTCTGTGAGTTTAAGCGAGTGTTGGGTCTCTCATTGTCATTGCCAAGAAATTTGATGAAAAATACGGCACAACGAACGTGTTCAAAATGATCAGAGAATCAAAAATGCGCATGGTGGTACTCTGGTACCCCGAGTTCCGCATGCGCAAAACGGTGGGGGTCCCCCTAGTGGGTACCCGTCTTACGTGGCACAGTGACCGTAATACCATTTTAAAATTCTGCTAAATCTACTTCAAAAATCTGCCAAATCTCCCAGTATCGCATGAATAGTTGAATGCACAATTAACACTTAAAATCTCAGATAGAAATATCAGAAATTCTTACCATTTTAAACGTGCAATTTCACAAATATAAGATCTGGAATGGTCAGGAAAAGCCTCTCTAGGGAGTCACCAGAGTTACTTTACATGAAAATAATTATAAAAGCCTGCAAATTAACTATAAAGTTTAACTCTGCCACTGCTGCTGCCAAAAATTGCAACTTCAATTTACTTGACCTCCTTGATGACCCGCCTACTTTTACAGCCTTAACAAAAAGTTAAAAAATTAATAAGTTGTAATTAAATAGTGTAATAAATTTAATACCAATAATTTTAATCAATGTATTTTTAGAGAAAGCATCAATAATATTATAATGGAAAAATTAAGTTTTATATGTAATAAAATAACAAATATTTAGTCTTTTTATATAAAAATGCTGAAAGAGGACATAATTTCAACATGGCGGCCTCCATGAGCACGATTTAGTATTACATACTTTGTGCACAAAACAAAACTGTTCAAAACACACTTTAGTTGTAAAGGTATGTGGTATCAACGTAATGTTTTTGTTATATACGAGTATATCATCAACTGATTGTATTTTTTTTCGTTGGAATATAAAGAGAAAGTAGTGTTGATAAGATTGTTTCGTGGTGCGTGCAAATCAATCCAATTTAAATTTGTATCATGTTTGGATTGGCATATATTGCCACTGCACGGCGCACACAGAGATTCATGCTAAATACTCATACTCAGTATGGAAGCTATTGACATGGTTAAAAAGCAGGGGGGAATCAATTTTCCTCACGCTAAATGTCTAGAGTTAGTTATCCTTTAATTTTAAGGGGAAATTTGGAGAAAGTAAGTTGATATGAATGCAGGAAGTGAGTAGGCAAAGGGAATTTTTGAAAGTTAATAAGGAGAGAAACACGGGGCTAACCTATGATGTTGGTTATCATTAAAAAAATTGTGATATGTTGTAAATGAATGTTTTTCTTTCTGTTTTCCTGTAATGTATTTTAGAGAACTGTGACTTTACCATTTATGTATTAACGTTTAACTGTTCGTATTACTTTGTATCTTGTTTGTTGCAGACGCAGTTGTCATTGCTTGAGAACGAATTAACAACTGTTGGAAAGCACAAAGTGTCATACTTACAAAATTGATATTTCTTCCCTCAGTGTCTATCTATCCAGAGAACCATGGCGTTAGCAGCATTTTCAAGCGGCTGTCAACTGTTAAGAAGTTTATGCAAGACGGTACCTGTCACTTACATGGGATGTCAACAACAGAGGGTAACACAAAAAAAATCATTCATTTTAATCGTAGCAAAATGAACTTTTTCTTTGAAAAGGAACCAGTATATTTGATATTCTTAAAAACATAAAAAAACAATCCAAGCATGCTGTTGGAAATGTCAAATTTATTTTTATTTCTGTTAACCCCCCCCCCCCAAAAGAACATCCTTCAAAATAGGCATAGTCTATGCTGCTGCAAACCCCCCCCCCAAAAAAAGAAGAAAATCCTTCAGTATAGGCATAGTCTATGCTGCTGCTGAAGCATTTCTTTTCAATTTTAAATTTCAGTGATGCGGGAATTCCAGTCATGTAGTCTGAGATCTAAATCTTACAATGTGTGTGTTGTTATTTGTGGCCAAAATCATCATCGTAAAAGCCAAGCCTGAGAATGATTTTAGTTACCACAAGGAAGTATTGTCAGGGTTGTAGAATGCCATGCTCCAGTGGTTACGATGTTTCACTCATGTACGATGGTGCGTGGGTTCGAACCCTGCCGGGAACATGGTGTGTGTGCCCTTGGGCAAGACACTTAAACTACAATTGCCTTTCTCCATATATTAGCATTACAATTTAATTTATTTTAATTTAATTTTCATTAAATTGATTAGTTACATTTTGATTGCAGAATGCTGTTAAGTTGCGACGACGCTATCCACCGCCAATACCGAGTCTCAGAGGCAAACCCCACCGTGTCAAAACTAGTCACTACGTCTACGTCTTGGAAGCTGATTCAATGCATGACCCAAAGCCAAAGCTACAGGTTATCCTGACGGAAGATGTTCCAAGTAAGAAAATTGAAACTGAACACATTGTGTTTTGTTTTGGAGCTGTAATGGCCAACTATAGCAATGGCCCCAAGTACAGTTAAAACAGTCCCAACTATAATTGAGGAATCCCTACCATAGTTTGAATGATCCCAACTATAGTTGGGATTCTCTCAACTATAGTTGGGACGATGCTTTAGTTGGGATGCAATAGCGCTTGATGTCCCATTTCTTATTTTTCAACCACAAAAATGTTTGGTTATTCTAAAAGGCTCCTAGTCAAAATGAAAAGTGATTAGGAGTAATATTTACCTTTATTAAACCACCAAACTTGTTTTGGATATTGTTCAAATATTTTGATGTAAAAAGAAAGAATAAATTGCAGATGGGAGCTCTCCTTCATCCATATCTCTTGCATTTCTTATTGAAATTTTATCGATGCATTAAGTTCATCCGTTACAAGCTTTTGCTCTTACTTGCTGGCCTCCATACATGTCTTACCTGTAGATACTGTCATTTGGTTTCACTGACCTGAAGTTGCAATGTTTGGAAGCAATGTCTTTTGAAGGAGAAAAATAGGCAGATTTTGGTGAATTGACCTATCGCCGTTTGCGAGTTAGCCACGGTCCTTAGACAACCCTAAGGGGAATTTTGTACATTAAGTTTGTTCGTCTCAGACTTTGCGCGTTCCTCGTCCATATGTAGATCATGTAATTGGACAATATTTCACAAGCTGCGTTGACGCGATTCTACTGCGATTGGTCAATTTGATACATATGGAAGCTTTCTATTGAAGTTCTTGTAGCCCTTTACCTTGTAATTGGTGACTTCCATAAACAAAGTTCTAACTTAACTATACGTTTCTGTGTGTGACTAAATCGACATCTGAGGAAAATAAATAATGAGAATATTTTGTCAATGTTTTTTTTGTGTCCAGGGATAGGTTCAAGAGGAGACATCGTCGCTGTAGACAGGAGCATGGCTCGCAACCGGCTCTTGGGCAAGAATGTAGCCGTCTACGCCTCACCGGAAAACATCAAAGAGTTTGCATTGGAGAAACAGGCAAGTAGAACAGTGGATGTGTGAAAAAGTGTGTCTGGGAGGATTTCTACCACAGTTTGAAAGTTCAACAGCCTTGAAAGCCAAATTTGACAGAGAACTAAAACTGAAGGGGGAGGGAAAGGCAAGGCATCACCAGTTTTGAATGAGTGACTACCAATGCAGTCAGACTGCTGGAGGTTTCAAAAAGCGAGGATGGGGGCGAGATGGTAACATAATGACGCCTGGGGGCGCTGTTCAATGTGATCAAAACTGGACACTATCTGGCACGAGGTGATGATGTTTGTCAGTGCAGTGGTGGGGGGGGGGGGATGGAATCTAAATGTCTGTGTCAGTTATGATAATGATTCAAGTGGGTAAGAGTACTAAACATAAGAAAAACAATTCTTTTTTTATCAAACATTAGAGCCCATTGTCTGAAACATCCAGTTTGCCCGGTTCTTTTCAGAGCCTCACAAAAGAGATGTGTTACACGGTGCAACTGTAAATTCATCTTATTACCTTAGAAATTATTTTCCTTTTCTATATTTATCTGAGAGTCCACCTTTGAGTTTTCTTGATTGCATCTTGAAATTCTCTTAATGGCTCTTGAATTTTACTATGCAGTTCCTTCGACTGAACAAATTTTGTTATTTGATTTGACTTGTCTGCTTTCGTTTTGTTTTTTCTTCTTCAAGGAAAGGGAAATGGAAGGCAGTCAATTGTTGACGCCAACTGCTCTGAAGGTAAAAAAAAGTTTATCGTATTGGAATATTTAAATTTGTTAATCACTCTTATTCAATTTATCAGAAGCAAGTTGAGATTTGGGATTAACAGATTTTCTTGGAGCATGCTAACATCTGGGGGAAAATGTCCGGTTCCCTTCCCCCAGTAAATAACTTCACACTGTTAATTGTATTTTGGAATTTGCAGTTTAGGTGCTTTTATTTTGTTTGATTTCAAATTCATTAGTATTATGTACCGACTGTTGCTTTTACCATCTGCGTGGATTTATGTCGTTCACGCCCAGGCAGTGCCCAATCCACCCATCACACTACCAATCCAAAACATATCGCCCTCATCTGATCACCAGTTTTGTAACATTTTTGCCAAATTTGGTTTATAGTTCAACGCATTTCTTCTTAACTTGCAGACGATAGAATATCTGAAGAAAAGCCGATTAACCTTAAGGATTCGCTCCGTTCCCATATGGGACGTGCTTCCTAAAGAGGCTGTCATCCATGCATTCGACAAACATGTGAGTTACATTCTTTTAATACTTATGTTTTGCCTTAATTTGTCCTTAAAATTTGCCAAATTTGCATTTTAAGTAATCAAAGTTGTTGTATTTCTTGTTTTAGTGAATCATATTAAGTGCCAGAACTGACAAATATTCTCCAATAAATATGGAAAGTGGGTAAACTTGAGACTTAATCCCTAATGTCACTACAAATTCTAAAACTTAATGACATTTTGTAAAGAGCTCAGAAATTCTTTAAACACCTTCCATACTAAAATGCAACCCATTGTTATGGGGAAGGGTTTCTTGATTTTAAGGTTTATTTCTTTAAATTCTAAGCTTGCATACCTTTTCATGCAAATTTCTGATAAATGTCACTTCTTGTTTGTTTTTCTGCCAGTTGGGTGTAGTTGTTGCCGACCATGCTTTGGAATTACCAGAAGAGCCCATAACGGACTACGGTACATACACTGTCAAGGTCACAGTCAACAAACTTGAAACTGTGCCCATAGAGATGGATGTCAAACGTTACATCAACAAAGGACAAATGAAACGACTAGCTGCCAAAGCCGCAAAAGCCCCGCGGGAAAGTGCGGTCTTGGATTGAACTGCGATACCCCCATCCCCACTCCGCTCACTGAAAACAGTTCCTCTCAAAAAATTTATATGAAATTATTTGCTGGTTGTAAAAAGATTAGGCTTTGCTGATTAGAGCTGGACCCAAAGTCTCAGTTCATGCTGTCACTGTAAATTGACAGGGTCCCTATTCAGTGGCGAAGACAATGTATGTAGCCAACTATTGTACAGAGCAACTGCCGCACAAAGGATTATCTGAATAATAACTGGCTAAATGTTTGCCATTGAATGGGGCGAGTGTGAGCATACGGTGATAGATTGTTTGGACTGCTCTATACTTGGTGACTCAGTCAGTCGCCTAATCAGTCAGTCAGTGTTTCAAGTCATTCAGGACAATAGCCTGGTCCTTCAAAAACGTGTTATCAAGGAACACGGTATTCGCCATTCAAGTTTGTGAAGTAATTCAAGGCATTTGCAGTCACATGTTCATATTCGTAAACCGCAGTTTTGTTACATCGTGCCAGTAAGTCAAAAAGATATATGGTTGTAACTTACGTTGGGAGAAAGAAATTAAATCACTGATAACTGAAGGTTTCGATGTCATTCCGGACCTAAGACTGACCGTTTGACGTTGCAGTTTCATTTGCGAAAAGCTAGCATGCCGGAGGGTTCCACACACGCAATGCGATATTACCCTCAGTGTGTCATGTGACATGTATTTTTATTGTCCAGACACATGACCATCCTAGACCAATGAAATTACAGTATCCAAGCAGATGATACAACAAATATATTTATTACATACAATCCCTTGTGTGATAGGAGCAATATACACGTTCCATACCTTCTATAAATGTACACTCATAAATGTGACTCATAAATCTGCAGTGCTTTTTCGCAGTTCAAAACAATTTTGTAAAAGTTGTAAAAAAAAAAATCTGAAGGCCAACCTCATATTTGAAAACCTTCTTGTTTTGGTAAAATATATACTCATTTTTGTGCACAATGTGCAGTCCTAATTTGTTCTACATCTACCCCCAACCCCACCCCGCCCAATTAACTCATGTTTCAATTTCTGTCTGAGAAACACTGAAAATCAAAAGAAAAATCATAAAACCACTTAACAGAAGAAAGTGACAAGAAAAGATTACACAAAGTACTCAAGGATATGTTTTGACTTTCCACAATTATATATGTGTCTTAGTACAATCATCTCAATACTTTCAATGAACAAACGCAATTATGTCTAAATTGAAGAAGAAAATACTATATTTTGAGGCACTATAGATCTCTCTCACAGGACGCCATCTTCGTAGGAAAATTACAACTGCGTATTCAACGCCATCAGGTGTGTGTGCGCGCAGTGTGCAAAATGTTCTTAACACGCGCACATGTTGCTTGAAATTTTTCTGAAATACGACACAATTATTGATACCAAATAAACATCATAGCCTTATCTATTTCCAACCTTTACTGTGGAATAAAAAATCTTTACATAAGAGCAATTTCAAAAGTCATATTTTCCAAATGAAGTGTACATATAGCTAAAAATAGAAAACAATCTCAGAAAACAATTATTTTAATAGCATGCGAAATAAATACAATTCTCGATTTCAGGTTAAACATGAGCAATCATAATATTTAGCGTTGACATTTCTGAACTAAAATCCTACATTAGCAAATGAAGAGTTTAAAGGTTAGAGCAATAAAATACTGAATCCATTTCTGTCTAATACTTGTAAGATTCCGTCCACCGCAGAGGGGTAACTCTAATATTGAACAGATTTACAGGTTGTTTACAAAACAGCTCATGACAAGAATTCTTGAGTTCACTGAGGTATTCTGATGCAGTTTCCAAATTTAAAACTTGCACTTATTGCACTGTAACTGCATCTAAAAACTGCACCTTCTCACACAAAAACTAAACGATGCTATGGATTTCTGCAAATTAAAAATTGCTGTCGCCAACTAGGTCCAATCGCACTTATGAACCAATGTGCATTTACAATCTATCATTTCTCGGCTGTTGTTAGCCACTCAATGCTGTCTCTAGTGCCAGAATGATGGGCATACAGTAACGATAGTCAAAAGCATACAAGGGTATACAGACGAGTTTAACTCCACAACAAATGCTGAAGAGAATACGCCGAATACAATACAGACCACATGGATTGTTCACAAATTTCCACAACCTTATTGTGACTTCATTCACTAACAGTGATACCAGGGATGAAGTCGAGTCCAACACAATTCCCTGCAAGTCCATCACAAGTCCTCTAGTCCCAATTCAACTCACAAGCTATTCAAATAAGATTTGACAAAGGCATTTCTTTGTTATTGTTCATCCACTGTTACAGTGAAATCTCGAACAGGTTCAACATTTGACTTAATAAGCAGAGTTTTGAGTTAAGGAGCGTTGTATATCATTGTTATACTCAGGCATGCAACTTTTCCTCGGATCAGCTGATTTCCTCTTTTTTCACTTCCAATGTGTGCCATTGAAAATAGAAAAACACTGTACAAAATCTTGGAAAGATTTGAATTTCCTCTTTTTTTTGTGACTTCCCAGTTGCATGCCTGTATACTACTAAAGGGAATGGATTCTTTGTTTATCGAGATTTCACTGTGCTTGTGACTGGACTTGTGATGCACTCGACAACATCCCTGATGTGATACCCAGAGATGTAGAGTCACAATTCTCGACCGGTATTTATCACAGAATACCTACAAATATTTTTACATGTATATAAAAAAACATAAAATGATTTAACCTATAAAACGATCTACTTCATCATAACCTGGATTCCCCATTGAAGAAGTTATCTTGCTGGAACACTTTGTTCTCGGGCAGTTCCAGGACCCTGTCTGCCTCTGCTATGTCGGCCTTGATGGCGCTGATTAATTCATCTGCAGAGTGCACGAAAAATGTGAAACAGAATATTAGGATCAGGTTGTTTGTTTACTGCAAAAACAATATTCTGAAAAACTCGGGTTAGCGGGGTATAGGGGCATATGTTGCACACACTGCAGGCTAAATTACGGACTCCTAAATTGTAATGCAACTTGATGTATTTGTATATATACATTTCAGCAACTTGTATCTCAATTTTGAAGGCAAATTTTGAAGGACACAAAATTTTCAAATGCTTGCTGAATCTTTTGTTGAAAAAGGAGCGGGCAGACATGCATCATGATCATTTTCAAATATTTTAAATATGCTGGCGCAATGACATGGGTACCATTAATTCTTTGAATATGTAATTAATGGCCTTGGGTGGACAGAATTCATTTGGTTATTAACTACCCCCACCAACACAAATCAACATGTATCATGAATTTCATAATGTATTTCTTTACTTCAAATGCCCCACATATTTTTGCTGTGAATCGTCCTCAAGCCACTGTGCAGAAACCCAATTGCAAAGTTTCTGTACTTCATCTTTCAAAGGGCATCAAACTCCCAAAATTAATTGTGGCTCAAGCTCAGTGTAGTAGTACTCGAGTACAACTCGAGTACATTTTGAGAATACTCGTAATCGAATATCAAAATACTCAGAGTCGAATTCATGGTACTCGTACTCGAGAAGAAAAGTACTTGGACTCGACTATTCAAAATTGTACTCCACCATCTAAGTACTCATACTCGATTATAAGAGGAAAAATCGAGTAATTTAGTACTGAATGAAAAAAAAAGTGTCCTTACTTAGAGACACACGTGCTCTATTTTATCGATACTGCATAGTACCGGGCTGTGGAGAAGATCAATTTCCTGTGTGTTGGTGTATGCACAGACATTATGCTTCATCTTTATGTACAACATGCAGCCGTCTGCGAGGAAACTCGTTACTGAGATTTTAATTGTTTTTCCGCTTGAGTTCTCCATAAAGTACTCGTACTCGGGGGTCCAAGCACTCGGACTCAGTTTCACAAAACTTGTACTCAAAGGTCCAAGTACTTTGACTCGGATACCTGTGCTTGTCCTCAAGGGTCTAAGTACTCGGATGACGGTGGTACTCGATAGCTTGGTACCCGGCAGTACTTTGTACTTGCGAAACCCTGCTAAACCTTCTGGAGGATTTTGATAGACGTGGGAGGATTAAACCGTACGGTACAACATTCCAATCGCTCGGACATGCTTAATTCATGAAATTATGACTTCACTGCACTCACCTAGGGAATTGAAGCTTTTCTCTGGTCGTATAAATGCTAATATGACGATGCTGAGATTACAGCCGTAGAAATCGTCCTTGAATACATGCATTACATGCGTTTCCTGCAAACAGAACATGTATTGTAGATGAGACATACATTAAACCTCAAAATACTTCATTTTGACAAAGGAAGAATATAAAATCTTGATTTGAGAAAAACCTCTGAAATGTGTGTTGGGGATTTAGAACATTTCATTTTTCAGAACATCTAAAATGTAAAACAAGAATTGCTTGATTGGCGAACTCAAGGTAAAATCCAATGGAGCCAACTTAAAACAATTGTTTGATTTATTTTTTCTAAAGGAAAGTTTATTAAGCGAATTACAGTGTGTTACTAAAAAGACTAACTGAAAGATGCTTCTAGATGTATATTAAGAAATATATGTGTTGACTCTTTTGGAATGCAAAGGTTAATTTCTAAGGCCTAAATTTGGCCACCAAGATAAAACAATTGAGGGAGTTGAACCAAACTGGTAGTCCACAAAGAAGGAGATTGTAGATCTTGCCTTTGTATAGCCCCATAAATGTGGCCAATAAACTGGACTACCTCCATAAATAAAGGCCACACTTCCACCATGTACAAAAACATGTAGAACTTCGTCAAATTTTGATTTGCACATTTAGGCTTAGTTTGTAGTTTAATTTTGCTTTAGAAGCATACTCGCCCTCTTTATAGGCTAATCAGAAAGTGCTGCCTTTTTCAGATGTCTATTTTTCGTGAAATTCCCAGATTTGTTTGCACACCTTTGCGTATCAAAATTTCAACTTTATTTACGGAAGTAGTCCAGTAAATTGGCCACATTTATGGGGCTAGCCTTTGTACACATGTACATACCATTGATTTTTTGGTGTTTTTGTAATATGGGTTCCATCCCAGACTTAGCACCATCTTATGGACGTCGCCATGGTCTACTGACGCCCAGCCACAGTACACCCCAGTGCTTAGTTCGGGGGGTAGATGCTCCACGACTTCATCCGGGTAGTTGGCTGTCAGGAAACGAAAAGAAAAAGATCAAAATTCTGTAAAATATCACGTTTATATGAGTCAGGATGTAAACTACCTCTCTGATTTGCAGAGTCGATTTGTTTAAAGAAGAAACTTGAGCTAATTATCCTCATTGAAAGCTCTCCAATCATACACGAAAACAGCTTTCAACAAAAGTGTGGCATTTGACAAACACTATAACCACACAACTTCAGAGTCCATACTATAAACTCCAATAATCAGATTACAAAAGTATCCAGAGAAAAAAAAACTGAAGCAACGTTACTGCAGTCTTGCCCCTGCACTCAAAGGCACCTACCAGTTGGAAACCCCAACTCCTTGCTCCCACGCCTGAAACACCTCACCACTCTGCCTCTAACGTAGTAAGGCAAAGGCTGCATGGTAAACTGCAGTAGAGATTGTGTGTATCACAAGGAACACGATCGAAACAGTATTAAGCCATCGCTGGCAAAAGTCAACAGATCCGTTTTCCACGGGTCACGCCAATTTACATGCACATTTCTCTGGTACACTGCACACGTGCTGCTATTGTGATCACTGCTCAGTCAGTGTGTACACAACTTGTATTGATCAAATGTCCATTGACAAAACAACCATCCAAATAATGAATCTGAACTGAATATATGTATTTCTAATTCTTGTCAGCCTACAGTACAGTGTGCAAACTAGGTACCGGTACATGTGCTTAGAATAAATCAACAGTGGTTTCGCACTATAAACTACATGTACATGTATCTCTTGTTATCTTAAAACAGAATTTTTTTTTATAAATTAAGTTCTAAAGTCCACTTCTCTAATTGCACAACTGACATAAACCCATGTGTAGAAAGTCACAGGACCACCAAATCCACACAAGTTTAGCATCAATCCCACCAGAAAAAAAACCAAGGCTGTTGACCAATCTGATTGGTGGAGAGAGATTTAAGTGCACGAACATCTCAGAGTCAGACAAGTTCAGAAAGGGGACAGAGGGCAGTGACACAACTTAAAGGGGCACTGCATCCTGAAATCCCCGAAAATTTCATGTTTTGGATTGTTTACTTATCCTATTTCAACCATCTGGTAGAAAGGACACCAACCTAAATATGAGTACAAACAATCCTCCATGCCTGAATGGGTTGACAATCTCTATTTCATTTTGTGTACTGGACGGTGACGGACCCAGATGTCAGCACTGTACTCAGTGAGAGAACTCCATAAAAATGCACCAAAATTTGTGAACACACATACTATCACAAGCAAATTCCTCAACTGGGTGATAACAAATTGTGAAAGGAATTTGCAGTGACATCGCAATCTAAATGAAATTACTTGTTTGACTACATAAATACAGGATAAAACTTTAATTTTTTTTATATTTTGAGTTTCAATTTAACGATGTAGGCCTTCTAACATGTTATTACAAAAAGGCACTGAACACGCACAGCGAGAGTTTTTGGGGACTTAAATATAGGTGCGCAGCGTAGAGGAAGTCTGGCTCAAGAACAAAAAAAATGCGGGACCGGTTCAGGGTCTTTTAATCACTTCGGAAAAAGCAAAAAACATTTTGGTAAAAAAACAGTGCAATGTGACCATATTTTTCAGAAAAATCTAAATACTTAATAAAAGCTATTGTGAAATTGACAAAAATTAGTAGGCGCCTATTAAAGCTAAAGCAAACAAATATATTACATACAGGACAAAATACAAAATGTTACTAAAAATTATGGCAACTAGTAGTAAACTACACAATATTAATTTTATTATTGACAATTATAACTTGCATTACTAGTATGAGTGGGCATTATAATTAGTCAAATGAGAAACAAAAATTCATTTTTTAATTTAAAATAACAATAAACATGATAAAGATGAACGTAGAGCAAGGTTTTGCTCTATATGAGAATAGTAATACAGAATTTATACTACCAAAAAAAAAGTACCATGCACCATCATGACTAGGCTAAAAAAATAATATGAAGTACATGTATCATCATGATCATCGATATGGTTCAGCTCGAGTAACTCCAGCTCCAACACTCATCAGGAATTCGACATTCTATATGTCAAATTCCTATTGAGCATTGCAGCTGGAGTTACTCTCGACCCGTGAACGTGGCCGGCTATATATACACGCCACGTTCACGTTACTCATAGTCATAGTCATAGAGCAACTTGCTCTATGCTCAAGCTACGATAAATTAAATTCAATCAAAAACAAACCGTACCTGTTGGAATACCCAATTCTTTACTCCCTCGGCCGAATCCTTTCACAACTTTACCCTGTGTTAAATAAGGTAAGGCTGACATTATGGATGACATTCGGTTCAGTTGCCCACATAAACTGCGAATCATCTGCACATTCAGCGACAGTAAAAGATGTTTTTTAGGAACTATCGAAAGTTCGCGAATAAAATATCCGCATTACATCACAAAATACACACATGCACAAAGCCGGTGTACGTAGTCTGTCTCCTTGTCACGTTTCAATTGGACTTGTTGAAACTTTGAGATGGTCACCAGACTGTATGTAAATTTTTTTCCAGTGACCTTTAAACTGCGCGCCATTAAATATTTTCCAGCAGGTTGCATGTGCTCAGTAAATATCGTGTACTTCAGCCTTCAGGTAAAATAGGATGTGGGCGGAAGTAGGAAAACACATATACAGCTAGCTCTACTCTCCAAATTTTCTATATTTAACGTGGACGTTTACATTAAATGTGTAGCGAGTGAGTGTAGATTTGATTGTGGAACAGTTTAGCCCGTTTGATTGTGGACTTTGTCAAAGTTTGTGGTGTTGTGTACTGTGACTGGCACTCAGTGACAGCTCACTAAGTGTACAAAATCCTGGAGAAGTCTAAGTAATGAATACATAAATTAATTTTGTCGGCCAAAATTTGTGTTTTTTAACAAGTTTGCTATAACTATTCCATTACAGTTAACCAGGGATAATAACACATTAGGAATGTTAATTCTAATGTTTAAAAAAAATATCTTTCAAAAATGTTCTTGAATAGTAGCTTGAGTAACTCAAGCTTAACAAGCTCATCAGGAATTCACATGTCTACTTGAACAGCATTTATTAATTTTTTATAACCTTTTTATTAAAAATTTTCTTGAATTATTTGCTGCTCAGTGCTATTAAAGTTGTATTCCCCGTGCTCTTAACAATTTTGATTGTTTTTCTGTCAATATATTTTCAACTTGTATGTTTTATTCCAACCAAAAATCCTCCATTTTTTCTGATGTCCGCAACCCTTTGAAAAAAAAATGGGTTTTCATTTTTGGAAAAAGGTTACATTTACTTTTTAATTAAATCATGAAACACAACTCATAAGAGTTTTGATTTAATCAGTAATGACTTTTCTTTGCAGTTGAGTTACTGTGACGTACCTACCTGCCATTCAAAAATTGGACGTGTGACAGAAATCCTGGTGACCACTCAGTGAATTATGTTGAGGATAAAATCATCCCTTGTGTGTCTTGGAAGACTCAAGTCCGGAAACTTGAAGCCAGCCAGACAGAAATTCTTGAAGTCATACAGCAGTGGAGCCAGAACGTCAGGAGGAGGTGGCCAGAGATGGAGAACTCAAATCGTGTGCGCATTAGGAGGTGGACTGGCCGTTGGGGTTGGACTAGTAGCCAGTCTATGGTATTCGCGTTCTCGTAAGGTTGCGCTCGTGGGTCTTGAGGAGGCTGCATGTCACGAGAAACACAGATGGAGAGGGAAGGATGCGTCACCATGGAGACAGGAGGTCGGTGCGGAGGCGGGACTCCAAGAAGCAGTGAGGAGGTCCAGAGATTTGCTGCGTAGGGTCAAAGATGAGGCGGGCTCACCAGGTATTGTCGTGGCTGTGAGTGTCGACGGGAAACTGCTGTGGGCAGAGGGTAAGGGTCCTTGGTATCTTCTCTGAATGATCATGAGGAAGGAGTTTTAGCCACCAAACAGGAATTGTAGACGAAACTGTCTCACCTACTCAGGAGAGACATTGAAGAAACAATCGTAATTGTAATTTCCCCTTGTTGTTTTTGTTCTCAGGAATGGGGTATGCTGATGTTGAAAATCGTCTTCCGTGTACAAGTAAAAGCGTCCATCGGATAGCTAGCATCAGTAAGTCGTTAACTATGACGGCGGTCGCCAAACTCTGGGAGGAAGGAAAGCTGGATCTGGACAAACCCATACAGCACTATGTACCAGAATTCCCTGAGAAAGAGGTTGATGGGAAAAAGGTAAGTGCATGGATGGCGTGCATGATTTCCGTTTTCTTTCACTTATTAAATTTCAGCCATATTGCATCCACATTCACACAAAGGAACAGTGACCTATGAAACAAGCAGATTTGATTATGAATATTGGCTGATCAATTTCCTTTGCAGGTCGAAATAACCACAAGACAGTTGGTGTCCCACCTCGCGGGCATCAGGCACTACAGCAAAGACTACATAGAGAAGCTGGGGAACCAGACTGACAAAGATGGTGCCTCCAAACTTGCCCAAGACTCCAAGACGTCTTCCAAGAATGACAAAACCAACGATGCCACCAAGACAATGAACAATAATGGGGGAAAAGACACCAAAGAGACAGAGTTCTACGTGACAAAGGACTATTCTTCGGTCGTCGACGCCCTGGAATTGTTTAAAGATGACCCGTTGAGGCATAAACCAGGTTAGTTTGTTCTACTGGAGGGCACAGATGGGAACCTATATGGTGCGGTTACGTCCACCATAAATCCTTGCAAATTCCTCACAAATTCCCAACAAGTCCTCACAAGACCCCACAAGTCCATGACAAGTTAAGTCAAGCTATTCAACCAACAATCGTGGCAATATACTTCACCTAGCATTTTGTGTACATTGATCTATGGGGAACGAGACTGACATTCATTCATCCCCTTTTTTTATTGCAATTTAAAAAGGTAGCAAGTACTACTACACGACACACGGCTGGACGCTCGTGAGTGCCGTCGTGGATGCAGCAGCGGACGAAGACTTCTTAGTGTACATGAAGAAGATTTTCAAGGACCTCGGCTTGACTCACACGGTCCCCGACGAAGCAAGTCCACTGATCTACAACCGGGCGCGAGGCTACACCAAGAACAAAAAGGGAAGGCTGATTAACGTGCCGGCAGTGAATCTCTCCCACAAGTGGGCAGGCGGGGGCTTTTTGTCGGACGTCGGGGATCTGGTTCAGTTTGGCAACGCAATGCTATACAGTTACCAGTACACTAACAAGCACAGGGGTAAGAGAATCAAACACATCAATTAAATCAATTAAATCCATTGGTCACTTGCTTAAAGGGAATGTACATCATTGGCTTTTGCTGTAATTTTCAGTAATAAACTATTTGAGGGGTTAGTATAATAGATCAAATATTGTTACACTGACATGTTTGAAGTTTTGTGTTCAAAAATGCTGGAAAAACCAAGAAAAACTAAAATGTTCAAGTAGTCTGGTTCCCTGACTCCACTTAAGATGATATGGATCCATTTATAGATGCCGGAAAACTGTAAGGTAATGGAACCAGTCCAGCTGGCCTGCACTCATTCATGAACATGTAACCAATAGTAAACAAAATGTGGACTGAAAAAAAATGGTAAATTTGGAGCAGTAGTTGAAAAATAGTTAGGTTTTTCCAACGGTGGTCAGCCAACCACCGTTGGAAATTAACAATAAAATACCACTTTTCTTTAAAATGACTTCACACCAGGTGCCATAATTTTACAAGATGCTTAAGACCGTCATTTGCCAACATCCTAGTAAGGTATTTCGTAAAACTTTGGTATTTTGTTTTTTCGATGTTTGCAAATGTTGTATATTCCCTTTAATCGAATCAATCAAATCTGAGTGAATCAACAGAATCCAGACAGTCAAGATGCCTTCAGTTAAAGAAATTAAAATAAAATGTAATGCCAAAGTAAAAAAGGAAGTCGTAATTTTTGTTTCTTGTTCAATTTGTGCCCTAAGATGCAGGGCTTCTTCCAGGCTACCTAAAGCCAGAGACCATGAAGGCGATCTGGTCCCCTGTCCCCCTCGCCAAGTGTTCCTCGGGTACCAATGGTGAGTACATGTACGCCATGGGGTGGCAGGTGCACGAGAGGGGCGAGCACCGAGGCTTCTGCCCCGAAAAGCACCAGATGGTCTGGCACCTAGGAGGTGCTGTGGGAGCCAGCAGCGCGCTACTCGTGGTGAACCGGGGCAAACCGGACACTGTCAGCAAAAGCGAACCAGTTGCAGGGGACACCACGCAAGACGTCTCCGGACTTGGCGACGCTCCAAGTCCAAATGACCTCTCTGAGAAATGGGGTGTTTCATCTTCACATGATTCTGTGTCTTTGCCAGAGGGAATAGTTGTCGCCATGATTGTTAATGTAGATGACGTCAGCTTGTTCAAGGCAGCTGTTGAAATTGCACAGGAGTTTCAAAAAGTACATTGCTAACTTTGGGGCGATTCCGTAAATTCGGACTTACATGTCAGACAGTTGAATGAGCCTCTCTTGCTAGTGTAAATGTGATACATTACTATATGACATCTAGTGAAGAAAAAACAATTACAGGCCAAACAAATGTGCTACCACCTTTACAATTTTGTAAAATCATGTGGTAGACGTACACAAAATAGCTGGAATTTATGGAATTGCTCTTTGACAACTAGATGTTGTCTTACTTTTGGGTACATTTATTTTAACGCTTGAAGTATCTAAAATACAAATCTTTTTTTATTCTTGCACTTAAATATGGCACTCGTTTTAAATTACTAACATAATTTTTACAAATTTTAATACGGTTTTAAAGGGAAACAACTTTTTAACAATACAATATTAAAGCTGTACATTTTAAAGATGAGTGGTGTCCTCAAATTCCGTCCACTCCATTCTTTCATTAATCAAATTATGAGCCGGGAATCGGAGGAATACCTGTACAGCATTTGGACGTTTCATCACTGTTGCATTTTGATGATAATGCCTTCCAATTTGTGCCTGACAATTTAAAGTAAGTTTACTCAACGAAAATATATTCTACAATGTATTGTTTTCCTTTGCACGTCAAAAACTAGGAATAAATTAACAGCTCCTTTGCTTAATGGACGCTTTGCATTACAACCATCTTTGAGGTCTTCTTTTATCTTATATTTAAGTAAACATCTTGCGTATTCATAATAAAAAGTGCCTCAAACAAGGCGTCTGGATGCAAATAAAGGGTCCTTACTTGCACAAAATAGGGATAACGTGAAGATGTAAAATTAAGGTAATCATTTATCCTAATGCCAATACGGTGCTAACAGATACATGGATTGTAACATGAATATTTTTTTAATGATACAAATGTTCATATTCTTACAATGTCTATCTTATGTACGTGCCTAAGTACAAGGGACAGTCTGGGCATCTGGTGTTTAAAGGGAAATTTACGATAAAGTTTGGGGGGTCTATTTTAGAAAATTGGTTTGGGAAATTTGACGAAAGTCTTCTTTTTTTCTGAAATAACTGTAAAAGCAAATAATGCGCATACAAGTATTTTTTTTAATCGTTTTTGGAAGTTGAAGTGAAGTCTGACATGCAACTGTTCAATTGGAATGTTTCTGTAGTTTTTAAGCAATTTTATGCAATTTTTAAGCAATTTAATGAATATTAATAATTCAGAAACATTACCGTTATTTAATTTATGAAATAAATTAAATAAATGTCATTGGAATGGAAGTTATACGTTTTATTTGTTTGAGGCTGATTATTTTGTGGTTCAATTAAAACAAATCCTCCAAACATCCTCCATAAAATAAACATTATCATTTATAATCATAACATTATCTCCCCTGAGGAAGTAACAAAAGACCAAATCAACAAACCAGTCTTTTTATAGTTTGTAAAAGAAGAATAATTAATACGTCATAAACTAGTCTGTGTTCCTGTTATGTCGGGAATGACAAGACTTCACGTGGCTACAGGAAGTGGCGCGCCCGCAACAACAGGTGCAACCTGTGAAGTGTTTGTTTGGAAGCAATGTGTGGTTTTTCAGATGTCATTCAATTTCCATAACCGTGTTGATGTTTTTGGCTACACGTTTGTTATTGCCATTAAAGGGAAAAGTTTGTTTTTTTATTTCTGTCTGACCGAGTTAAGTTTGATACACATTCAGTGTCTTCTCACAGAAGGGTAATAATCATAATGCGTATTTATAAAGCGCACGTATCCACCAATATTTGTGCTCAATGAGCTGCATCATTATTACCCTGCACATTGGGCCAACATTCCAAATACCATCTCAACTCCCTGGGGAGTATAAAGCTCGATGCTGTCATTTCCGCGCAAAGCAGCTAAAATCAACCACAATGACCAATGAAGCAATGAGTGACAGAGTGCCTTGCCTAAGGGCACACGCACCATAACCCCAGGCTGGCTTCGAACCCAAAACCTGCAGAATTACCCGCAGACCACGAATTCAATGCTCCAGACCACGAGGTCACAGCATTCCACAGTCTTTACAGTAAAACAATTAAATGTTCATTACTATGATTTCCATACTTTTGTTGTAGAAATTATAAAGGCTACACTGACCTGCAGGCATGACAATTTTTGTTTTGTTTTTTAATGCAAATGCCAATGAGTTTTTGTAATCGTCTTTCAAGTAGGTGGCATTTTCTTTGCCAGCCACTAACTGCATAATGTTAGTAGCGGGCAGTGATAACTCTGTTCGGGATCCCGTCAAAACATTGGTTCAAGATTAAAACTCGCGTTTCAAAAAATGTGTCTCTCGTAAGCGGGTTGGTTCTCGACGGCCCTTTCATGGGCGGGCGCCGGAGCGCAGGGATGGGGCTGACCCAAAATCTCCATATACACGTTCTCTGTGTAAAGATTCTCTGGTACACTTTGACTTTGACGGCCCAGTGGCGAGCCGTCTGGAGCCACAGCGTGAGCCCGGACACACCCGTCACCCAGCATGAGGTCAGCCTCCGGGTTGTGCAGGGAGAAAGTCGTCCCTCCTCCCTCCGGGGAAGGACTTGATGGGGTGGCATCTTTGACTACCTCGTTCATGCGCCGTCGCCAGCGGGCGTACACGACCCCCATGCCCGCAGCTATAAAGACAACCACGATGCATAACATGATGCCTATGACTAGAGCCAAGTGTGAAAACTGTGTCAGATCCTCCGGGTTCTTGGAGGACTTCCTTCCTTTCTTGGTGGCTGGCTGGTCGGTGTTGGCAGTTCCTTGGGTCGGTGTTGGCCTGATGGTAAGCCTGGATGGCAAGCTGCGTCCGGTGATGTTTATCTCATTGGATGCCTCGCAGATCACCTCGATGCCATCGTCTTCTGTTGATGCTCCGAGGATGCGGAGGGTTCTCCCACTGATGAGGAATCGCTGACTCGGTTCCACTGTTGCCCCGTCCTTGTTAAAGACCCAGGTGTATGATGTAGCTTCAGGAATGGCTTGAGCGCTGCATTGGATCACCACTTCGCCACCCTCCATCACGGCTTGCGGTCCGGACGGAGAGATGCTGACATTCGTCGGTATGGCTAACGGGATCAGAGTGCAGTTCGCTCGGCTTGACGTTGATGGATCCGTGATCCTGGTCTCGGGTTTACAAGTGAACTTTCGGAAGTTATCCGTCTCCGACAAGGTCCACACGACTCTGCTCTCACCCTGTTTCTTCCCAGCGAACTCGCTGCCTTGTTTACCAGCCGTCCAGGACAGCGTTTTTACCGGTACCTGTCCGGTAGTATCTGGATATGAACACGCCAAAGATACCGTGTCCCCTACTTCGTGAGGTCCTGATGGGTCCATGCTGCAAACCGGTGGTTCAGATCCCAACAACGCTGTTGTCTGTGATGGGACGACCGTCAATGTAGCATTGGAGGATTTCAACCACCCTCCCCCAGCTTGGCTGTACTGCCAGCACTCATACACGGTCCCGGAGTCTTCTAAACTGACGCTCCTCACGCGAAGTGAGTACACATTGTCTTCTCTCTGGATGCTGTACTTGGATTCGTAACTCGTCAGACACTTGGAGACGTACGAGAAATCTCCATCGGGGGCCTGGAAGCGTCCCCAGTAGAAGAACAGACAGGGGAGGTCGGTGCCGCATCGGAAGGTTGCATCGCTGCCCTCCGTGACGGTCACATCGTCAGGTTGCACGGTGAAGACTGTCGCAGTTGCTCCGCACGCAAAAAGTACCAACATCCAGAAGGTCTTAACTGACAGTCGATTTTCCATTTTGTCTACCTCGATTCTTTATGAGAAATCACAAGTTTCGTGAGGAGAAGTAGTTTTGGCCCGCAGCGTGACACATGGAAAGCTTCTCCAGGATAACCTCTTTAATTGGCGCAACAAATTAGATAAGTTACTGGAATATCTTGGTCCGGGTTCAGATTATATACGTGCACAACCATGCTGTTGTAGATCCAGAATAACATGGAGTGTGTTGATAAAAGTCTGGAAGCATTTTTAAAAATTGTTTCATGTCATCTTCTCAAACCGCGTCTTTTAAGTCAACAGTGGAGCCGGCGTGGTGACGACACGAACCTCGTCACTGTGTCGGCAGAGTGACGAAATACATGCAGACAAAAACATCGGTGCAAAAGACTTCGCGATTGACACACAGGAATCTTCCTCGTAATATTTCCTCAGATATATTTACCCTTTGGTTAGAAAAGTGTACTACGTGTACGGATGTGCAGCCGGCAAAAATATGTGGGCGGTATAGTAACGAAACTGTATGTACCGGTACCACCACTGTTACAACTTGCATTATGTGTCTATAGCTGGCCTTATCTTGGTACACTTCCTCTTGGAAACATCTTTACAGCACACGCTGCATTGTTACAGCACTTGTGGCCATGCAGGTCTCGAACAAAGACAATGAATATTTTTACCAGCCGCGTCCTTTGTTTTTAGAGTATAAAGTTAATGAGTGGTGGGTCGATTCAGGAAGTTGCGCACAGTGTATGTAGCCAACCGGGGCCCTTCACTTTTGGATTTGTTCACCGGATGGGGCCGGTAGTACCGTGCTAGGCGGCGCACAAGCGTTTTAGCGTGATAGTTCAGTAATCTAAACTGCCACGCTATAAGCTGTGGGGCACTGTGGTCCAATTGAGGAGGGATTTATCCGACATGTAATTGGGAGTGTGTATAAACTAGCAGACATCAGATATGTTTATATTTTTTATTTTGGGGGGAATTCGTCTCTATACTGGTTGTTTTTAATACTGGTCTTTGGGGCGTTCCTTTTTTTTACTGGTTTTTACCCTTTTTCTGGTTTGATGGTGTTTTAATATAAATCCATTTTTTATCAATTTTTATCTCATCATGGTCATTTGGTCTCATTGGGGTTTTTCATCTAAGACAAAAAGCATCTTGAGATAGTACAGTCGGTCTGTTTTTATCATTACATGTTCGTATTTACAGTTGTTTAATTTAGTATAATATGGTTCTTATTTCATTTTTATTTCTTCATTTAAAATTCAGTGTTTTAATTTGAACAGGGGTCTGGTCAAACACATCGTTTGATGACAGTGTTTTATGCTTTTGTTTGTCCTTGACAGCCCCTGTTCATGTGGTTTTACGTTTCCTTTTAATTCAATTTTATATTTATGTCTAAAGATGTAAAATAAATAAATAAATAAATAAATAATGGTGACGGTGTTCGACTGCATGTGACGTGGTAATTGGTATGGGTTTGAGGCCTGACAGGGAACGTGGTTCTTGTGTTCTTGGGCAAGACACTTTACTACGATTGACTCAGGCTCTCAACCCAGGAGTATAAATGGGTACATGTGAAGGTAGAGGCCAAATTGCGCTGATCTCGAGCTGCTGCAGAACGAATGGTCTCATTGCCTAATGAACAGGGATAATACCGTAGAGCTATATTAATAGCTCTATGGATAGACTCACAAAGCGCTTTGAAACCTCAGGTATAAAGCGCTATACAAGCACACATTTATAATCTCGCGACTAGTATATGTCCCTTCTTTCTCCTATGTATATTCTTTAACCTTAACGTTTACATTTTGCTTTCCCTGAAGACCCGTTCACAAAAAAAATTACGAGGATTATTGTAAAAAGATTATTTCTTCAATTAAATGTTTCAGAAATTGTCGATCTGCCACGGTTGCGGAAACAAAACTATAGAATTGAGCCTTGGTTTTATTCGGTGCGTTTCGTAGAATTAGATATCCTGTAAAGCATAAGGCTTATGCTTTACATTTTGAATCAAATGTTTAAATTTCATTAAAATTGAGGCAGTTTTCTGCATATGCCCTTTTGCTGGGAACATTTTGGTCATTACGCGCTATTGCAAAAGGGAATATGCACATATGCCCTTCTGCCGGGCACACGACGAAGCATAAGTATATGGTGCTATTGCAAACAATACAATGCAAGACTGGTAAATCTGGTCACAGAGTGCAAAAGAAAAAATATGTCTCATCTAATTCAGAATGGATTTTCACTGGAAGTCTTTTCAAGTATGTGACCTACACAATGCACTGATCTCGAGGTCTTGGGTCGGACTTGGGTCGGGGTAATCCTATCAGTTCAAAAGTTTTGGCCAATGTGAGAATTAAGCAAGTCTTATTCACAGTCAGTCAGTGAGTCGGGCACAAAGAGGACTACACAAGCCGGCCCTCCCCGAGACCAGCAAAAATATCCTAAACTAGTGTTTGAACTGTAGTTTCTTTTGAGATCTTTCAGATCTGAAAAAAAGTTTTGGTATAACAGATTTAAGGTTCGGTATTTTTAGGAAAAAGTATCAGGGGCAGAGCCATATACACTTTTCGAAAGTGTCATGTATTAGCATGTCAAAAGTATAATTAGTTGAACTGTGTGCACTTTATAAAGGTGACATCGACAATATACACGATTGTGTTGTTTTTTCCCCAACTTCCTGTTCTGTCTGACCTTTATCGTCCAGCTGGTCCTACGATTATTTTACAGGCATGTGTAGCCTAATGAACCACTCCGGCCCGCCATGCATTGCTAAAACCTGAACCTATACCTCAGAAAGAAAATTTATAAAACTGTTCGACGAAATTGTTCAAGTGAAAGATGGCTCAAATTTGATAAAAGGGAAAAACTAAAGTAAGTATCATTGATTTAGAGTGTGATTTATTGTGACCTCAGATAAGTACAGATTTTGTTTATAAAAATAAAAAGTTGGATCGTCCCTGGGTGGGCTTGAACCACCAACCTTTCGGTTAACAGCCGAACGCGCTAACCGATTGCGCCACAGAGACGAGACAATGCCACTTTGCTCAAAGTCCATCAAGTATTGTTGTTGTTTTCGCTCATGTCATAATTGATGCATAGATATCGCTGATTATTTATCATGTTAAGTAATCCAGTTGCGCAATATAAGTTGAATCGATACCGATTAGACTTGTGTAGGGAATTAAAGTATGGAATCACGGTGTCGATTAAGCAGAAGGAAGATATGGATTTAGAACCTTCTTTTAAATTTCAAACAAATATTTCCAGGTAATAAATACTAGGAAGGTTGCGCATATTCTCTTTCCCATGATAGGTGGGCGCGAACATCCGGCAAATTTTTAGCTCCCATACCTATGTTCTTGAAACTCAATTGTTCTTGAGTCTGGAGTGTTGATTGGTAACACATATCAATGTACTGATGAAAATGTGCAAATTACTAAATGTTTTCATTGGATGACGTCAGCCCGCCCACACCTATACCTTCATGGACAAAAAGAAGCGCGATAATCTGTGATTTCTAGTTGTGTGTGGAAAACAGATTCTTCATCCATTTGGGAACATAAAAAGTAACACGAACAGGACCTACATGCGAGATCTGCCCCCCCCCCCCCTCCCCCGCCATAACACCTCCGTCCTGACCTCGCGCCTCCACGCCTGCCCAGAATTTAGAGGCAAAATTATTTTGTCAACACCGAGTCGTTACACTCGTTTTACAAACATAATCCAAAATATATTTGACCGTCCCTGGGTGGGCTCGAACCACCAACCTTTCGGTTAACAGCCGAACGCGCTAACCGATTGCGCCACAGAGACAGACGTTAGAAAACGCGAAACTTTATCTCATTTATCTCAGTTCTTAAAGACGGAGGAGTATGTTGGGTTAGGTAAAATAAAATATCAGCCGTCCCTTGGTTGGCTCTGACCACCGACCTTTCGGTTGGCCGAACGCCGCACCGATCGCGTTATAGTGAGATACATCGCAGAAGAATGATGCCAACCTTTGATTTTTGAAAGTTTTTGTCTGTATTCCTTTTTTCACTATTATTATTTTTTGTAATATAAAAGTCAGCATTCTTTAATGAGGTGGAATGGGCGCAACTTGCCGAGTTTCTGGGTCCTAACGGAGAAGGAAGACACTGATTTGGTTGCAGTTGCAGTAATAGGTCTCACTTGTCTACTACAACGACCGGAAAATTACAATAGTATACTTTTGAAAATGACGCAGTTTTCAAAAGTTGTGTTAAACGACAAAGCAGAACAAGGAACAGACAAGTCACCTCGAACTTCGAAGACAATCGCACCAGCGACCCCGGGACTTAAGTAGATCACAACCCGGGCAGCCGGGTTTGTGCTCGCTTCGGGTGACTTACAAGCCATGAACTTCCACTGAACTCAGAGCTGTACCCAAACCGTACTGTAAGAACTGGAGCTGACTTCCTTTTTGGAGTTTTGCGATGACATGACCGGGTATATTCGGGCAAGGTTAGCCTTGAGTTCACCTCCGAGGGGTCACACATACAGGCAGATATTTATAATTATCATAAAAATGTTAGATAAGTTGCTAACTTGCTACAATAAAATTAACAACCACTCCTCCAAAATGTTGGTTCCCTTGGAGATAAAATGAGTATACATAGGGTTCACTCAATTGAACTTGAAGCTGGAGTATGGAGTTCCAATCCCAGTTTTTGCTTTATAAATCCTCTAATTGAAGTCTGCGCTTTTTTTTCTTTGAAGCTATATTATTCTTTTTTCTAATGAGCTGAATTTTCTCACTTTACCCTTTTCACTCCTAGGCCAATTGCTAATTACATTGAAGCATTGAACAGTCTAAATCTAAACAGCTTTAAAGTTTAATTTAAATTGTTTGCTGAAATGTCATTTTCAGAAATGCAATCTCAACAGGCTTGAAACTAGGCGGCCGCGGATTACTAAGTTGCAGTGTTTTTTATTCTCCTCCCCCCCCCCCCCCACGTCGACCTCCCTCTCTTGCGAACAGTTGTAATTTGCGCGATCAACAAAAGAGGGCGCTACATAAAAATAGCCAATTTTTTTCACAGAAACGAAAGGCATGAAGAGGAGCGTCGTTTCAATAGCAACAAAAATATCTGCCATTATTTACCCTTTTGCGGAAATTTTCTGACATTTCGGTTCTGTAAGTAAAAGTTGGTGTGCGGTAGATTATAAAGGGAAGATAAAGGAAAGAATACAGTTCATAATAAGCGCCTGGCACTTGAGAATTTTACGCATGATTAAGTGAGTTACTTTTGACAGCGTTGGGAGATTTGTGCATGATTTCTTGAACTGTCTGTAGCCAGGCAAGGCAGTGCATATTTTGGCGATCGTGTAGTTACGGGCCCTGCTCCCTTGGTCAAAAGAGAACAAAATAAATTTCTTTGACTTGCCAAACTAGTTGGCAACATTAAGAACATGCAAGTATGTCATAGATAGAGGGCAGGGTTTGAGTTTTAGAAAAAAATTTGAGTAAAATGACAATGACAAAACGGAAAAATGCAACACTAAAATAAAAGTGGCGATCACCGCGATGTACGGTGTGATTTGAATGCGCAAGGCACTCAAAATCGCATGACACCAACTGTGAACCAATGCAGCAGTAGGGCCTGCTTCCTTTCTCCAATAGGAAATTGACAACATTTTCTTGCTAAATTTCCGATCTTTACTAGATCTTAGGATGGAGTCTTTCTCGGACCTGTCGCTGTCCGATCCGGACCAGGAGGCCTCAGATGGCGAAGAAAAGCCCAACATGGAGGGCCTCGGACTCCAAATCGTCGACATTCCGACAGAAAACGGCAGTCACAGTTCCTCAACGAGGCAAAGAAAACGGGCAGGGGGAAATGAAAGGTACACATGGTTATATCTAATTGAGTTGTGATTTAGTGGAAATCGCTTAATTTATTTTCTTTAATTTGGCCATTTTTAAGTTGTATCTTTTAGCTGTCTTCTCTGTAGAGTTAGAGTTTTTAACAGCATTATAGCTTCTTATTCTGTGCTTATGGCACACGTAATGTAACACATTGCTTGATTTGTAACTGGTTCGGTTTGAATTCCATCAAAAAAGTTGGCCCTCAAATTTATATTTAAAAAAAAGGTGGATAATTCTTTTTTTTTGAAGCAATGATAATTTATCGGATGACGGTTCTGAGTTGTCAACTCAGAGGTCTGCAAGGGCATCCCCTGGTCGCAGGAAGAAGAAACTCCACAAGTTGAAGCTGAAGGATGGCTCCGTCATCGTGCTGAATCCTCCCGAGGAACTACTCAAGAGATCAGAGAGCAAAGCAAGGAAACACGCTGGATTGGGAGAGGTTAGTTATAGCGCCCTCTCATGAACTGACACAGAAAACCTATGAATGCTGCCGTTTTGTTTGTCTTGTATATTTTCAATTTGCTGTGTTCGGCCTTGGTTCATTTATTTGAAGTCCTCTCTTATGGTTGTGTTTATTACAAATACCCAATTTGTTTTCTCTTTTTTTTACTCGAAGTGTGATTGATCAGATTTATACAATGAGATTGTGTATCTGTGGTCTGTCTGTTTGTCAGGCTGGCCAGTTATCTGTCTGTCTATCTAATTTTTTTCGCTTCAGTGCAGGAGGAAGGTACTTCTTGTCAATCAATCTTCCACCTTGTTTAATCCTCTTCTCTCTGCGTCCACGTGAATGCCACGTGTTCCCTGGTGTCTTTTCTCCATTTGTCCCTCAAAATGACAATTGCCATCCAAATGACAAGTGCCACTGCCTTTGGAGTCCAGACAGTTGTTCTGCATCCAATTTCACGGAGCTGCTCGATCAACACAAAAATGTGCTAAGCTAGAAAAAAAGTGCTCAGCAAAAGCAGTTTACTAGCCAAAATGTCGTGCCAAAAATATATCGATTTTGAAAGTCTCTCATTCAGTTGATTTTTCATAGCTCATAAATTTGGTAAGCGAAATTTTCTGCTCACTAGCTCCACAAAGTTATGCCCCTGACTTCCATCTTCCTCAATGCCCCCTGGTCTTGACGAGGTTGATTGACGGTGAAAGGAACTCAAGGGGAATTCAAGTCATGTTATTCATTATCCTTGGTTAGGTGGAGCCAGCTCTGGAGGAGTACATCCGCTGTACCGCCCTCTGTCGTCTGGTTCATGGAGACGGTCACTGGAAGCTAGCAGAGAGTCACACCAACTTGGCCTATGCTTACCTGACACTCAAAGGTACAGTTGAAAATTGTTGCAAACCTCAAAAGGTACAGAAAAATACGAAAAATGCAGAAAAATAGGTACAGAAAAAACTTCGAAATTTAGACCATTTTTCAAGGGGCGGGGTAGTGATAAAGATACAGTGTACATGTCTAGTAACATATTTTATGTATCACTGCTTATATCATGCATGATTCTACATGAACAATTTGGATTTTTTTTGTAGAGAAAAAAAATTGACAGGACTAAGTTATATTTGGTGTTTTTTTTTTACTTTTCAAAAATGTCGCAGAGAAGCTCAGAAGGGCAAAATAGTTGGTGAAGACTTCACATGGTTGTGTGTTTTTGTTGTCATTTGTGTTGGGGTTGGTCCTATCTGCAGGAGTGCACTAAGGGAGCGGTGGGCTCATTTTTCTGGGGTGGGGCACTCAATGGGATTTTAAAAATTGAAGGCTCCTTTTTGCTTTCTCCCAAGTTCTGAGGGTGGGGGGAACAAGGGGGGTACAAGCCTTGAAGGAGGAGTTCAGATTTCCCCCATCCCCCCCCCCCCCCCTCCCCCATGCCGAAAGCCACAGCCGCCCTGTCTTTCCACTCCCCATAATCATGCCTCTGCATTTGTTTATCTACCTTGTTTCTATCACATCTCTGGCAGGACTAGCTCCCCAGGCACAATATCAAGCCGAGGCAGCCAAGAAGATCATGCTGAGTGGTCTACACGCCTCGGACTCCAGTGACTGCAAGGCAGACCTCCTGGCAGTACTGGTCAAGATGTACTATGTCCTGGGACGAAGTAACACCATGTTCAACAAATATCCTTGAAAAAATATACAAATGGGCATCTACTCAGTTGGTTGGGTTGGGGAAGGTAGGATCACCTACTGCCTTTGGGAATTGAAGCAATCCAAACAAGAAACAAATTATACAAGCAACTTTTGGAAAGTAGTTGATCTGGCACGAACTTTATACCTGCACAAAAACCTCCCAACTCCTAGTTCAAAGCAGATTTCACTAAACTGTGGTTAAACGTTGCCATATTTCTCACTCCTTGCAATATCTTGTGATACACACAGCAGCTTTTGATGTTAACCAATTGGAAAATTTGGGGAGGCGGACAGGAAAAAATAATTTTTTTTGAAATACATCAATTGAAATTCCCTGATCTTAAAAATTGCCTAATTTAAAAAGTAAACTTTTCAGAAATTCTCCCCCTTCCCCCCCCCCCCCCCCAAAAAAAAATTATGATTTTTATTTGACATTCGTTTATTTTGGGATAGCATTTAGAAAATTCTGACCGAAATTGGCTTAAGTTTGCATAATTACAACATAATCTGTGAAAACTTGTTTGCCTAGAAATGACTTGGAGAGTTAACTACGCCTCCCTCCCCAGTTGTTAATAAGACAATGTTCAAGATTAGTCCATCTACAATGAACCAAATATGTTTGAGCCCGTTATTGAAAAGTCTTGGATGTTGACTATTGAGTTGACTTACAGTAACTTCCTTAACTTACATGTTACGTATCCAGAGGCTGAGCAGTGCTTACTCAAAGCTGAGAAAGTATCTGAGGAACGAGCAAAGCTGATTGGCTCGGTGGGATCAGAACAGGAGCAGATGGCTATCTATATCGCCATAGCGATGGGAAAGTAGGTCCAAAAACAAATGCTTGGATTCTTAATTAATGCACAATCGTTTCCTTTTTTTACAAAATAAGATATTGGTTTCTTATCCTCTGTAAATGGACATTGATCCCTCACTGATTTTGGCAGAGTTGTTTGCTGATGATTTTCTTATTGTCTCTACTCCGTCCAATTTGACAGGCTGTATGCCAATCAGAACAAGCAGGCTTTGGGAGCCAGTTACTATGAGAAGGCCGTACGACTGACTGAGAAGCACCATGGCTCGGACAGCTTGGAACTGATTGCAATATACCAGGACCTGGGCAAAATATCCTTTGAAAAAAGACCGACCTGCAAAAGCCAGTTCATGCTCAATACGAATGTGATTTTGAAGTGGACTTTTCATCAAGAATCAATCGCAGCAAACTTCACTGGTATTGAAATGAGTTCAACGTACGTGGATTTTCGTTTACATTCGCTTTTGCCCCGAGTTTGAACTGGCCTGAACTTTAGTCAGTGGGCTTAGTTTTTATTGGAAAAACTACAGGTTTATCTCATTGTGTTTTTTTGTTAACAAGAGTGCAGCAAGATGTTTTGATTTGTTTAGGTCTCAAGGCAGGTTTAATCGTCAAGTGAAAGTTTAGCGGGTCAATATTTCATGGGGGGGGGGGGTGGGACAGAAATGTCAGTTATTGACATAATGAAAAATGTTTGGCTTTTCCTAATACTATGACACTTCTCTTTCCAAGCACTGATTCTAGAATGAAAATTTCCTCTTTGTATCAGGATGCACAAAAGTTTCCCAAGATTTGTTTAATTATGATTAATTATTATTATCATAACTGGGTCGTTTTTGTGATGCTATCGATACAATAAGAAGAAATGCATGTTATCATTTCCTTAATGAACTTCACTTAGAGCAGAGCAAAGGCCGACATTCAAACCATGACAAAGCAGTGGAGTATTACCTACAAGCACATTCCATCACTGTAGCCAGGTAAGTGTCTCCAATTATTTCACGAAAACAAAAGGGAAAAAAACTTTTTAAATTGTTGTATTTAAATGCTCTGCCACTAGCACTGTAATGAAATGGTGCAAGCGTGCCAAGGTCCTTGCTAAAGGATATTGTGTAGGGTTATGTGGTATACGCATGTCTACGCTTTGACAGTGACAACTCCAAAATAATGTGGTGTAAAATAGGGTTAGTGTTATGATATTGTGTTGCGTTGTATTTATTCCTGAATGAATACATGAAACCGTAGAGTGCTGGGGCAGTATGGGCTCCGTGCGCCAACGAAAGAGGGCGCCCTTTTACCTAGCAACGACGGCCCATGGGTGGTTGACGCACACCGTTCCTTGTGTGTGACGCACGTACACCAGGGAAATTGTACTATGTACACGCAGTGGTACGGCCGCGCGTCGCGGCAAAATTGCAGTCAGGCAATATGGCCTTGTCGGTCACCCCCAACTGTACTTTCTTTGCTGGTGAGGGGGTACTTGTGAACAGAGCCGATAGGATCGTACAGGGAATAAACAGGCTGGTCAGTTTGGGGTGGTCCAGGGACCGATGGGTCAAGAAGCATAACAATGCAAAATTATCTTAAGGATTGAGGTTGGGTTGTCTTTAGGTCATGGTAAGAATTTTGTAGAAATTCAGGTTTTGGTAAGAGTTCCTTAAGACTAATGGGTGATATAATTATGTGGATGATACAGGTATAGCGGACAGAGTGAAGAGGTAGCGGAGACTGCCCACAAGCTGGCCCTGGCCTACTCTGAACAAGCATCCGCTGAGGCAGAGAGTAAGTGGAGTTTTTAGTGTTTTAGTGGCTTGACGCAAAGGGAAAGCCTACTGTCCTCTGAGACACTGACTGACTGACCGACAGACTGAACTGTCCAGCTTACTTCTTACAGGCATGCAACTTTTCCTCGGATCAGATGATTTCCTCGTTTTTAACTTCACACTTATGCCATTTTAAATTGAAAAACACTGTACAAAGTCTTGTAAAGATTTAGAGTTTCCTCGTTTTTTGTTTCTTCCAAGGTGCATGCATGTTCTTAGACAACCAGTCTTGCAGCTGTCAAACTTTCATGCCTAGAGTTGTTCTTATATTATAGTTTCATCAATTGAAGTTTCAGTAAACAAAACCTCAGTCACTGAAAGAGCTTTCCAACTCTGGCATTGTCCAACACAGTGCAGGAACCAATGGTACATTTTGTATACTGGCAAACCAAATTAGGACATCAAAACCCATGAAATAGCAAGAAACAATTTATTACCTACAAGAACTCCCAAGACCTATTACTTTATCAAAAGACATTCAAAAAGATAATCTGTTTAAATAGAAAGTAATTAGTTGACTGACACTTAGCTTCACTTGCATTTAACACGATAGAAGGTAGAACCAGACAAAACAGAAGGTACATTGTCAGACAGGTTAAGGTTCTGTCCAATCTGAGGAAAAAAAAGAAAGATTGACACCCATGAATTTATTCTGTTTTACCGCTTGAACCACAGCAACAGCTGAGCGATATCTAGACGAGAGTCTAGGTATCAGACAGGTCCTGTACGGTCCCCATCACCCTAAGACTATCGCTACTCAAGAGAGTTTATGCAAGCTGCTCATCAGAACAGATCGACAAGAGGTCAGTCATTTCATTACAAATTACAAAACTGGTCTTCAGTAAATTTGTTGGACTCCTCAGTTTTGTATTCTATTGAAGACAAGTGCGTGCGTCTCAATGGTTAGCAAGGTATTTTTTTTGGTATCATTTCTGGTGAACCAAGACAGTAATGAGTTCTTTCTCATTCCACACAGGAGGCGGTGTCACTACTCAAGACGATTATTTCCTCCAAGTGCGTCACGTTCGGTGATTTCAGCGAGGAAGTTGGAGAGACTTACAAGCTGTACGGCTCCATCCTGCTGTCGCAGGGACAACTGGACAAAGCCATGAAATACTTCAGGAAAGTAAGATTGAAAAAGTAAAACAAAACCTGACAATATACTCATGAACACTGGCTGCAAAACACCCACTTCATCCGGTTCGTTAGTGTGACGTCACCTCCAGCACTTTCTGCACGATTGGAACCGGAAGTTAACGCAGCTCGAGTGTTTGTAGCCAATGGGCGCAACGAACCGGATACTGGCATTCCAGAATCCAGACAAGCCAGAGTGCTGACTCTGGCTAGGCAAGCTTAGTCTTGTTTGAACTTACTGATTTTGTAGAATAAGTAGAACTGTAATGTTTACCTTCCAACTGAGCTCAGCTACATTATTTTCACAAATCTGTTTGACACATCTGTCTTGTTTTCTTGTTTTTGTTTGCAGTGTTACAGCATTCAAAGCAGTCTGTACGGTCCCAGCCACAAGAAATCCAAGGCCACGCAGCAAACCATCGATATGCTGTTGCAGTGAGTACAATCATATTCACCCTCGACTCTCTGCAGAAATTTTAAACCTTTTTTTGTAAATGTGTGGTTCTGAAATGAACCTGAGGGTGTCCTCGACATTTTGACCAGTATTTAGGGATATTATATGTATAATTATTTGCATATTTATGGAATTTGTTTATGACAGATCTCCCGCACTGAAGGCAAAAGAGGGACAGAGCAAGGCGGGGCAACTGAAGAAACGCCCACGCTTCTCATCCACCATCAAAACTGGTGGCACGCTGCCCTGAGGGAACCAGTGCAGTACGAGGTACCGGGCATTAGATCCAGCGAATCACAAGGGAAAGTCCCTCCCATACTATCATCGTCACTCCAGCATAACCACCACCTGCAAATATAACTCACAGAATCGTTTCAAGTACGAGGTTTAAATGTACAGATGAACGTTAAATTTGTTCATTACATTGGCAACTATTTGTAGAGCTCAATTGTAAATATGCACTTCAGCTGCCAGTGTTAAACAGGGTGAGATGAACAAATGTTAAATAACTGTGAAATTTTAGGGAAAATATTTTCATGAAAATATATAAATATAAATATCTTATTTTTAAGTGCGTTAGTGAATGTTGGTTGCAAGTCTTTCTTGAGTTATTGTATTCCTGTGCTGGAGTATAACTGAGAGTCACAAGAGTCTACTTAAGTTACTTAAAGGGAAAATACAACATATTTGCAAACATCGAAAAATAAAACTACCAAGTTGTTACGAAATACATTACTAGGATGTTGGTAAATGACATGCTTAAGCATCCTGTAAAATTATGGCACCTGGTGTGAAGTCATTTTCAAGAAAATGGTATTTTTGTAAATATTTCCAACGGTGGTCGGCCGACCAGCGTTGGAAAAACATAACTATTTTTCAACTACTCCAAATTTACCATTTTTTCAGTCCAAATTTTGTTTGCTATTGGTTACATGTTCATGAACGGGTGCAGGCCAGCTAGACTGGTTCCCTTGCCTTACAATTTTCCATCATCTATAAATTGATCCATTTTATCTTTTGTGGAGTCAGGGAACCAGACTACTTGAACATTTTTGTTTTTCATGGTTTTTCCAACCTTTTCGAACACAAAACTTCAAAAATGTCAGTGTAACAATATTTGATCTATTATACTAACCTCTCAAATAGTTCATTTCTGAAAATTACAGCAAAAGCCAATGATGTACATTCCCTTTAAGCCAATGGGGCTTGTTTTTCAAAGTTCACAAAAATCTATAAAAAAAAATCGGTGGAAATTCTTGTGAGGTTGAGTAAAACCTGAAAAGAAAAAAAAAAAAGCTTTTAGAGTAGGTTTCACTTTTGAAAGGAATGTTTCATTTCCAGCTTTTGTTTTCTAAACTATCTGGTGGTCCAAGTATTAACTTGCTGTACATGACATGTTCCTTGCAACTTGAAGTTTGCAAAAAGTCGCGAATGTGACAAGTTATCAGCTACAGTGGAAACTAGTGCCCTTTGTCACTGTGCAATATAAATTAATGTGTGTTGTAAATAAAACGTATTTTCCATGATTTGTAGATATAAACAAGAACATCATTGATTTTGATGTAAACATGTTTGGAGAAGATAGGGGAATCCCTATTTATTCATTTTGTGAAAATAGAAATCTTTTTCCTTCTGCAATACAATTCTAAGCAGCCTGTAAAAATGTTTTGTTGTTTAAAAAGAAAAGGATAAATAACTTTTTTTTGTAGCTATACCTAAGAGTTTGTTTTAATTCAGTCGCTTCTTAAAATCCTCTTAAAAATTTCTTAAACGCGTTGAAATTGACGGTCACCCAAATTTTGCAATGAAAATAAAGACTGTCTTTTGTGCTGTACTCCACCCCTATGGGTTATCAAAAACTACTCCCAAGTTTTCCAAAAAAATCCAACATTATTTTGATGGGATTTGTTGGATTCAGAACTACTTGCTGCACGAGTACTTGGAGTGCGCCATTAGTTGACTGCACTATGTTAAATTTTGGAGGATCTAGGAAGCTGTCTGATAGAGTAAACAGGCTTGCAACTGGGAAGGAACAAAAAAAGAAGAAACTCTAAGCTTTCCAAGACTTTATACAGTGTTGTTCAAGTTTTAATGGTACTGTATGTGTAAAGTGAAAAACGAGGAAATCAGCTGATCCGAGGCAATGTTGCATGCCTGAGTTAATTAATTAGTTACTCTGTACCTTTATTAGGAGGTAAACTGATATGTGTCGCTGAATTATATAATGGTCCGTCCTAAATAATTATTTTTTTAATTACGGACATAGTGAATTCACTCTGTAATCCTGTATACAACAAAGAAACCAATGCTCAAGTATTTGAGATGTAGCCAACACTTTATATGCAAAATTCACACGTGTAAAAACACAATAAATTACAACCACCTTGAAAATCAATTTTAATTTTTACACTGTACAAAGAAACGAGCAAGCTTTATTGTAAGATTACACTTCAGTGTGGAAGCGCACTTAAGGTTTTAATGCAAATAATGAAATAAACAAATGCATTTTTTACAAAACAATAAACTTTTGAAAATTAAAACGAGTTTGGCACTTTGTGCACGAAAGGGTGAAACATTGGCATTTAGGAACAGTCCATGTCATGTACTAATTGAATTCAAAATGAAAATAGTTACATGTAGGAGTCAACGCATTGAAACATTTGGCAATGAACACATTTTCTAACAGTTTTTGTAAAACATAATGTTATATTTGCATTTTAATTGTGACTTAAAACACAGATTCTGGTTAATAATAATAAGTTCGTAAATGCCAACCATTTTTAAAAAGCTTGTGATTTTGATGTAAATGAAATATGTTCCGAACTCTCAGCGCAAAATTATCTTTAAAAAAAAAGCAAACCATATGCAGTCCACTCTAATTAATACAAACTCCATTGAACCCTGCCAAAGTGTTTACATGTCAACTTTGTATAGAGAGGAGTTTCGGTCACATTCATTGTGCACATAAAGGCAGAGGTGGAACCAGTAGGCTTTTTTTATCACTATAACCAGAATTCGTATTAACAGAGTTTGTATAACCAGAGTCGACTTGAAACAACACATTTTGGGCCGCAGTAAATTGTCATCTTATTACAAAGAGCAACAGACAGGACTGAAAGAAGTTTTTAAAATAAGAGTTTAAGCTATACCTTATGACAAACCCAGACAATTGATCATCGTACACTCACGAGGCCCCCTTCAATGGAGAAACCATTGTGCATGCTATTGTGCTAAGCAACTGTCCCACGATGGATCATCTGAACAATAGCTAGCACAATGCTCGCGCCATTGAAGGGGGCCTTCATGATTGAATTGATAGCATGCCCAGATTGGTCTTTTGCTCTTACTGCACAATTTCAGTGCATCATTAACCAGTGTTTGCTCGTGGTTTCTGTAACTTTGCTACAAATACTTGATGCACAGATTTTTAAAAACAACAAGATGGGGAAATTCAGATTGTGAAATCACATAGGAGTTTTATTACATGTAATGCTAATAAAGAAGTGCCAATCATAAATTATGCTTTTTTAAAGACCCACCATTTTTGAACAGAAGTAATGATGTGGTGCTTATATTGCACTTTATACCAAAGGTCTCAAAACGCTTCACAGAGCAAGGACCTTTTGTGTAGTTAATGAAAATATAAATTTAAGTAGTGCTCACCAGTTATTGGCAAAGCAATAACTGGTGAGCACTTACTTAAATTTATGTTTTCATTTACTACTTTATTAGTGCTACACAGCACCCCATTTTGTCTTGTGTGTAGTTACTGTGTAGACTGCTGTTCAACCAAATCGTGCAAATAGCCTTTAGATGGACGACCATAGTCAACTTGTGTATCACTATGTACAGCCGGGAACCAACAGAATTTGGTCCAAGTTTGCTTTTTCCCAGCATTCAAAATTCTGCATATATCACACATGTAAGAAAATTGGTGAGTTACTAGTACAGTCGAGTCTCGTTATAACGAACTCGTTCGGACCTAGCCAAATTGTTTGTTATATCAGAATTTTGTATTAAGAGGAACATCAGTCCCATTCATTGTGCATATAAATGCACAGTCGGGACCAAGGCTTTATGTTTGTTATAACCAGAATTTTGTATTAACAGAGTTTGTGCTAACGAGAGTCGACTGTACATGTATCTATGTCTGCTACTACATGTAGTTGTCTGTACATGTATGTACACATATTTAAGCATTCAAACAAATACCAGAGGCCAATGTCGTGGAACAGCTCAGAAATTCTGCCCTATTAGCACAGAAAATATTTACTTAGCAAAACAGGTGACAAGCTGAAACTTGCATAGGATGTGTACATTTCCTGTAAGGAACGTTTTTGCAGATCACTGATTTTGTTAAGAAATATTTTCTCCTTGGCACAAAATATTGCCAATATATTGCTTTTCATTCTGCACTCAATTTGCTACGCAGAATGTTCTCTGCTTTGCAGCTCCGGGGATTGGGTCTGGGCCCATTTGGTAGATTTAGTATGCAGCCTTGTTGCAAGATGATGTTGAGAAGTTTAGTGCCTTTAACTTCAAGACATCAGTGACACATCAGCGTCCCTTTCTAACTCTAGCCTGTTCAAGTTCCTTTTATATGCCTAGACATTCACATTCTTTCACTCACTCACAGATCAGCATTAAATAGATTCCATCAGATAATTCTTCATTGCAAGACATTAGGTCCAAAAATCCTACATCTTATGTTGCAGTTCCCTTGTCCGAATATTCAAGCATCCCCTGTATAAGGCCTGTGTCCGAAACGGCCTGTTCCTAGGTGAAGGCCTAGACAATGGCTCTAGATAAGAGTTTCGGCTGTGACTATGCAGCATCATGTATTCCATTTATTGCTTCCGTCAGTTCGGTCGTCCCGACTACCCTATTCCAGGGTGCTTCACTAATCCCTTCTCACAAAAACCAGCGACGGAAATGCTAAGGAGTCACAGAGCATTTCTGGCTCACAGATCCACTCGTGAAAATCACATGCTATACAAAATACATCCAATGGTGGTAAACTTCGTCAGTCTTGAGGGCGCCCTCGAGGGACATTAAATTCCGGAGGCTGCCCTCGCTGAATTCACGCTTTCTCTGAAGTCATTTGTTTAAGTTCGTCGTAGGCCTTTGCGGCTTCGTCGTCAAACTGCCAGCCACTCGCATACAACTCGATGGACTCCAAAAGCAGCAGGCGACCAATGGCGGTGGTGCCTGGACCGAGTAGTCTGGTTCTCAGGTTATCCATTAAGAGTTCCATCTGAGAAGGCTGGTTACTCTGCAGGATCTTGCCGAGTTGCTTCAGCTTGGAGGGAATAAAATATCTAAGAGATTAGAAAACTGGAAGTACAATTTCACTTGATTGGCAAAGTATGAGAAATTTAAGGGACTATGGTTTTGTTGGAAATTAAAAATGCTTTCCTTTTAAAATTCCCATTTCATCCTCGGAAAACTTGCCTACAAAATATCAAACCATCCATGGCATAAGTAATTAAGTGTGAAGCCTGTTGATTGCTAGAAAATCCAAGAACAAAAGATGAAATCATTTTCAACTCACAAGACAAACAAATCCAACATTAACACTCAAAATCAATCTGACTGAACACTAGTGAACAGCAATTTTAACAGCTAAGCGAAACTTTCTTGAATTCATCAACTATCAGACTATGTACAAAAAATGTATTTTGATGGACTCCCAGTCCCACATCTATAATACTTAACATGGGGGCTGCTATTCCAATTTTGTGTATTTGTAAGAACTTGATTGATTATGTTGGAATCTGGTGGATTCAGGAAACTTCCAGTTAGAGCTTCAGGATTGCACATTGTAAATTCATCCTACCTTGAGGGTTGCATATTCAATCTGAATGTCCGAAGCCTCATTATCTGTAAGCAGCTAGGATGAGAAAAAGAAGAGGAAATATTCAATGCAAATAAAGAAATTTAATATAGACGATTCTGGATGTATCTTTTGCAACAAAGAAATTTCACAGCTGCTACAATAATTTCATATCAAAACCCATCTGGATATTCATATCTGTAACAATAGGTTTTTTTTCTTTTGGGAGTTGGGGAGGTGGGGTGGGAAGTGGGGGTGGGGGAGGTGGTGGCACTTGGTATGTTGGGGGTGGGGGTTGTTGGTACCTGATCCAAACAAGAGTACACAGGCTCCACCAGGATATGCAAGTATCCGTCGGCTGCTGTCTTCATCAAGGCATACAAATCACACAGAAAGCAGACGAAGGACAGCCATCTTGTTTGCTTTTCTTTCCTCCACTGATCTCTAGACTGAAAGTCTTCCTGGAGGGGTTTCAGCAGGGTGGAGCGGAAATTGACCTCATCTTTCTCAAATCTGGAAAAACCATCAGACAAATGACAAACAGAGACACTAAATGTAGGTCATCAAATATATTAAATACTGCAAATATAGACCCTCTGAATTTGGCACTCAGGCTGGTTGTAAATCAGTATGGTCTGAATCTTGTTTCCGTCAACTTTCTTTGCCTGCCAAGTTTTCACTTCCTTCTTTCAATATCAAAGACAAATCCGAAACCCACATCTTTAAGATTGCTTGCCCCACATTTCCAGCAACCTCACAACACAAATACACAAATATGGTTAGCAAAATGTAGCATTTTAATGGTCGTACTTGGCAAGGGTTGCACACAGGCTTGCCACGCACGATGTTGTTGCAGGATCTTGCAACGTCCAGTTGTAAATGTCTAAGACAAGGTTGCGCAGCTCTTCTCCGGTTGAAATGCTCTCAAGAGCTTTCTCCACGATTGCGCTTTCATCCTCCGGTGACAGTTCAATGATTCTCTGATTGGGATGTTGATGGCACATCGTTTGCAGAAGATCAAGTAGGCCTAGCTTGTTTTCCTGCTGGTGAAAATCAATGAAAATATAAGAAAGTACTTAAGTAGAATGAAAACCAGAATGAATAAATGAAGTTGCAGCTGATGAGATACATCAGTTGTTAGAAAACTGCTATGCTCCATTTTATGACTTGTTGTACTAGTGAAAGTGGTATGGCTAACATGAACATCATTTGAATTGTCATTTGAATTAAAAATAAAATGTAATTGAAATGAATTTAAATTTTTCCCAAATATCCTAATTAAATTATTCAACTGACTGAGTGTATACTGTTTACATAAACTATAATGTAACATTATCTCATTTTTTTTCAGTTTTTGTTTTTTTAATTCTATTTTAAATTAAGTTTCGATACAAATATTTTCACGAAACTGATGCAGTACCGCTTTTGGAGCCGCGTCATTTCCCTCAACCTCATCAGGCGAATTTTTGGCGTTTTCCTCTTTGTCAGTTTTCTTTACCAGACCAGGTGGGGCCGATGGATTGCTGGTGTTCTTGCTGCGACTTCCCCTGCCTCTACCCTTGCCCATATAGTTTGTTGGTCGAAGGTTCGGTGTTTCGTTCGAGAGTAGCCCTGCGTGTAAACTTCTTGCCGACGCCATGTTGTTGCAAAATGGTTCCCAGTATACAGTATGTGTGCAGAAGTACATCTTTTGGGGATGGAACCTGACTATATTGCGTGTGTTTCGCGGGGAATTCCCAAAAGAATATTTTTTCTCTCCGAAGTTCATTATCTGTATCTGTATCTGTATGCTACTGCACAATCGCCTATGGTGGGGCTATCACGTGCAGGTGCTAGGTAACGCTGTCATGGTGCTGGTTGATGACTAAATTTTGAAGTGCGCATGGGTGGAGAGTTGGCCGATATTTATCTTGTCTAGTTGGGTTTTGAAGGCGTTCAGTGTGGGTTGGTTTTTAGTAGCGTCAGGTAGGAGGTTCCATTCGGGGACTGTCCATGGGTATAACGAGTGAAGATAGTTGTTTTTGTTTGACTGGATGCGCTGAAGATTTAAATTGCTATTGGATTGTCTGGTAGTACGTCTGGTGGTTGGCTGGTTACTGGGTAGATGAATTTGCAGGTGGGAGATATTACTTGGAATTATACCGTGAATTTCTTTGAAGATGGTGCATAGTCGAGCTCTGTTGCGTCTTTCTTCCAAGGGGTCCCAGCCTAGCTCTTTGAGCATTGCAGTGACGCTCGATGAGTAACTGTAGTCCCTCAGGACGAACCTGGCTGCACGTCTCTGAACTTTTTCAAGCACGCCGATGGTGTTCGATTGGTGGGGGTCCCATATGACTTGACAATATTCCAGAAGTGGTCGAACGAGTGCCTTATATGCTATTTCTTTGGTGTGTTTATCACAGCTGGATAATGTTCTTTTGAGTAGACCAAGGGTTCTGTTTGCTTTGACAGCAATTTGGTTTATGTGTCGATTCCAAGTCATATCAGAAGTACATCACAAACTAATTATGTGGCCGGCCAAGAACCATGGTGGCATACCACCAACTTGAAGGGGAGGGGTAGCGTTATAGAAAAAAAACAATGTAACTTTTTTAAATCGATGAAGTTCTTAATTAGGCCCAAATGCGCTAGATCGACGCGCGTAAAATCCAACTAGAGATAGAACCCAAAGAAAGCACGACTTACTTAATAATTAATAAAATCAAATGTATAAAGACAATACACCGTATTAAAAAAAAAATATTTTGGAGAATGGTCGTTTAGGCTTATATATAGCCTACTACAAGTAGCTTTAGATATGATCAATCCACATATTTTGTAAATTACTTGAAATTTATTTCAGAATCAGATAACAAAAACAAGTGGCAGACAAGGGCGGATCCAGAACACAATTTGGGGGGGGGGGCCAAAAAAATTTTGGTCCCCCCAAAAAGTGGGTCAAAAAAATTACGGCGTGGGGTTCGAGACCCGCTTAAGGGCCTCGAAAATTTTTTGGATTCTAGATGCTCTGTGGTGCGATCTGAGGCAATTTCTGACCACTTTAACCAATGTTTTTTGAGGAAAAGATGGTGGTGTACTCATTGCCTGCCTTTATTGCGATGTCACATAAAAAAAAAAAATTGGTTTCGTTTTTTTTGGGGGGGCCATGGCCCCCTTTGCCCCCCCCCCCCCCTGGATCTGCCCTTGGCGGCAGACATGGAGCATATGGGACTGGCTAGTTTAAAATCTGCAATTTAATAGACGATCGAATAAAAAACTAGACCGAGACAAACTCACAAACATTGAATCAAAATATTGTACTACCCGGCCCTTTGTTCGAGAGTTGGTTGGTGGACGTGCGTCGGTGACACTACTTTTGTTTACATGGACAAATATTGTAAAACATTTTATGATTTCATACGGATGCATGCATGGAGTCATAAAATGTATTACAATATTTGCTGTTGCATATTGACCTCGCCCTACAAAATACATTCTTGACTTTATAACCACACGACGAAACGTTTTCGTTACTGTGTTCAACTGACGACCAGCCAGTGAGAGTACTTTTATAGGCTGTGATACAAGAATCTTAATTGAATCTCATGCATTTTTAAGACGTACGTTTCATTTGCATTTGACAATACAGAGTGAGTAAAATAAAAAAGCGGAACCCAAACCCCAAAATTATATTTCATATTTAAAAAATATGTAGCACCAAACATGACTGGAAAGCCAATTTCATAAGCTACTTTTACATGAAAAAAATTACTGAAATTGCTCAATCCGTTCAAAGAATATCACCATTTAAACACTGACCCTAAAACCTCTTTCGTCCTAAAATGCGATTTCAAGAATCATCATCACAATTGTCTTCAAACATCACCAGATGTTTAAAAACCTCAGTTTAAAAGTTAAAAAATATTCAACAAAGTCCTTTTGAAGGCCCGTCTTTAAAAAAAAAAGGTGGACTTTATAAATCATATTGTTTGCCTAACCAGGGTTGTTAACATACTACAGTTGTTGGCAGTTGTTGAAACAAGTATTCTGTGTCATTTTCTTTGTTGTTCCAAACAGTCAGAATACACAATAAACTGCATGGGTTTTTTTTTTTGGACGAAACAAATTTAAGGGGCATTGCCGGCGTTTAAGTGGTGATATTCCTTGAACGGATTGAGCAATTTCAGTATTTTTTTCATCTAAAAGTAGCTTATGAAATTTGCTTTCCAGTCGTTATTATGCTTGGTGCTACATATTTTTTAAAATATGAATTATATTTTTGGGGGTTTGGGATCCGCTTTTTTTTTTTTACTCACCCTGCATAATACTACATTTTACTACTACTAGTCATTCAATGACAATAATTTGAACGGGCATTTTATGAAGAAAAAAACTGTACGCTGAACACTCTTGAAGAGATGTCACTTCGGCGGGCCCTTTTCAATTAGGGTAACGAAGTTTTTGGACAACGTATCTAAAGGCGGAGATCCATCTAAGAGCCTTTATTGAGGTTATAATTTCTCGTGATGAAACTGCTATTTGCTAGATGTTAAGCATCATACGATTAAAAAGAAAATATATATAATATAGGCTGTGTCAAGAATCCCTCGTTCGGATGCCCAATTGTTGCCCGAGGTTTTCTTGGATTTAGTACAGCGAAAAATAATTGATTTCAACGGGAAGATTACTTGGAAAAGGATCCGCAAATGTGCTGACGCCACGAAACCACGAATACATTTAATTTCATAAACTGAGCTAACAACTTGACAAGATAAGCGCACAGCTCAATACAATGCCTTCACAATTCGGTCACAGATCCGATGAGTGTCCTTCACCTCGCACTCGCAGCCGAAGCTAGCTAGCTACAGACAGACTATTGTATGTTAATCAATCTCTAAGTCAGCCCGTTTAATAGCCAGGGACGTATTTTTATTGCCTTGACCTGACGGTTCTGGCACGCGCACGTAGGCCAAGCTCAGTGACCCAGACTGTCTAGCTGAGGCCTTGAGACCATGGGTTACCTGCAAAACACTAACCCCGAGGACCTCACCCAAGTACATGTACTTGAAAGGTTTTCGTTTTACAAACCTTATAAATGGGATACGTCGAGAGTAAAACACGGCAGTGTATACATGTATTTGTAGTTTCTTGTGTCTGATTATGGGAAAGCTGATTATGGGAAAGCTGATTCTACATGAGCGTATTGAGGCAGTTGCGATGCACTTTTGGCTAGTAAGATGGAGCGGTGTTAACATTTTGCCAAATATGAATTAATGTTCTGAATTCCATTTCCCATCTTGTTGAGCACTGCTCAAAACACTGCACGACTATCGCACCCTTGTACCTCCCCCTGTGCTAGCTCAGTCAGTATTTCAGATTGTAGAACTCGAAAATTTCAGTCTCTTTTTTTTTCACACACACACACTACCAACTCCAACAGCCCGCTGCCCTAGAAAATTGGCGGTCCTTCACCCCCCCACCCCCTCCCCCAAGCTGGCAAGAAATTGCCGCCGCTTATTCAAACCATGGAGGTAGGAAACCGGCCAGCCATCTCGAAAAGCCTGCATTCCATCCAGGGCTCAAAATTGATTATCAAATTTCGGGTCAATTTTCGACAGCTGTGTGTGCAAACATGCAGACTGTGTTGCTGACTTGGCAATCCATATCCCAGAGACTTGTAAAGTCGGTAATATTTGGCTTTGCAGTGCACGAGTTTCTCCGTTTGATTCAAAACGACATAAAATAAAAGGCAACTTACACATTTAAATATTTCCCCCCTCCAAAATTCATTCTCCTTAACCAAAGCAACTCATTGTGTGTTTTAAATATTTTTGACATGAAAAAGAAAAGATTAATCAAATACGTTTAAAATAATGTAAAAAAATTAAAAGTTCTGTTGTCGGAACAAAAGGTGAACAATTTGCATGCATAGCGTCGACGAGAAATTTCTCCGCGATAGAGAAAGAAAGAAAATATTTTAATCATAATTATTTGGCAGAATTATTGTCACAGCCTTTGGCCATGTTTTTCTCATCACGACTTTGTTCCATTTCCGAAGAATTGGTGAGGCATTCTCGCGATTATCATTTTTCTAGGAAATCGGCACGCGGACTCTGGATGATATCCAGGCACCACGCGCGCGCTTTGTTGGTAGAATCTACCACTTATGACATGTATAGGGATAAATTGTCGGAGGGTTGCTAATAAACAATAAAGATGTAAAGAGAAATAAAACTAAAACAAGATACAAATGACATAGGTAAGGACTAGAAGTTAAAACTTAACGCATGATAATATCTTTGGCTGTGACTGTTTGCGTTTTGGAATTTTTCTCGTTTATAATTTGACTTCCCACCTACCTAATGAAAGAGTGGAACAGTCTAGTTAGGTTCGCGCGCGTTCATTCCCCGAGCACGTGAACTTGTTTACATCCATAAAGCGGCCAGTGACCAGAAACGTGCACTGTCGATTCTGCACGTAGGCGCTGGAGCTTTCGAGGCCAACGTTCGTTTTACGCGTTTCCGATTGTCCGTGCGCTACAGGTTAGATTTGATTTGGGACTCGACGAGGAAGCTTGGGGTCTGTCATTGCTCCTGAAGTTCTGCTGTTTTTTGTGAGATTTATCTTACGAAATGTGCAGACCCAAGTTTCTTCAGCCCAGCGGGGTGGTCGTTGGGCAGGGAGCGAACGGCAGCGGGCAGCCGCTGCAGAATCTACAGCAAATCGGCCAGTTTCCCGGGGGCCCGAGTTTCCCTTGCTCGCTTCCACCTCCACCATCCCCGGAGTTTGATCGGAAGTCGTCCAACAGTGGGGGATTTTCTCCAAAGCCGCTCACGGTTGCTGAAAGCAGAGTCGGGGAGAGACCGTTGGGGAAACCCGTCCGTGCGGGGAGCCTTTCCCCGTCTTCCCGAGGTGATGCCTTGCCGAGGAAAGCGTCGCAGAGCCCCACCAGAAGCATCGCTCCCCAGGCAGCTGGTCAGTCGCAATTGGAAGTTGATGTGACCTCTCTACAGAGAGGGATTGCCTCATGTGCTGGAACCGTATTCATGTCTGTTTTCAGTAAGTTGGCAGATTCTTTTTGTAGGCCTAGGGGCCTACTAAACTTATTATTAGCGTGCCCTCCCCCGTAAAAGTCCAACCCCGCCTCCTCCGTAAACCCGCGCCCCCCCCCCCCCCCCCCCCTCCGCTTCTGAAAATTGGTGTAGGGCAAGGCCCTACTTAACTTTGACAAAAGATTTTGTTTGTTTCCGCCTGGCTTTGATACTTTTTTCATGGTAGAATTAACAGGGATACCTGTACTTATTACTGTACTAGGCCCTATAATTGAATTAAAAAAAATCCAGCCCTGTTGTTCCTTGCTTTCTCAATAAAATGGGCCTTCGTACTCAATCGTATCAAAGCACTATAAATCAATGTAACTTGTAAGCACGTTTCTTGACTTTTTTTTTTACACAGTGACTCCACTAGATGTGGTTAAAGTGAGGCTCCAGGCACAGCAGCAACCCATCGAAACCATACGTAAGCATCAATTTAACAAACTTTTTCCAAACTTCCTATAATTTTGCTCTTAATCTTAAACATCATTCATCTTCAGTTTCCAAACTGTGTGCAACTTCGCAATTCTGTCATGCAATGTTTAACTTCCAAACTTTTCACTCTTCATTGTTTTTTTGTTTTTGTTTTTCCAGGGTCTTTTCGTCCAGTTTTTGACAGTCACCCCCACTCCACCCTCAACCTCGTCCCGTATAGAAGATACACCTGTCTTCCTGCAACTCGCTCACATTCCCACGTCATCTGCCCGAGTGCCACATCAGCCTACAGATTCAGTGGCACCTTGGTAAGTAAAACGTCATATTGGGTGGTTGTTTTGGGTTTTTTTTGGAAAATTTCTCAAATAATTATTAACATAGAAATAGCATAACTGATCACTTTAGTCTGAAAGCAAATAAAAAAAAACCCAATACATGGAAAAGTTGCTTAAGTAACTTAAGAAAAGTTACTTTAGGCCAAAAAAAAAAAGTCTCCGGTTTCTGGTATGGAGCTTGCCCAAAAAGTGGTGCGGCGACGCGGCTTTTTTTTTTTTTTACCTGTTTTTTTTTTTTTTGGCTTCAAATGTCGGCTGATGACTGCAAATGGTGCCCGACTAAACTTAGTGCAAATATATGGGAGTCCAGAGAGGCCACATAAAGCTTATTCTCGATCATAACCCCATCTAAAAACACGTTAAAATTGTGCAGCAGCAGGATTCCAGTCAAACCAGTGAGTTTGGCGGTTTTGAGACATCATCTTGTATTGAAAAAAAACCTTTTTCATTTTGCCAACGCGCATGGCTGCGGCGACGCGCGCGCATACCAGAAACCGGAGACTTTTTTTTTTTGGCCTTAGCAAATCCAGACTACATATATATTGATTGGAAGTGGCGACCTCAATTTCGGATATTTTTTAAATGCTGACAACACTGCTTTTAAATGTTGACATCATTTAAAAATAATGCTTCATATAAGTTGTCGAATTCTTTTTTTTTTTTCAGGAATGGCTCTTAAGTGAAATGTTTGTTTTTGTTTTGTTTTCAGGATGCCTTTGCAAAGATTGTCCGAAGTGAGGGCTTGAACAGACTGTGGAGTGGCCTTACTCCTGCCCTGTAAGTTTGAACACACTCTCTTCCAATTCTCGATTTCTGATTTAAAAACAGCCTTTTTGTACAACATTGGGGTCTACCTGTGTGCTGCAGAATGTGGTAGTTTCTTTCTTACAATATTTATTGCACATTTTTAAATAAAATATCTTGCATGGTTTTGTTGCAGACTGATGCGTATCCCATCCAATGTGATCTATTTCTCCGTCTACGAGAAACTGAAGTCGGCGATGGGTTTCCAAAAGGGCCGCACAGACAAGAACAGCTTTCTCATCACTCTGTCTGCAAGTGGTACTGCAAGAGGTAATTTGTCTTTAATGTTTTTCTTAAGAAAATGATTAAAATAAATTTATATACACTCTAATTAACTGTACGATTAAACTGCAGAACTTACATTTTTAATTTTGGATAATTTTTTTGGGGGGGGGGGGGTACTTTTCTTTAAAAAAATAAAAAAAAACATTTTTTCCCTTTCATATTGTAGCTGTCTCCGTGACGACCATCAGCCCGATTGAGATGATCCGCACCAAGATGCAGGCAGAGCCCACCTCGTACGCCCAACTGATGCGCTGCCTTCGCCAGGCCATCAAGACTGAAGGTCTGTCGTCCCTGTGGAGGGGTCTTGGCCCTATGCTCAGTCGGGACGTCATGTATGCAGGCAAGATTTTCCTCTCTGGCAGTGTTGTGGTCTAGTCCATCGCAAGTCCGGTCTAAAGTACGTCACAAGTCCTTTCACAAGTCCAGTCCCAACAGCAACATTGGATGAACAAAGGACTGCTTTCATCACAGATTGTTTGAATGGTTTTGACTTGAATCGAGTCTGGAGGACTTGTGAGGACTTGTGATTGACTTGTGAGGACTTTTCAGGACTTGAGAGGACTTGTGATTGACTTGTGAGGACTTGTGACCGACTTGTGAGGAGTTGTGAAGACTTTTTATGATGAATTGGGATGGGCAAAGTTTCTGATACTTTTATCCCCTTTGTTTCAAGATTTGTAAGGACTGCCAAATCTTGACTGTCCTACTTCTAATTTTTTGTTATGATTGAATTCTCCTCGACACCCTACAGTGCTGTACTGGACCAACTACGAACTCTTGAAGGCTGAATTGTGCAAGGTTTGCAACACCACTGACCCAACGGTTGCCATGACATTCTGGGCTGGCGCTGCATCTGGAGTTGTAAGTATAGCAAAAATCAGATTATCTGAAAATCGGAAATAATTGCTTCGAAACAAATGTTATATATTATCTAAAATATTTACTATTGCACTATGTCAGCAAAATCTAATTCCTCACATTAGTGTTTGGAAATTAGCCGGCCTGTATTGTTCCACTGACTGTTGCTGATGATGCAGATGAGCAAACTTACTTTTAGCCAATCATTCAACCAATATGCAAATGAGCAAACTTGCTTTTAGCCAATCATTTAACCAATATGCAAATGAGCAAACTTGCTTTTAGCCAATCGTTTAACCAATATGCAAATGAGCAAACTTGCTTTTAGCCAATCATTTAACAATATGCAAATAAGCAAACTTACTTTTAGCCAATCATTTTACCAGTATGCAAATTTCACTTAACTTATATGCAAATTGGAATAAGTGGAACAAAAGGAGCTTAGTTTACTTTGCATTGTTTTTCTTTCTCTTTTTGTTTAGCTGGCTGCAATTGTGTCCACACCATTTGATGTCGTCAAAACCCAGAAACAAATCACCATTGGAAAAGCATCTGCACCCACCGGTAAGTATCTTAAATTTAAACTTCAGAAACACTAATGTGTATGTAACCCGTTTTTCCAAGACAAAATTTCAATTTTTGCTCACATTTCAAAGGTCCAATATTCTTGGTTTGTAAACAGCATGGCATACCACATGATTTTGGGCCAAAAAAAACCTAAATTACAAACGTAAGCCTGCTTAGCCAAACTGTTATTCATTGTGAGATATTAAATCACCGAGATATTAAATCACCGAGTAATTATCAAAAAAAAAATGAAAAATTGGTTTTAACTCATGGCAAATGTTTGTTTTCTATTTGTGCAGTCATTCCAAAATGCAAGACCAATAGCTGGGCTATCATGCGGACAATCTTTGCCGAAGCTGGAATGAAGGGGCTCTTTGCCGGTAAGTCCTGCAACCATTGTGACATTTTCTTAATGTATAGACAATTTGCATTTGGCAGCCATCTTTGAGGTGTGTATTTTTATGCTAATTCGGTAACATAATGCACGAGCAGTTAACTCATGCGCACCCCAGTGGAACAAAACCACACACCTCAAACATGGCGGCAGTGCAAATGATCAATTCTTATTGGTCACGTACGACAGAAATGTATTGATTGAGTCATGCTTGAACTAACTTTTTCATTAAACAAAAATTGCAACTAAAACTTAAGAAAATTGATGACAGTGAAAGTTTTCCCCCTCAAAACATTATGAAATGTGTAAGAGCATTGAATGGTGCCAAATTTTTAATCCTAAAGTACACTAGAAATTATTTTGTCACAAAAAGAAATGAAATGCAATTGATTGATTCGTTTTTACAGGCACCGTGCCGCGCATCTGCAAAGGGGCGCCCTCCAGTGCCATTCTCATTACAACCTACGAGTGCTTCATCTCGTACTTCCGGAAGCACAACTTGGAAAGGGGTTACTGACCTTTGAACCCTGTTGGTGAAAAAGGTCATCGACCTATGAACCTTGACAACGAGCTACCCGAAAATCACCGAGGAAAAGTTGACACTTCCCACGAAGAGAAGTACGAAAAGAAATTGGCACTTCAAAAAGTCAGAATTAACCAGTGAATATGAATAGAAAGTCCTCCACTAGGTATGCGACATTTACTTCATTTGTGATGAGTCTAAATGTTAAATTTCACATTACAAGATGCTGACTTATAGATGCTTCCGAAAAACCAAATGCACACTTATTTTAATTGCTGAATGGGCGACATGATGTGACGATCCCTGCATGCAGAAACGAGTGCAGTTGGTAAACTGTGAGACAGTAAAAACAGTGAATATGTATCAACTTTTTGGAACTGTTTTGGTGTTTTTGTAGTAATGATTTGTACATATTTCGCTGCTTTGAAGCTTTTTCGAACTTTGTTACTTTTATAGTTATTCTGTGCCAGTGAATTTGCAACCTTATTGTTAGTGACGTGGGTATCTGTTAGCTTAATTGTGTTCAACAATGCTTGGAACAGCTCACCGTTAGAACAGTTGGGATTTTCAAGGCATTTTTTAACTTGTTGAATCATTGTTGCATTGTTTGTGTTTTTGATATTGGGCATTGTCTTGGCAGATGTTCTGTAAGAATGAATATAGAACACCAGCTGACTGCAAATTGAAAAGATTTCAAGGGTTTCCAAAAAGTTAGTGCAATTTACCTCAAGAGTCAAAACAGTACTGATTAAAGAAACAATTTCAATGAATGACAAGCAATTAGGAAGAGTTCTGACCAAAACAGTTTGTAACGGGGGAAAAAATCCATGTTTCAGTTTGTGAAATATTTCACTTTGCAATATTTCATCCTTTCCTGACAAAGATATTGAAATTTGTGGCATTATTATATAAACAAAGATTTTTCGCTTTCCTTACTATGTGATTAGCTGAAGTGACTGTGTGTGCTCAAAAGGCTTTTCATTGTAAATAAGTTTGATATAGAAACTGTACTGCATGCTGCTTTAAACTTGATATTAATTCTGAAGAACTTTTCAAACAGTCTTTTATCTTTTGATCTACAAGGAATTACAAGTGGTCTGTAGTTGCTTGGGAAACCTGTGTACCAATATGGTGTTTCCTTATGTATATATATTGTTAATTGAGCTTGACTTTACTCCTTAAAAAAGGACTGCAATTTTCATTTAAGTTTTTTTTTCATAGTTCAAGCAGGGTTTGAAGATTAATTTTGTTTTAAAGGAAACTTCATTTGGGAACAGGTTATTATTATGAATAGTTATTATGAATAGTTATTATTTCAAAACATGTTTTTTTATCCTATGGGTGCAACTATTTTGTGCATATTTACGACTGGAGCACACTACTCCCTATGATTTTCCTAAGAGTAGTGAACATACAGATCACCAAAGAATTTTGACATCATTTGTTGCAATTAACAGTAATAATTGTAAATGATTTCTTTCCTTGTTACGTTTGTAATTAAACTTGCATGTTTTTCTTGTATGATTATTTTTGCTGCAAGGTGCTCTGAATGTAAGGTGTTGTTATAAATCAATACCTTTTGTTTTCTGTGATTTTGCTTGTTAAACAGGCAAAATTCAATTTCATATTATTCAGTCATGTTTATTGAAGCTTTACCTACTTCAAAAAATGGGTTCATGTATTAGAACTTCAAATGGCAATACCTTAAAAATGTGCTTCATTAAAGACCATACAGATAACAGTAAATTTAATTTCTGCCACCCTGAAAGGTTTTTGGATATTTAAATGTTTCCTACATTGTTAAAGGCCAAGTGCATTTTTGTAAACTTACAATATGGATTTTCATGTGTTGTTCATTAAATGATCAATAAAATGGAAGATAAATCAATTTAATGCGTATTATGTTGTTTTAATGTGACTTTAATGAAAGATAAAAATATGACCCCAACTCTTACAAACTTTTCAACCTAAACTTACAGTATGGATTTTCATGTTTTGTTCAATAAATGATCACTAAAATCGAAGATGAATCAATTTAATGCGAATGATGATGTTTTAATGTGACTATAGTGAAATATAAAAATATGACCCCAACTTTAACTTTTCAACCACAAAAGGGTATGATTTTTGTTACGACGAGTCTTGCCGCAAGGTGGCGCACTTCATCGCATGTTATCATATATCCTATCCATGATCCTATCCAACGTGTGTCATGTGGGACGTGGGGGAATGATGCAGTTTTTCTTAATTGTGTAATTCATCGCCGTCCAAAATTTCTGCATTGTGTTTACCAGCCAGTACCGTAACTCATACCAATGCAAGACTGAACGTCTCAAGAACTGAAAGTGAGCCCTTTTCAGGCCTTAAGCGGCTCTTTTGAGCCAGTATGCCGCGTGAGAATGACGGGCATTCCGAGCCGAGAGGCTCCGTGGCTGCTGCCCGTTGTGATGATGATGTAAGCGGTAGGCCCGCGGTAGCCGCAGGCCCGCCTCAGCACCTACCGCCGCTGACACCGGTACAGCAGATGGTATCGTCTGGAACTGGAGCCTTTCTGACGGCATTATTCAGTGAGCAAAGGCCCAGAATTTGTTATTTAATTAGTGAAAATGAAATGCGTAATGATTGAGGGCATCAATAATCCACACAAAAAAACAATGGAAATCGACTAGACTAGGCCTAGGTTCAATTCATTGAAAAAAGTTGAGGGGTGGGGGCATGGGGGGGGGGGAGTTATACCATATACACACCCTAAACTAATGCTACCTGCCTAGTCCCCCAGATATCTCAAAAGAACCCCTGAGATTATTAGCATAATGCATAACACAAAAGAGAGGAGGGGGGGGGGTCCCTCTGTCCCATTATGGCCCACCGGTCTTCCAGTGTTGTTTTTAACATACATAAGAATTGGGTAGAAGGGTATTGGGCTTAGTTAAGACAGAAATTTTGGCTTGAAAATTGTGACAAGTGTTCAAGAGGACTGAAAAAAAAAAGTCCTAATTTATGAAAATTAACATGACATGCAAAAATTCTTGTGTTTTGTATGTACTGTAGATAGTTTTTACACTTTCAGAAATTATTTTTTGTTTCCCCACATTTTGTGCCTCAGTGACCCCTCTGGATGTTGTGAAGATCCGACTGCAGACTCAGATGAAACCAATGGCCAGCGGTGAGTATGTGTCAACGGTCACATCAGATCACTATTTTGTGTGATGGAATGTTAGCCTCATACAAAAAAGTGATCGGTTATACCCGCTACTATCAGATAGCATGACTATAGTAAACTAATTTGGGGGGGGGGGGGGGGAGAGACAAACAGATAGTCCCACATTTTCAGACTAGCTTCGCGGAATAGTCATGTTGGACTAAAATTGCCTCGTACCATTTTCATTGGGAAAGAACGTAGTATCCAGGCGCCACTTTTTTGGTTGTGTACAGAGTCTATAGATAGTCAAGTGCATTTTCAAAGTACATTGAAAATGTTTCTCAGTCCCAGATTCATGTCTTTTCAACACGTTTGCAATGACTGACCTTCATTGAGTTTTCAGAGTCTTAATAATGAGCCAATTCAACCAGATCATATAGAGTACAATTTTTAAACATTTCCTATTAATTACTTTGCCAACAGGTCAATGTTTTTTATACTGCAACGGTTTGATGGATCACATCTGCACGTGCATAAATGGGAAAGAACCGGTTATCACGACAATCGCCCCATGGTACAAAAGGCCTGGCCAGTTCAATGGAACAGTGGTAAGTATTGCTGTCCAGCGAATTTCATTCATCCTTGACCCTCCAAAATCTGTCAAATTCCAACACCAGATCTGTTGGAATTTGACAGATTCCGGACTTCAAAACCCCGATACTGTTACTTGAGGAGAGCCTTGGTTTTCCATTTTTTAAAAAGTGTATCGTTGCTGTGTTGGATTTTGGTGGATTTAGGCTGCTTTCAAAGAATAGTAAAGGTAATGGAACCTAAGAAATTTGTGGTTTGTGGAAAATATTTTTCTGGTTAGGTTTGTTATTAAAACACATTTTCTTTCTTTGTTTTTTTCTCTTTTCTTCAGGATGCCATGTTCAAAATAGCGAAAAATGAAGGAATTTCCAAGCTGTGGAGTGGACTTCCTCCAACACTGTAAGATATCCAACAAATTTAACCCTAACCCTGCTGAATCCAGCAGGATCCAACTATATCATATACCCGTTGGAGCCTGTTGGATTGAGCAGTAAATCCCTTGTACAAATGTACATGTACATATTCAGTGTTGGATTCTGTTGGGTACTGATATATAACACCAAGTTGGACTCTGTTGGATCCAGCAGGCAACTAAAAATTAGGCACAGTTGGATTCTGTTGGATTGAGCAGGAAGTAACCGTTGGACTCTGTTGGATTTATCAAGGTAGTCCTGAGGAACCCTTCGGGGGTTAGGGTTTTAATGTGTGTTTAGATGCTTAATGATATTGTTGCTTAAACTGGGATGAAATCAATGTTATACTTGAGTCCATCACAAGTCCTCCAGTCCCAAGTCAACTCACAAGCTATTCAAACGAGATTTGACGAAGGTACTCCTCCAAAACTGTTCATCCACTGTTACTTGTGACTGGACTTGTGCATTGACTTGTGATCTACTTGTGACTGGACTTGTATGGATTTCTGATAAACTCGACTACAACACAGGCAGAAATATTTAGGAGGACCATCCCTTTAGTTAAGATTGAGGAAGGGAGTACAAATAATGAATATCTGTGGACTTTCGGGTTTGTGGAAATTTTTGAAAATTAATATTTTGCATGTAAAATATTGTATTGTATTGTATATCTTTTAGGCTAATGGCAGTACCAGCCACGGTTCTCTACTACACATGCTATGACCAGCTGAAGGAGTGGATGGGTTACCAGAATGGCAAGTCTAGTATGCTGATACCCATGGCAAGCGGCGGGTTAGCCAGAGGTAAGCCAAATTCTTTGCTAAGCGAGAACAGCGGGGAGCCAGTCCCAAGCAGCATGAATCAATTGACGTTGTAGCTGGTAACCCCTTTTTCAGCTAAGCACCTTAGCTGGTGATCGAACAGAATACGTGAACAAGCAAAATATTTGTGCTGTACGCATGCCTTTGTTAGGCTATGGGCTCCGTGCGCCAACGAAAGAGGGCGCCCTTTTACCTAGCAACGACATCCCATGGGCGGGACATTTAGCTGGTTGACGCGCACCGTTCCTTGTGTGTGACGCACGTACACCAGGGGATTTGTACTATGTACATGCAGTGGTATGGCCGCGCGTCGCAGCAAAATTGCAGTAAGGCAAGATGGCGTCGGTCGGTCACCCCCAACTGTACTTAGTTTGCCGGTGAGGGGGTACTTGTGAACGGAGCGGATAGAGCATCCTGTGCTCTTCATTCACAAATTCCTTAAGCATTGTGCTCTGTATTGTCATATTAATAAAAATGATTTGTCCCGCCAGTTTTTGCAGTTACTGTCATCTCCCCGTTGGAGTTGGTACGGACCAAGATGCAGTCTCGACCTTTGACCTACAACGAATTGGTCAGTTGCATCAGGACGGCCATACAGGACGAAGGCTGGTTGTCGCTGTGGAGGGGTCTGGGTCCCACACTTCTGAGGGACGTTCCATTCTCAAGTAAGACTTGCAGCTGTCACTGAAATTCTCACCGGGTTTGGATCAGTCATTAAATTTGTATTTTTATTGAAGTGATACTGGAAATTATGCAGAGAATTATGCATCAAATAATCTGCCATAGTTTCATTTTTACTCATTACTTGGTAGAGTAAAGAAATTGACTGGTGTTGGATCTGAACCTTCAATCTCAAAAAAACATGCGCTCTTCTGAGTTATTCAGCCCTGTATTGGCAGTCTCCCAGTTATTTTTCAATGTCTTTAACCATGGGGCACTAGTCAGAAGTCATGAAATCGACTAGTTCCGCGACAGGGCAATGTTAGTAAGATGTAGGTTCAAACAGTCAATTTCTTTGTTTATCATTATGAATAGTTTCACCGTGATTGATTATGACTTCAGGCGATATCTTGTTGATTGTCGATACTTGTCTGTATCTTTGATGGTTAATTTGAGTGATTGTGTTTTATTTTACACAGTGATTCTATGGGTCAGCTACGAGTACATGAAGGCCAGAGTCTGTCTGAAATACCATCGGAAGGAGCCAACGTTCTTGGCATCATTTCTGGCCGGTGCTGTGTCAGGAACGGTAAGACTTATTTCATGCTTCAACAAGTTGTCAAAAATATCCCTCCAAAGGTCAGGAAAATAAATATGGACAAGAATGGCTTGAATCGTGTGAATTAACCCCCCAAAAAACAAACAAATGATTTGAGCACTACTCATAAAGATTCAAGAGAATTACAGTCGGGTACATTTCTCTCCTTCAGTTCTGGTGACCCTGGTCCGATTCCAACCTTGTGCACAATTCGGATTTGTCGACACACTTATTTTACGGGCATGTTGATGTTCAGATTTTTGTTCAAGTACTGAAAACAATAGGTGCAGTTAATTAGTACACAATTTCATGGTTTTTAGAAGGTTTAAGAAGGCTCTACTTGGGTTGATAAAAATAATACTTAATTTTATTTTGTCGTTTGTTATAGGTTGCAGCTGTTCTTACCTCTCCGTTTGATGTCGTGAAGACACACCGACAAATAGAACTCGGAGAAGCCATGTTCAATACCAGTAAGATATTTTAATTACAATTTTTTTGAACAACTGGTAGCATTATTCCAGTATCCAAAAACATTTTTTTTTTTTTTTTTTAAAGTTAGTTTGCTTTTTACCACGTCTTTATTGATGTACAGTAGTGAGGAACCTGGCCACATATTTCGCCACACTTTTTTGTTGTTGAGAAATAAAGGCATTTTTTAATACTTATAAAACTTCATCTTTAAATTTTTCTTTGAAAAAAAAACAGAAAAAGATTCCAGTTACCGCGCCTCCTCGACATGGCATATCATGCAGAGACTCTATGCAGAGAGGGGATTCAGAGGCCTTTTCGCAGGTATGTATGGAACAATCCCGGCACACTATCATTTCTATCGCGAAGGCCCCCTTCAATGGTGAATGCATTGTACTAGCTTTTATTGAGATAATCCATCAGAGGGGCAGTTGCTTTGTACAATAGCGTGCACAATGGTTTCCCATTGAATTTGGCCTCGTGAATGTACAGTGATCACGTGTGCAGATTCGTTTATAGAAAGGAAGAAATTTGTTTATTAAAAGGGATACTTGAACAACTTGAGCTTGGAATCCACACCAAATGTCTGCGGAACCAGTGATGTTCATTAAAATGATAACAGCAAAACTGTTCAAGACAGTGTGTACATATCTGGACACTTCGTAATTATTTTTTTTTTCCCCACAGGTATTTCCCCTCGCATTGCCAAAGTGACCCCAGCTTGCGCGATGATGATCAGTACGTACGAGGCTGGGAAAGCGTTCTTCCATAAGCGCAACGAGGGTGCTCTGTCTCTTACGTAGCATCAGAGAATTGGATATCAAGGATCTTGGAAATCGACCAATGAGAGGGAAGAGAAAAGCGCAGAGGACCATTCAGCCATTAGCTCCGCCCACCGTTTGGATGTTTACATTTGTCAGTTCTCCGAAGTTTTAATTTGAAGACAACCGTGTCAAAGGTCAAAGTGCAGAGGTTATCTTTTAACTGTAGGGCAAGTCTAAGAAAAGGTTCTCTTTTTGTCCCATATGTAAGCCATGTTTTCTTTAATTACATTATCATCGCAAAGACTAATAACATAGAAATTCCTGTGGGTATTCTCCTGGCAGATGCCCAATGTTAGTAGAATAAAAATCGCTGAAATGCATGAATATCTTAGAGGGTTAAACTTTGGGTACGTATGGGACATAGTGTGCAGGAATTCTTGGACTTGCCCTGTAACACAGTAAAGTGTCAGCCTTTAATACCCATGTGATTGATCGCACTGTTTTAAGTGCCGTTTTTAACAATGCATGTTTTTGAAGTGATGTCAGCTGAAAAAAATAAGTCGTACACATTTGATGCTACAGATTTTTCGTTGTTTGGTTTTTTCCCCATTATTTTGTGGTTTATTCCCAAGTAGACACCGGATGTAGAGCCCCATTGGAATTTCTATAAAAGTAAGCTTTTCAGCTTCTAAGCTCTAGTCTGAACAGAAAAAAAACCATAAACCTTAAAATCATGTTTTTATTTGTGGCATCGTCTGTGCACAAATGAAATAATTATTCGTAACTAAGGCCAAAAAAAAAAAGTCTCCGGTTTCTGGTATGCGCGCGCGTCGCCGTAGCCATGCGCGTCGGCAAAATGAAAAAGTTTTTTTTTCAATGAAAGATGATGTCTCAAAACCGCCAAACTCACTGGTTTGACTGGAATCCTGCTGCTGCACAATTATAACGTGTTTTTAGATTGGGTTATGGTCGAGAATAAGCTTTATGTGGCCTCTCTTGACTCCCATATATTTGCACTAAGTTTAGTCGGGCACCATTTGCAGTCATCAGCACACATTTGAAGCAAAAAAATCAGGTAAAAAAAAAAAAAAAGCCGCGTCGCCGCACCACTTTTTGGGCAAGCTCCATACCAGAAACCGGAGACTTATTTTTTTTGGCCTAAGTGTGATTTTTATACCAGCATGTTTTGTGAATTACATGTTTGCGTCGTTGATTATATTTAGTCATGCAGCTTAGTGGAAAAAAAACCACCACAGAGTTCAGTTGTTGATATTGAGCAAGGATCATAAATTTTTTTTCAGATTTCTGAGATTTTGGGGTCGATTTTCGTAGTCTTACGGTCGATACTCTTAGTGCAAAGATTACATCGGCCAAGTGTAGCTGCTCATTTAGTAATAATTGTACTGACGGTCTGTTATTTTTATATCTGTAAATATCTTTACTGCTCAGGCAGTGACTTGACTAAAGATATATATGAAAAAAAATTATTATATTGCTATTTGAACACAATAAAGATTCCTTAGAAAAATTAGTTGGTCTTTTTTCTTATGTTTATGTTTTGAGTTTTTTCTGGAGTTGGGGTCGGAGTTGGGAGTGTGCAGTGTTGCCAGAACAAAAGCTCCTGTAAAATCTAGAGATCCTGTTTTTGGGGAAACATACTTGAATCCAAGTTTCGTTAATAAGTTTTTAATTTTTAGTCGTTATCATTATTCAAACACCAAGAAACATGTTATCAAAACCGTTCAATTTTGCAGTAAATGCACTCAAGATTACAGGAAAACAACGTGAACTTACCACCGACCGTGCCTCACAGGTATCTTGAAATGATATACATACTGGAACACTGCCATAGCCAAATATTATAAATCATCACGTGTGGGTTATAAAGGATTCTGTGACTTCCTTTTTTTCTTGGAATATCAACTTTCAATGACTCCTTGTAAAATAACAAAATTCCATGACTTTTCTGTTACTCTCCATGGTAACTTCAAATTCAAGGATTTTTCCACGACTAAGAACCCTGACCGATAATTTCTTTTAGGTGAAAAGAAGAAAAAGGTAACTTCTGTTCAGACCGTTTAGTGTTTCATGGGTGGATTTATTTACAATTCAATACAGCTGTTACATCCAAGCTTCAATGAATCCAATACGAGATTTTTTCCAGGGCAAAGACATTGCAAAGATTTTCGTTTTCACTCATTATTCAATATTAAGTCGAGTAAGGAAACTTAACAATGCACACATTATTTCATTAAAGAAATACGTTCGTCAATGTGGCAAAAATAAGTGTCTTTTCTGTTCTCAAATATTCCGAAGAGAAAGTTACATTCTTTTTGCCTCCTGAAAATCCAACTTGTGTAACACCACTGTCAGGTCAACAAAAAATGCAAAAATAAAGAATGAAAAAAAAAACGCGAAAACATTGAGAAAGTTGCAGGTCAGCTCTTCCCCCCGAAGATTGCAGCAGTCGACGGTGGCCTCTGTGGGATGACGCTGGACCAGACGAAACCCTTCTCCTCTCTCAGCGAATCCACAGGAAGGGGCGTGGTCCTGGAACGGTAGTACTCACTGGGGGTGTGGCAAACAAACTCCAGATATTCCAACGAGCGAGGGAGCTCTTCTTCTGGACCTGTTGAGAATGTCAAGTCATGAAGCCATTACTGAAAGAGAAGTGTATCTGTAGCAGGGTATCAGGCAAAGGAAAATAATAATTGTCAAAAGGTCGGGGTGCAAATACCCCCTCTTCCCCCTCTTCCCCCTTGTCCCCCCCCCCTCCTTCTGCTGCCCATTGGTTACCAGTCCTCTGCTTTGTCTCAGGCTTTTGCTTAATCAATGGTTCCAAAATCATTTGGAAGCTGCTGATGTTTCTATCAACAGTAGTATTAAATGATTTGATGTTTTGACTTGAAGCTGAAGGAGAAAATGAGAATTCTTTTGGTGCTTCCAGAGATTTTTTAATTCAGGGGCCTTCAATCATTAATCTTGAATCTGGTGCCTTATCTGAAGACAAAGCTACGATATGATTCTGAAGACAATTTTTATTTTTTTAGAAATCATGAGCAACATGACTTTGCACAACTTTTTCAATCAACAAATAAAAAGTACATTGGTTAATTGGTTTACTTTTCTCACCCAAAATATATGTAGAAGGCTCAAAATGGTTCTTGTCTGTTGCTTGTGTGGGGAGTAACCACGTGATCACTGCGCTCTTGTCACCGTACTGGTCTTGAAGAAATCCTCCAATCTGCGCGTAGTAAATACCGCCCTCAACGTCTAAAATTGACACAATGTCACCGGCTTGCAAGTACACACCCTGGACATTCAAGGAAAGAGTGTTTTCAGTGTCCTCTGTCTGAACCTCTGAATCATGACTTGATAAAAGGTGCTACATTTGAAGATAACTCGACGACCGAATATTGCTGCTACACCCAAATTAGACCATCAGTCCCAACTTTAGTTGAGAAAATCCAACTAAAGTGTTCCAACTGGAACAAACCATTTGGGACAGTCCCAGCTTAGTTGGGACCATGGTCTAGTTGGGGCGTATTAAACATCATCATGGTGAGCTCAAAATGATTTTTCAACAGGAAATTTGATATTATACTCTAGCAGGTCTCAGAATCCATGTTACACCCAACTATAGCTGTAAAGCAACGGTCCAAACTATAGTTGAGTCAATCCCAACAATGATAAGTTAGGATCGTCCCAACTAAAGTTGGAATGATGCTATGCTTTGGGCATTACATCAACATTTCCAAACAAAAAAACAGAAGCACTTTTTCATTAAAATCTATATTAAATAACATTTTCGAAGATGAAATATTGGTGCTGGACATGTACTTACGTGATGGAACACACTGTTACTGGTAACAACAGTTGCACTGGCTTCAGGGGATTTCATTGGCTGTGAATCAACGCAAAAACGATCGAAAAATGATGATTTATTAGAGAGTGTGTTACCCATTTATTGGGAAATGGAATTTTATTGGGCATGCCGATTAATACGATTTTTGGCATATTCACTGTATTCTTCACAGGTAAGTACTTAATATAATCATAATACTGGGAGGGACAAATGACGTTCAGGTTGAAAATTTGGAACACGTCGAAAGGTTTCATATCAGATGTACGTGTAGCGTTATTATTGACGCCACATTCACGGGTCTAGTCAGAGCTGTGTAATTATAATCCTACTGAACAATACTAATTTTAATAACGCAGTTATGAAAAAAAAATCATGAAAAATCACATTTACATAATTACAAATTACATTTCTTTTAAAAACAATCCTCCTGTTTTTCCCCTTGGTGGCCTGTGACTTTGCCGCATTGACGATCTGTTTGTAGCGTAGTTTCTTTACAGTTCTCGCTGATTTCCGAGTTCCCTCACGACCCGGTCTTCCACCGGCTCCTCCGCCGTTCTGCCCCGAGGCTGACCCGGCCCCCGATGGCTTGCCGTCCTCGCTTCCTTCCCCGTTTCCTCGGTGATTCAGAAAGCACGAGTTGCACTGGATTCTCTCATCGGAATTTCGCCTCCAGAGGGGGGAATTAGTCGTCTTACATGTCACGCAGAGTGGCTTTTCCCCGAACGGCATTTTGATGTGTGAAAAATACCACTGACCAGAGGAAAAATTAAGAAAAATATATTGGGATTTGTGAGCCGAAACTTCACATGCCGCGAAATTCGCAGTGGTATTTGTGAAGTGCGCCCTCCAGAGTTACGAAAACAAGAGACGTAATCACGAACTTGAGGTCAGCTTCAGCTGACGAGAGCTCCAACTTTACTTCTAATTTTCACCAAAATTGTCGAATAACTTACGTCTCCGCTGAATACACCTTGAAGAAGGTTCATCTGTTACTGAGTGAGTTTCCTTTTGCCTTGAATTCTTCGAACAAAATGAGCGCGTTTTTACATTTGACCCTCTCGAGTCTCGAGTACCTAATTGTTGGTACTGGTACTGTGGTAGATACGTGCGCTATGTACATGATGTACTCTGCCCATTATTGAATTGAAAGTTCATCACACTTTTTTATTTTGTTCCAAATCTTTTTGTGAAGCCAAAGTGAACTTTGTCTCATATGGCTCTGCAAACGTACAAAACTTGGCGTTGACCTATTTTCTGATTTAAATCAGCCATTCATTCAGTAAACAATATGAATTATGAGTCACTCAACCAAAATAATAAATAATTGGTGTCCAAATAAAAAGAATGGACACATGCCTTTGAAAATTATCTGCTCTTATTTTTTGTTAAGGCTTAATTCAAAGTTAAATAATGTTGATGGCAACATGCTCTATCTTACAAAGTTCAGTTTCAATTTATACAGTGAAAAATATATCTTTTTATGTGTATTCAATCACTATTACTATCTCCCACAAGTGGATGTCAGCTGCCACTCGTGGTGAAATGATTTTGGTTTTACTGAAATCAATTGTAGAAAATCAATTATAACTACATTAGTAATAATCGTCCATTGTCAAGATGTGATTTCATGTTACAAAATAGAATATTATTTTCAATGTGATAATTTTGTTCATTTTTCTGGTTTTATTAAAGGGTTCTTCTTAAAGAGACTTAGTAAAAAAAATGCCTGGGATGTTCAACGCCGATGTCCTGACTGGGACCAGACGGCTGTTTTATGCAGTCACTCCCAATGAAACATCATTTGAGAGACTGGAAGATGTACCAGATTACTTCTATGAGGTAACAGACATGAAATAGTTGTATGATATAGTCTTGCACTTTATAAACAAAAAAGGAACAATAACAGTCACAACAAATATAAATGAAGTTATTCATGTTTACTTAGCTTTGTAAATGCTTGTCTTTTGTTTTCTTTTTAACTTTGTTTTTGTTTGTTTTTTCCCCCTGTGTTTTAGGCCATTCCATTCTTCGGTTTAATGTCTCTGATTGAGATGATTGTGACCATCTCAGACAAGAAGGTTCGTGAGAGGTTCTTTCTCGCTGACAGTATCAGCTCCCTCTCTGCCGGCATGTTGCTGCTTCTTACAGCGTAAGTATTGTAAGCTGCGGAACTATTCTGAGTTGCAAATCTGAACATATTCTCTCAAAATTTAGGAATCATCATCCAGCAGAATAATTACTTTTGCAGGAGTCTGGAAGTGTCTGGCTGAGTTGTACTTCTAACCCGTAACCCACTCTACCAAAGTTCAAATTTCAATCTGCTGGACGTTTAGTTTGGGTTTTTCTGTTCTCCTCTGATTCATGTTTTTTTTCTTCGAGTACATAAATTTTTTCAGGGTTCCTTCCTACTCAAAACTGAGCATTACTTCATATCTCTCCACATTCCCTATGAGTACTTCTTGGGAATACTCTTTTTTTTTCGCAAGAGAAATAAAATTATTTTGAAAACAATAGTGATTTTGAATTGACGAGACCAATAAAGCAGAGGAGAGGGTAATTTGAACTTTTTGCAGTATAATCTAGGACATTATCTCTGGCTATGTGATTTGTATATATAGGCGTATATAAAATGACGCCTCTATTTTTGATAAATAAAATTTGTAAAACTTCATTGACCTTTACAAACTAATACTGCAGATTGGGGAGGGTTTGTTTTTAAAGCAAAATAAGTTATATAATGAATTCATTGAAACCGTAACAAAATATCTGTAAGAACAAATTTCAAGTGCATCATTTGTATTGTTTCCATAAGACTGTATATGTATGGCGTTCACGCAATGTAAAGCTAGCAGTGTAATGTTTAAACAGCAAATTATCCTATTAAAATGTCCGTCCTTGTGATTTCTCCCTGTCTAGGTTTTTAGCCTACGGCGTTAACATCGGGATGTACGTCTGGGTTCATGAGCACTATCGCCTGGCCACCTTGCCCTGGAACAGCCCCTGGACCTGGGTCATTTGCTTTGTATTGGTGGATTTTGGTTACTATTGGATGCATAGAATGACGCATGGTACGGACCTTGCCATTGGCCGCTCATAAATGCCTCTTTCAGGACAATGATTTTGATTGGTTGATTTTTGTTTTTTAAAGTATTGGCATGTTTGAGTTAGGACCTGCTACCTTTTTTTATATTTATAAGATATATTTTACAATTGACTTGGACATAATAATTTAGTTTATAAATATATGTTGGTACAGCACATATAAATATAGGCATAATTAGTGTTATTTCTCAAAAATACCAAATATAATGAATTATTTCCCTTCCGTTTCAAATGTACTTAAACAGCACAGGGAACCTACCATGGTCATCACAAGTCAATCACAAGTCAAGCACAAGTCAAGCACAAGTCAATCACAAGTCAAACACTAGTCAAGCACAAGTCAATCACAAGTCAATCACAAGTCAAACACTAGTCAAGCACAAGTCAATCACAAGTCAATCACAAGTCAATCACAAGTCAAGTACGAGTCAAGTACAAGTCAATCACAGTCAAGTACAAGTCAATCAATATGGAAAATCCTATCATTTCCCTACTTTTTCCTGTGTGGGCCATTTGGAATGGGCAGTGTTCCAAATGGAAAATTCCATATGACATTGCAAGTTTTGTGGTGTTGCCCAAGCAGCTCTCTGTTAAAACCACAGAGAATCATTCAATCATTTGAATGAATATTTGTTTTCTTTTTTAGAGGTGAATATCTTCTGGGCAGCTCACCAGGTTCATCATAGCTCTGAGGAGTACAACCTCACCACTGCGCTCAGACAATCAATTTGCCAACGATTCGTGTCGTGGGTGAGCCACATCCTTCCTTTTCCTTCATTTACAGAGACATATTTTTGTGGAATAATATAATCTCTTGTTTATAACTCCTTTCAAGCTATATATCCCTGTACCGCCAAAAACTGATCTGCCTGTTACTCCCTGTACCACCAAAACTGTTTGGGCACTACATAATATAGAACAAGTAGTAATAGGTTTAGGTTTATTTATTCACAAGAAATAGTAGGCAAAATGCTTAATAACTGAACAAATCTGAAATATATGAATTGTTAAAGTATGGAGTTTGGACACTATTTTTTTGATATTCTTTTCCAGGAATATTTCAATAATTATTTCTCTAAATAATCTTGGAGTCAATTGTGAAGCTTAATTAAAGCTTCATACTCCAAATAAAACTTACACCGTTTAATTGTTCATACTAACCCAACAATTTACTGAAATATACAAATGTACACGAGTCCAATCAAATACAATCTCATCCAAATATTGTTAAGTATAACGATTCCGGTAATCCTGAAAAATGACTGAAACTTCTGCAAACATCTTCTTGACCAGTTGACCTGAATATAAACCAATCAAAAAGTTACAGAGCCTAAGGTTTTGATCCTGGCAGAATCTTTCTCAAAAACAAAATTCTGGTAATCCTTGATTTGATATTCTTCTCTCCGGACAGATGTTCTACCTTCCCCTAGCCCTGGCCATCCCCCCTCCCATGTTCATGATGCATCAACAGTTCAACACTCTGTACCAGTTCTGGATTCACACAAGGGTACGCTTATGTTTCTATCTTATGCCTCAGTCAGTCTGTCAGTCATTTTAACTTTACGTCAGTTGTCTTTAGGAGTAATTTCTGTGGCAGCTCAATTTCCCAACTTTTTGAGAGCCATCTGACTTTTTTGTTCAGGTGACATTCACTGCTTCAACTGATGATTGGCTGAAAGATTTTTAGGGGAAAAATGCAAATGCAGCGTGTTGATTTCTTCTTATTTTGACATCATGAAGATCCCAGTTACATTAGAACGTTCTTTTATAGAAACCTGTGCGGGAACATCGATCACATTGAACAGTGCGGCCTTGCCATAGGAACCACACATTATAGTGTACACATTTACACAACACAGTAGTCAACCAATTTTCAACTGAGAATGAACAATTCCGTAACGATTTCACATGAAATGAATGCATCGGAACGCTTTAACGAAAAGTGTCCGTCGATAACAGCAATTGCTCGTCGTCTTGGGTGTTTAATTTTGAACAGAGTCAACAAAAATAAACAGTGAATAAATTAATATAAGGTAAAAAATAGAAAAGAATTTGACTGTAGGTGATGTGATTGTGAACCTGTGACCTGTGGCACATATTACACCTTTCAAGTTGCTGACATTTTTATAAAGTATCTTTTTTTCCCCTTGTTTATTTTTTTGGTCTTTCCTCAGGCTATTAAGAGTCTTGGTCCCTTGGAGTATATTCTGAATACCCCCAGTCACCATAGGGTCCATCACGGTACGTATTCTACAAGAAATTGAAATATCAATTTTGAGAATCAATGATTTTAAAAATTAGCCTGTATATTCATTACAGTGGATCCTTCCTGCCTGCGAATCTGGAGCAGTAAATTTGCCAAGCTTGCATAATGTACAGTTATCAACATTTCAAGTCTTTACAATCAGTGTCTGTGTATGGTACATGTACTGCCATAGGTTGATAAGAAACCAGTTTATCATCAGATGTGTTTGTTGTATGTTTTATGACAGGCCGGAACCGGTACTGCATTGACAAGAACTATGCAGGAACGCTTATCATCTGGGACCGAATGTTTGGTGAGTAGGCCGGTGTTTGATTTGCAGATTAATGCCTAGTCAGTTGTATTTACAAACAGTCTTAAATCGCTCACTAAAGGAAAGAAACAATGAAATAATATATCATCCGAGACTGCAGAATTTGGTTTCCATATTAACAGATAAAATTGAGAATTGTGTAAATGTTGTGTATAATTTTGATTGAAATTTCATGGTTAGGAATTTTGTTTTGTGACTGTTACGCTTTTCAACTGCAACTATTAGTTTTCAATTTTGATTATTTTTTTTTCAATTTCATTTTTCATTTTCCGTTTTCTGTTTTCCATATTCAGTTGTCTCCTCAGTTTCCAATTTTTGCATATGCTGTTTTACTGGTTATTTCTAAATCATTTTCTAACTTTCAATTATAAATTTTGCTTCTTAAATTTTTTTTCTGATCTTCATTTTGAATTTTATTTGACAAGCTTTATCCAAATTTTGTGATGACTTTCAATCAGGCACCTTTGAGCCAGAGAGTGACCCTGTTGTCTTTGGGTTGGTTCATCCGCTAGAATCATTCAATCCTCTCTATACTCAGGTACAAATCTCTTAATTTATTCTCTCTAAAAAAATCTTTTCCTAATTGGTGCCATGCATTTGGCCTTCATTTTGTTTATTTTTACAAAGATAAAATTGATGTAACATAGTTTTGTGAAACTTAGCTGTATCATCATTTTAACTTAGACTTTGTTTTTGTGTTGAAGCACAAACATTGAACTATATTCTGCTGAAAACAAAATGTCAGGCCCTCTATCTTTAATTTCAAATTCTTCTCACTTTGCTCTTTGATAACAAATGTTATTTCTCATAACAATTTTCATTTTGCGTGTTTTATTTTAAGCAAAGAAAAGATTTATTGTTTAATTTTTGGTGTATGCAGCCCTCTGAAGAGGAAAATATTCTGGTTGCTTTTTTGGTTCTAATGCACAGAAAGATCCACTTGAATTTTCATCAAGCAATGAATAATTCTACATTCTTGGAGTATTTATTCCATAACAAAATGTGGGGAGGGTTTTCTGTTTAATATCTCATTCGATGGTGAACAACGTTTGTATTTGTAAAACTGAATAGCGTTTTTGATTTAAAAGTCTATTTTTTTTCGAGGCAAAACTTGAAAGCAGCACAGGAGCAGCTACTTTAAAAGTTTGGTTGTTTTTTGTTGACACAGTATTGTCACTTCAAGTACATCGTGGAGACAGCATGGAATATGCCGGGACTGACCAACAAACTCTGGGTGTTCCTGAAGGGACCGGGCTGGACGCCGGGTTTGCCCAGACAAGGATCCATCAAAGATATACCGGATGTGAGTCACAGCCGAGTCCAAATAACGTGACTACGGCTTGCCAGAACACATGTCTGTGGGAGTGGCTGTAGTCACTTCCCATAGACATGTGTTTTACCGCTAGCCGTAGCTAAGTAGCTAAGTAGCTAAGCTTGGATGCAGCCATAGATGCCTTAGGCCATTCAGGAAAAAAGTCTTAATTTATCATCAGTGTTATTTTACAACTTAAATGAATGTGGACATTATTGATCTATTTCTTTGTTTACTTTTCTTTTCTTTTTCTTTTGATGTGTAAGCTGAGTAACAGGAAGGTATAGATTTAGTCGGAATATTTTGTTCCCAGGAATCTGCGTGTGTTGTTTTTTCCTTGTTAACTGATGACTTTTCAGAAGACAAGTCAGAGAATGCATTGATATATTTATTGTTACTTTCTTCAAAAGAAATATAAATAAGAAGGAAACAATTTACGATTTAACAAACTTCCTTTTTATACTCTGAAGCATAAAGGCCTATTTACACATACGTGATTTTGTCGCAGCGACTTTGTTGCATGGCAGTGTCACAGATGTGTATGTATCCAGCAATACAAAGATATGTTTCGCCTTTTTTGAAAATTTATCTCACAAGGAAAGCAGTTCAGGTACAGGTTGCAGGTGAAACACGTTTGCAACATTTTGCGTCGCGCGATGAAATCACTTCCAATTTGCATTTGAAAAATCGCGCGATAAGCCGCACGACTTTGTAAATGTACTTCGTGTAAATGTACGCAACAAAGTCGCATAGACCTTTAAAACTGAAGCATTACCTTCTTATCTGACATTTCAACCAACAAATTCCTTGTGTCTTTGTTTTTTAGATTCACTATCCGATGCCCAAGTACCGACCCAAACTGCCACGGTGGATATTTGCTTACATCATCGCTCACTTTGCCATCAACTTCATTGTTTATGACGCCTTCATGACATCAAGGACGGTCAGTTTTCTGTCTCCCATCAGTAATATCATTGTAAAGTGGATTGCTCATGGACATAAACACCGTGAACCCAAAGCAGGCTTTGGATTGTCGGAAGACAACAAAAGTCAATCATTTTTGCTCAGTTACAAGTTATTCCTAACTTTAAGCTTTCAAAATGTCTCTTTGAATACAAAATGTTCAACTCTAGACAGCAATTATATGGAAATTGCACTATTGGATGTTGTAAAGGACTGTAAAGCAATATTTCGGCCTGTTGTACTAGAAAGAACTTGTAAATCATTTTGTCCAGACAGACAAATACTAACAGACTGATGAAAAGCGATCCATTTTATTGTTGTGGTCCATAAAATTAATCTTAACAATATTAGACTCACAAAGACTATTCGTTCATTTTCTTTTAGACGCTGTCTCCAACTGCCACGTTTTGCAGTATGGCATACATCATCCTCACATTAACATGCCTGGGAGCAATTGGTGATGCCAAGTAAGTTTCTTAAATATTTTTTTAAAAATTTTTATTCCCCCCCCAACTTTTCAAAGAAACAAAGATGTTACAAGATAAAAATAAAATATTGCTCACCATGATTTTGAGTTTTCCACCCCAGTGTGGATGAGTGTCATGGCCTAGCGGTTAAGAGCACCGCACCGGACTCATGCTCTGGTGTTTTAGAGGCAACAGAATGTGGGCTCCAGCCTGGGTCTGGACACTTGTGCCCTTAAGCAAGGCACTTAACCATTATTGCTTCGTCCTTCAGATGGGGCGTAAAGGCACAGGTCCCATGTGTTGTGTAATGCAATGCACGTAGCAGAACCCAGTACCACTTTTCGCCAAGAGAAGGGGTTTGCCCTGGTATTTCTGGCCTCCTGTGGAAACTCCCCTGCAGAATATTTAGGAGAAGAACCAACCAAGTACCAAGTGTGCCAGCCTATAATCTCTCTTAAAGTTTGCTGCCAAATTTATGTGACAGTGAAAATTTGCCAGGTACTAGTCAGACATAAATACATCCATGACATTTTTGGCTGGTATCCTTTCTTTTTTTTTTTCCTCGGCACAAATTTTCTAATCCTGCCATATTTTTCCCGCCATCAGACCAGCAGCTCCGTTCCTTGAGGTCGTCCGTTCCTGCCTGGTCCTGGTAGCCGAAGCCATCGCCAGTTCCTACCTTCCCATAATGCAGCGGGGTTCCTCCCAGTGGGTGTTCTACCTCTTGAGGGCAGCATTCGGTCTGTCCATAGTGGTCTGGCTGCCGAGGTGCGTGTCCGTGCTCACGCAGAGAAAGAACAAGGCTGAGTAATATCTCAACACTAGAGGGCGCTGTTTGTCACAATTTCACAGGCTGTTTCCAACACAACATACAAATTGAAAAGTCATTCGGAGAACAAATCCATTTTTTTTAAGAGCATGGGTATCCATCTTCAATGCAAGCATTCAAATAGAGGGTTTGACATTTTGAAATTTGCATGTCATTAAATATAGCTGTGCCCAGATTGGTCTGGATATTTTGAACACATTTTAAATGATCTGATTTGGCAAACTGAGGAATTGTAAACAGTTATGACTGCTCTATTTTTTTCCCAAATATTTAAATGATGTGATTTCACTGCCAAAATTTTTACTTTTACATTTTCTTTTTAAATATGTAAATGATGTGAATTCATTGCCAAAATTTCATTTTTAATATTTTCCCAAATACAAAGAGCCAGTTTTAGAGTTTTAAATATTATTTTTCACTTAGTAATGGTTAAAAAATTTATTTTTAGCCCTGTGTCGAAATGGCAGTTTTGATCCATTTCTTCGCAGACTGGAACTTTGACATGTAGAATGCATCAACATATGTGTTGACGGAGACTGAATTTTTCATGTTCGTGTCAAAGAAACAAACATTTTTTGTTGGGTTTCACATTAATACCTACAGGTTTATCCTAGTCTACATGCATTTAATTTTCCAAGAAGGAATCAAAATGTTAAAAACCATTATTTATTACATGTAGAATAGAGTATGATTGATGGCTTGTACAACTTCTGCTGAAAACTTATGATAAGAGTGCTTGATCTTTAGTTGTTTTCCCGTATTAAATATTTCGCAGCAAAATTCAATGCAAATTTGTAACAATGCAATTTACATAAATGTAATCATGTGAATAATCATGTAGAGTAATAAATATTATGTTAATGTGAATATTGGGGATTTTTAAACGCAATGCAAAGATTTTTTTGGAAAATGCAAAATGGTAGACTATTGTGAACGTTAAATTTGTATTTTAATTATTTTTATCAGAGAAGTCTATGATAGATTCATTTAAAGGTTTATGGCTGATCATCCTAGATTATTTTTATATCTGTAACACAGCAAATATAAAAACATTAATGATTTTTATCTCATTTACAAGTTTCTGTTTCTATCCATGTAACCAAAAATTACACATTGATGTCGTCAGCTTAGTTTGTTATCAAGACAAAAGAGAATCCATACAGTTTCCATACTTGACTGTATATTTATACATTTCTTTACTTAAGGAAAACGTATTCAGTGGATGACGCATGTAACATAGAAGCATTACGCATGTTGTTTTTTATCACGGTTTTTCTCTCAGAGCTTACTATCTGTGGTTGTATCAATTAATGCATGGTTATTAAACGGAAGTTTGCTAGAATTAATTGGATTTGTGTGGAAGAAATATGAAAACAGGGTAATTTTTATTGTGAAAGAATGAATACATTGCCAGCTCGAATCTGTAGAATTTATCATCTGAGTTGGTTATTAGCTGCTAATTCAATTGGATCTCAATAAAAGAAGTGAACATTCTTTAACCCAATAACACCTGGACTTCATTGTATTATATAGTATTTATTCACTGAAAAATCAATAAAACCATGGAGTTTTCAGGACAGTTTCCAGACAGTGATTAAAGGGTTAGCCTTGAACTTAATACAGCTTATTGAATTATTCGTATCGTCATGCTTAAACGTTTCTATTAAGAACAAATCTGTGTTTAAATTATTCAGGCTGTTCTCTTTAATCCAACTTTTTTTTTACCAAGGGTTGTAACATAAACAGGAAATTTTTAGGTCATTTTCAGAGTTTATTGGCTAAAAAAATCCTTACATTTTTAGTCAAAATCGGCCAAAAATTGACTTTTCCCTAAACAAGGCAGAAATTCATCTGGATGCAAGAGGAACATCAATCAATACTCTAACACGCATAATTTTGAAGATTTGGGCAAAAATCATCAATTTTTGGAGAAAAAAAGTTAATTTTTGAGCGATTTTACCTTACTTTTTTGACAGAATAACCCCTTTAATAGCACATCTGTCCAACAATCGATTTGGAATGCGTTCTAGGGCCCTTAAGGCATTTTTCTAGCAACTTTCAAGAAATATCATATTTTGGCCAAAATTGAAAAAAATGCAAGGGGTTAGCCTTACATTTTTAGTCAAAATCGGCCAAAAATGGACTTTTCTCAAAACAAGGCAAAAATTCATCTGGATGCAAGAGGAACATCAATCAATACTCTAACACGCATAATTTTGAAGATTTGGGCAAAAATCATCAATTTTTGGAGAAAAAAAGTTAATTTTTGAGAGATTTTACCTTACTTTTTTGACAGAATAACCCCTTTAATAGCACATCTGTCCAACAATCGATTTGGAATGCGTTCTAGGGCCCTTAAGGCATTTTTCTAGCAACTTTCAAGAAATATCATATTTTGGCCAAAATTGAAAAAAATGCAAGGGGTTAGCCTTACATTTTTAGTCAAAATCGGCCAAAAATTGACTTTTCTCAAAACAAGGCAAAAATTCATCTGGATGCAAGAGGAACATCAATCAATACTCTAACACGCATAATTTTGAAGATTTGTGCAAAAAAAAAAACAATTTGTGGAGAGAAAAAAAGTTAATTTTGAACGATTTTACCTTAATTTTTCGCCGAAATTACCCCTTTAATAGCACATCTGTCCAACAATCGATTTGGAATGCGTTCAGGGGCCCTTAAGGTATCTTTCTAGCAACTTTCAAGAAATTTCATTTTTTGGCCAAAATTGGAAAAAAATGCAAGGGGTTAGCCTTACATTTTTAGTCAAAATCGGCCAAAAATTGACTTTTCTCAAAACAAGGCAGAAATTCATCTGGATGCAAGAGGAACATCAATCAATACTCTAACACGCATAATTTTGAAGATTTGGGCAAAAAAAACCAACAATTTTTGGAGAAAAAAAAGTTCATTTTTGAACGATTTTACCTTAATTTTTGGACGAAATTACCCCTTTAATAGCACATCTGTCCAACAATCGATTTGGAATGCGTTCAGGGGCCCTTAAGGTATCTTTCTAGCAACTTTCAAGAAATTTCATTTTTTGGCCAAAATTGAAAAAAATGCAAGGGGTTAGCCTTATATTTTTAGTCAAAATCGGCCAAAAATGGACTTTTCTCAAAACAAGGCAGAAATTCATCTGGATGCAAGAGGAACATCAATCAACACTCTAACACGCATAATTTTGAAGATTTGGGCAAAAATCATCAATTTTTTGGAGAGAAAAAGTTATTTTTTGAGCAATTTCACCTTAATTTTTCGACGGAATTACCCCTTTAATAGCACATCTGTCCAGCAATCGATTTGGAATGTGTTCAGGGGCCCTTAAGGTATCTTTCTAGCAACTTTCAAGAAATATCATATTTTGGCCAAAATTGAAAAAAATGCAAGGGGTTAGCCTGATATTTTTAGTCAAAATCGGCCAAAAATGGACTTTTCTCAAAACAAGGCAGAAATTCATCTGGATGCAAGAGGAACATCAATCAACACTCTAACACGCATAATTTTGAAGATTTGGGCAAAAATCATCAATTTTTTGGAGAGAAAAAGTTATTTTTTGAGCAATTTCACCTTAATTTTTCGACGGAATTACCCCTTTAATAGCACATCTGTCCAGCAATCGATTTGGAATGTGTTCAGGGGCCCTTAAGGTATCTTTCTAGCAACTTTCAAGAAATATCATTTTTTGGCCAAAATTGAAAAAAATGCAAGGGGTTAGCCTTACATTTTTAGTCAAAATCGGCCAAATATTGACTTTTCTCAAAACAAGGCAGAAATTCATCTGGATGCAAGAGGAACATCAATCAATACTCTAACACGCATAATTTTGAAGATTTGGGCAAAAAAACCAACAATTTTTAGAGAAAAAAAAAGTTAATCTTTAACGATTTTACCTTAATTTTTCGCCGAAATTACCCCTTTAATAGCACATCTGTCCAACAATCGATTTGGAATGCGTTCAGGGGCCCTTAAGGTATCTTTCTAGCAACTTTCAAGAAATTTCATTTTTTGGCCAAAATTGAAAAAAATGCAAGGGGTTAGCCTGACATTTTTAGTCAAAATCGGCCAAAAATTGACTTTACTCAAAACAAGGCAGAAATTCATCTGGATGCAAGAGGAACATCAATCAATACTCTAACATGCATAATTTTGAAGATTTGGGCAAAAATCATCAATTTTTTTGAGAGAAAAAGTTATTTTTTGAGCAATTTCACCTTAATTTTTCGAAGGAATTACCCCTTTAATAGCTCATCTGTCCAGCAATCGATTTGGAATGTGTTCAGGGGCCCTTAAGGTATCTTTCTAGCTACTTTCAAGAAATATGATATTTTGGCCAAAATTGAAAAAAATGCAAGGGGTTAGCCTTATATTTTTAGTCAAAATCGGCCAAAAATGGACTTTTCTCAAAACAAGGCAGAAATTCATCTGGATGCAAGAGGAACATCAATGAACACTCTAACACGCATAATTTTGAAGATTTGGGCAAAAATCATCAATTTTTTGGAGAGAAAAAGTTATTTTTTGAGCAATTTCACCTTAATTTTTCGACGGAATTACCCCTTTAATAGCACATCTGTCCAGCAATCGATTTGGGAAGTGTTCAGGGGCCCTTAAGGTATCTTTCTAACAACTTTCAAGAAATTTCATTTTTTGGCCAAAATTGAAAAAAATGCAAGGGGTTAGCCTTACATTTTTAGTCAAAATCGGCCAAAAATTGACTTTTCTCAAAACAAGGCAGAAATTCATCTGGATGCAAGAGGAACATCAATCAATACTCTAACACGCATAATTTTGAAGATTTGGGCAAAAAAACCAACAATTTGTGGAGAAAAAAAAATTAATTTTGAACGATTTTACCTTAATTTTTCGCCGAAATTACCCCTTTAATAGCAAATCTGTCCAACAATCGATTTGGAATGCGTTCTAGGGCCCTTAAGGTATCTTTCTAGCAACTTTCAAGAAATTTCATTTTTTGGCCATAATTGAAAAAAATGCAAGGGGTTAGCCTGACATTTTTAGTCAAAATCGGCCAAAAATTGACTTTTCTCAAAACAAGGCAGAAATTCATCTGGATGCAAGAGGAACATCAATCAATACTCTAACACGCATAATTTTGAAGATTTGGGCAAAAATCATCAATTTGTTTGAGAGAAAAAGTTATTTTTTGAGCAATTTCACCTTAATTTTTCGACGGAATTACCCCTTTAATAGCTCATCTGTCCAGCAATCGATTTGGAAGGCGTTCTAGGGCCCTTAAGGTATCTTTCTAGCAACTTTCAAGAAATTTCATTTTTTGGCCAAAATTGAAAAAAATGCAAGGGGTTAGCCTGACATTTTTAGTCAAAATCGGCCAAAAATTGACTTTTCTCAAAACAAGGCAGAAATTCATCTGGATGCAAGAGGAACATCAATCAATACTCTAACACGCATAATTTTGAAGATTTGGGCAAAAAAACCAACAATTTTTGGAGAAAAAAAAGTTCATTTTTGAACGATTTTACCTTAATTTTTCGACGAAATTACCCCTTTAATAGCACATCTGTCCAACAATCGATTTGGAATGCGTTCAGGGGCCCTTAAGGTATCTTTCTAGCAACTTCAAGAAATTTCATTTTTTGGCCAAAATTGGAAAAAATGCAAGGGGTTAGCCTGACATTTTTAGTCAAAATCGGCCAAAAATTGACTTTTCTCAAAACAAGGCAGAAATTCATCTGGATGCAAGAGGAACATCAATCAATACTCTAACACGCATAATTTTGAAGATTTGGGCAAAAAAAAACCAACAATTTTTGGAGAAAAAAAAGTTCATTTTTGAACGATTTTACCTTAATTTTTCGACGGAATTACCCCTTTAATAGCACATCTGTCCAGCAATCGATTTGGAATGCGTTCAGGGGCCCTTAAAGTATCTTTCTAGCAACTTTCAAGAAATTTCATTTTTTGGCCAAAATTGAAAAAAATGCAAGGGGTTAGCCTGACATTTTTAGTCAAAATCGGCCAAAAATTGACTTTTCTCAAAACAAGGCAGAAATTCATCTGGATGCAAGAGGAACATCAATCAATACTGTAACATGCATAATTTTGAAGATTTTGGCATATATCATCAATTTTTGGAGAAAAAAGAGTTCAGTTTTGAGCAATTTTACCTTAATTTTTCGACGGAATTACCCCTTTAATAGCACATCTGTCCAGCAATCGATTTGGAATGCGTTCAGGGGCCCTTAAAGTATCTTTCTAGCAACTTTCAAGAAATTTAATTTTTTGGCCAAAATTGAAAAAAATGCAAGAGGTTAGCCTTACATTTTTAGTCAAAATCGGCCAAAAATTGACTTTTCTCAAAACAAGGCAGAAATTCATCTGGATGCAAGAGGAACATCAATCAATACTCTAACACGCATAATTTTGAGATTTGGGCAAAAATCATCAATTTTTTGGAGAGAAAAAGTTATTTTTTGAGCAATTTCACCTTAATTTTTCGACGGAAGTACCCCTTTAATAGCACATCTGTCCAGCAATCGATTTGGAATGTGTTCAGGGGCCCTTAAGGTATCTTTCTAGCAACTTTCAAGAAATTTCATTTTTTGGCCAAAATTGGAAAAAAATGCAAGGGGTTAGCCTTACATTTTTAGTCAAAATCGGCCAAAAATGGACTTTTCTCAAAACAAGGCAGAAATTCATCTGGATGCAAGAGGAACATCAATCAATACTCTAACACGCATAATTTTGAAGATTTGGACAAAAAAACCCAACAATTTTTGGAGAAAAAAAAGTTCATTTTTGAACGATTTTACCTTAATTTTTCGACGAAATTACCCCTTTAACAGCACATCTGTCCAACAATCGATTTGGAATGCGTTCAGGGGCCCTTAAGGTTTCTTTCTAGCAACTTTCAAGAAATTTCATTTTTTGGCCAAAATTGAAAAAAATGCAAGGGGTTAGCCTTACATTTTTAGTCAAAATCGGCAAAAATTTACTTTTCTCAAAACAAGGCAGAAATTCATCTGGATGCAAGAGGAACATCAATCAATACTCTAACACGCATAATTTTGAAGATTTGGACAAAAAAACCCAACAATTTTTGGAGAAAAAAAAGTTCATTTTTGAACGATTTTACCTTAATTTTTCGACGAAATTACCCCTTTAACAGCACATCTGTCCAACAATCGATTTGGAATGCGTTCAGGGGCCCTTAAGGTTTCTTTCTAGCAACTTTCAAGAAATTTCATTTTTTGGCCAAAATTGAAAAAAATGCAAGGGGTTAGCCTTACATTTTTAGTCAAAATCGGCAAAAATTTACTTTTCTCAAAACAAGGCAGAAATTCATCTGGATGCAAGAGGAACATCAATCAATACTCTAACACGCATAATTTTGAAGATTTGGGCAAAACTCATCAATTTTTTTGAGAGAAAAAGTTATTTTTTGAGCAATTTCACCTTAATTTTTCGACGGAATTACCCCTTTAACAGTACATCTGTCCAGCAACCGATTTGGAATGCGTTCTAGGGCCCTTAAGGTATCTTTCTAGCAACTTTCAAGAAATATCATTTTTTGGCCAAAATTGAAAAAAATGCAAGGGGTTAGCCTTACATTTTTAGTCAAAATCGGCCAAAAATTGACTTTTCTCAAAACAAGGCAGAAATTCCAAAAGCAAAGTACACAGGAATGGAATTGAATCTCAGAAAATGTTAGGGTTGTAACATGGGCTTGCTCATTTATTTATTGCAATGGAGTAATTTCTAGAATCATACAACAAATCAAAACTGGATGAACATCAGTCCCAAGTAAAATTTGACTTGATAATTAACGGCAATGCACATACACTTTAATGTTCCTGAATAAATCACTACCGTTTGAAAAAAATCTAAACATTTGGAACAATCCTTTTAGTTCAAATACATCACAGGGGTAAGGCTAAACTTACCCAACAAAGACTTGTATTTGATGTATTCTAAAACAAACACAACGTTCACAAAATTGACTCTTATTTTTTCGATGTCATTGTGTGTCGCCTTTTTTTTTTTTAAACAAGATGACCTAACCCAGTTATCTAAAATGTACAAGTGATTTTGTGAAAACCTGCACTGACAAACACTTCTTGCCTAAGATGTTTGAAACTATAGACCACATGACTTAGTCACATGACTGGTCACACGACATGTGTATTTGCGCTTTCAACAGAAGGCATGGTACAGCTTTAAAATGGACAAGGGATACATGTGAGATTCGGCCGAATTTTGGACAAATAATGCACGACATGACCTAAGTTGGCAACTTTTAGTTTTTGCGATAGCCAGAAATTTTAAAAACCATTTGCCCAGTCAGTGTGTCGGGCGTCATCAGGCAAAGAGTTTTCTCGGCCCATGAGTAACAATTATTGATACGTCTTAACTGAGTATTTCTACCATATAAAGGAGACAATGTACAAATGAAACTCCTACAATCGGAGACGTCATACATTTACGAACAGGATACTTCCAAAAGAACATGACCAAATTTCAAATGGGGGTTATGGAGACTGTTTTAATTTGTTGAAGACATATTTTGTTTCACAACGTCGGTAAATATCAGGTACTGGAGCTGGATTCGAACCTGCACCCTCCAGGACAGACTGATGCATGTTTTGACCAATCACGGCCGCGATTACTGAACCATATGCCCAGACAAGTCTGACAACTGCGCTTGAACCTTACATGATGACCACTGTATTACAATTTTCTACATCAGTTGAATGATGTCTCCACATGATGCAACCTCATGCAGTAAATCCGGCTGTTCAAAAAACTACTCGATGTTCAGGAAATGGACACAGAGGTGCTGATGATAGTGGTACAAACAAAAACCACATGGCTTAAAAATTTATTGTATTTTTTTATTGTGACAAGTAAAACATGAGAAAATGGTTTCGAGAATGTAAATGCTTCCAAAATCTACAGGGATTCAAGCAGTTGTAACAAATCTAAACTTGTGCATTAAGTACAAATCACTCTGCTCCTGTTCTGACTTAATGCGGAAAAACATCCAATTTGTTTAAATAACATGCACTTGAAGTTTTTCTGCGATTTTTTTTTTCAACTATGAATTCATCAGGAATCATTTTCTAAATCAAATACCATCACCTCTATCAAAAAGGAACATAAAAACTTACAAAATCTCCGTAACATCAACTGACAAATGCGTACATTTAGTAATAAAAGGAAGGAAATATATAATATTAGAATTCTTATTTATTTTTTTATCTGCCCAATATACAGCACATACACCAAAACTCTTATAGGTTTTTTCTTAAATCTCTGCCCTTCGGAAAAAACGATAACAATTCACACTCACAAAATTGTCATTAATTTAGTATATTATATTCATTACGTACTGAAGGTGATTATATTTTACAACGTCCGTTTGGCTAATATTCTTGTTTCAAACATGAAATTACCGCAAGTTAAGAACATGTACAGCAGGAAACTTAGTCGTTCCCTAAACTTAAAAGAGTACTTTTGGTGTCGTTTGATCAAACGCGGAACTGAACACTTTCAATGAATTGTGTGGGCGTTTTCATTGTAGAAGCCTCATGAGAATTACATTACATACAGCGGCCAAGACGACACTGAAGATTAGGAGTTTAAATTTGTGAAAAGTTTACAAACATTGAGTTCGTGATAAGCGTGCTTGGATCATGAGAATTCGGAGAACAAAATTTCCATGTCAAATATTTTTATTCAGGGATGATTTCTTTTCCTGTTGTCCTTTTTTTTTTGGAGAAACACTTTTACAATGTCTTCTTTTTTGTGTGTTTTTTTTTCTGTCAAAGGCCATGCCTGCTTTCAAACAGGAGAGAAAACGTACAGCGTAGATTTTTCACTAAAGACAAAATACTCCAAAATAATTAGTTTTAGCATCTGAGTATCACATTTGTTAAACTAATATGGACTGCTTCAAAACCATTAGAGTGCCCTCTATAATCCATGACGCCTCGTGAACATTTTTCTAATCCTCAAAATCTGTGACAAAAAAACACAAAACTGTGTCTTCAAGAAAACACCCTATCACCAGAATTAAATTCGCTATAAAACTCATGACGTGCAAACTATACTTTAATTGCCCTACATCAAGATATAAAATAAATACCAAATAATTAATCCCATATCTACCCAGCTACTGTCACAAATCACTGCTTTAGGTAACATCATTCAAAACGACTTTCCCCAAAAAGGAAAGAAAACTTAAAGTCTGTACACATTTAATGAATTACTGACATGAAAACATATTTAGTTGTCAAAGTGTGTACTGTGTAAAACATTCCTGGTATCAAATTGATGTTTATATCAAGTTATTTCAAAGATTATTTTAAAAAGGGGCCATCAAACATATTTATGAATTTTTTTCTTTTAAATCTTGAACAATACAAGTCGGGTTGTCAACAGCCTTTATAAATGTTCCAATCTCAGGGATAAACCTACCGACTACAATTGTACCCTGTCCTATGAACGGATCATAACTTTGTCTTTACTTCGTTAACACTGCATCGTATTACCCATTGATACCACTCACTGAGACTCGATAATTAGTTTTAATTTTAAGCTGCATTTAGTACCGAACATGTAATTTTCCAGGATTTTTTTTTCAATTATGATTTTTTTTTTCAGATAATGGCAATACACCTTCAACAGGGTAGTATTATCGAAAATTAATCAAATTTAACATTGGATTCTTCTGTACACGTGTATTCTTTCTTGAAGGCTGGACAAACATGTAAGTTTATATCTAAAAATTGGTTTTTGTTTCCTATGGGCTTGTGTTGCTTTGTCAAATATTGAGGAGAAAAACAAAACAAAATACCACTTTGTGGGCTGCATCATGTAACAAACTAGGATTCATACCAGTTGAAGGTGATGATAATTTTCTAGACGCCATCCCGCGAGACTTGTCGACGAGCTTCGTGACGTGATGTCGCTGCCCCATGGGTCGTCATAACTACAGGAAGGCGTCGGGTTTGCCTCGCGGGTCCTTCTGGTTTCGGTAACGGAATGTAATGAAAATACCAACAATCTGGGCCGGGAAAGAAGCACAGTAAAAACACAGAATCAGGAAATAAACCACGAAGGCAAACCGACTAAATTCACTTTAAATCAATAATAAGGTTTAACGAATAAACTGACTGAAGCAAGATTCGAACCAGCGACCTCAAGTCTGCCACACCAAATGGAAGACTGCTGTTGGCTGAACGCTTTTACAATTTACATACTGTGATTCAGAGGTCAAAGGTTAAAATACTGCTTCAGTGAATTTCTTTGTTTAATCTTGTAATAGAAAAAGAAAAAGCTTAACTTAAAAACCATTAGTATAAACTAAACGAGGAAAATGGGGAGGAGGTACCACCATCACCGATATCTGTTCATCACCATCAGGGATATGAGCTTCACCAACAAGAAATATGACCCTCCAGCACAAAAGCAGTCGGAAGTTGTACGGCCGTAATTTGAGATACAGGCTATAATACAGCCTTTGAAACATACATGTATATTGATGAAGATTGGGAACTGAACATGCCTACATTGTATAACTCTGTCAGATTTTGTCCGATTCCCATATTCTATACTTCATCGGATAGTTTATTCAATGTCTTTTTTTTTAAAGAGCACCAAATTCCACTTTTCAAAAATTGGTCCAAGTGACTGGTTTTGTGCCACGGCGTCACAATGGCCCTCCAAAAATATTTATACAGTACTGTTATGTCATATTTTTTTTGGAAGGGGGGAAATGAATTGGAAAAAGTTAGTGCACTGAGCCTGGTGTTAGTGGAGAAGGGGGAGGGGCTTAGTGGGGGGGGGGAGTGATATTCAATGGAGCATTAGCTACGACTGCGAAAAGTGAAATTGGGAGTTTAAATGAAAGAAAACAGTGTTAATCATTCATCATGCATATTTTTATCTTCCAAATCATTAATATTAAGGAATTTTTTTCCCAATTGCATTAAAAAAAAAAAATCACTGACAGAAACTCAAGTTATTCTTGTATGCATAAATTTAGTTTTCAAGAATGGGAAGAGGGGTTACTGAGAAAAACAGGACAATTTTGAATGAATCTCACTGCAAAAATTGGTAAAAATGAGGGTAGGTATGATGCATGATGAATGAATTTTAAGACAGAAAATGAGCGATGATACAAAGGATTATGTTAATGTAAAAAAACAAATAATGAAGCAAAAATGCCAAGCAACTGTGCAATGCAACCCAAGCCTTTTTAACCTCTTTTGGAAAACTGGTCTTAAGAAATTTAACGATTAACGATTGCCAAATATTTTAATGTTCTTTAACTCGGTCAGCTTGTGTGTAACACAATCCAACTTGGCCTGACAACTAACTAGACCGTGACGGAGTTGGAGGGCGGTGTGCTTGTGTACGTCCCTGATACAGGCCACAAGCCGTCGGGACGCTTGCGGAATCCTAATGAAGTTGAGGCATTTTTGTTTTTGACTGATCTCAATACCGACTCTACTCCATAGAGGATTTAGGATCTTTTAATGCATGCATTAGTGCAGGCTCTGATTCTTCTTGCCCTCAAGCTTTTGAAATTTCCATTTAAAAGCCTTCGGAAAAATAGCGGATAAAATTCCTGCACGGTGCTTTTTTTGGGGGGGGGTGGCAATGTCTTTGTGGAATGTTTCAATAATCAACTCAATTATGAAGTTATTTGGTAGACAACTAGATAAAGAAATTCAAAGCAATTTTTTTTTCAATAGGCCTTTCCAAAAATTGTCAGATACTTTCTGACTTTTGAAAATCACCAACATTAAAATAAGTTTTAATAAAAAGAACAGCTACATAGTCATGCTGAAAACAATTTCACAATGACATGCAAATAAACAAAACAACAACAACAACAACAACAACAGGCAAGTGCTGCACTGTACTTGATCGGACACACTTTGCTTCAACAACTATGGACTAAGAGTTTGTGGATTTGTGTCATTTCAGTTTGATTTGAAATTAATTATTGTTTCACCGTACACCACGCTTAATGTGGCTCAAAGGCCCGGACCGAGTGAGATAGAAAGAAAATCTAAATGTAAACCAAAATAACTAGTAGAAAAGGCTGAGATAGGTCTTTCACAACACCTGTGCATATTAGATTGAGAAATAGCCTGAATTCTTCCCAAATTCTTTTTGACTAAAATGCTAATAAATAAAGTAATAGTTGCTGGGTTTGGCAATCTACAGTGCAATATCCAAGAAAAAAAGATAATTAAAATCAGCTTTTTTTTTAATTTTGATGGAAATGAGATTAATGCAAATAATGTTTGAAACAGTTTGTGTAAAACACTGGTTTGGAAGAGTAACTAGAAGTACAAAAAAAATAATGAAAACCGAACACAACGAGAGCAAAATATGGCCAGCTCACATGAACCAAAAAAGCAAAACAACGGGACAGGGAAAGACAACATTCACCATTACCACATGTACCCACAATCAGCCAAAATCCAACAGTATCTGTTATTTAGTTATTCATTAATATTTTTTAAGGATTTGGGACCTTACATCTTACTACTAGTTTACACAGGGCTAACTGCTCTAACTTTTAAAGGAAGAGGACACCATTTGCAATATAGAATTGTTTTTGACGATTCAAAGAACTATACAATAAATGTGATGCAGATTATCAAAAATTTAACCTGTCAAAAATTTCAGCTCAGTAGATATTCTTTTTTGAGAAAATTGTGATTAAGCATCTTCACTTTTTTCAACACAAAGAATATGTTTCCGTTGAAAATGCGATGGTTTGGTCCAAACTATCGCCAGGAAATGATGGTAATTTCTATTTTCTCAAAAATGACAGCATATAAGGTGGAGTGATGTCACAGGATGTTTGATCCTATTATTTACTTACAATCATGCAGGACATTTCATATTTTGTCAGTTTCATTTTTGGATGTTTGCAAATATGGAGTCCAGTACCTCAAAGTACACAGAACATGCCACTGATGTAATGCACAATGTTGGATTTTGGAAGATCCACAAACTCAACTTCTTAAAAGCAAAAATGCATAGGAGCCAAAGCTTTTAAAACAATCAAGTTTGCCATAGCAAGCGGTTTGTGTTTATGTAATACCTAATACGGCGTGACGGGGCTACAAGAAAGCACTAGGGTTAGCTCTCGGGTCTTTCTGGTTCCGATATCGAACAGCTAACCACACCCCGATCAGCTGTGAGGAAAGTGGGCGTGGCATAGACGGTGGGATGAAAAGAGAAGAAGAGAGAGACATACAGAGAAAAAAAAAAATAATGAACGGAGGCAGAATACTTGATATGGTTAAGCGTCAATATGGTACAGCAAATATAGACACGATATTACAGGAATGCCAGTGGGTTTTTTGTTCCAGGGCCTGAAGAAAGTTGACGTGGAAGGGGGCAGGCTTGCCCAAAACGATCGCAATACACCATAAACACACTGCAATACCACTAAACACATTGCAATATGTCTGCTTTAAACTTATTTAATTCATACTTTCATGTATCAAGCTAGCATGGCGATTGCAATGGAGCATCGCATGAACAAATGCTTCCTCTGTGCACGAAACACGATTATTTATTTTTCCAGCCTGTGAAGGGATTGAATGCCTAAGTTTGTTTTTTTTACAAACATGAAAAAGCCTGAAGTCAGGATATAGCCTGAAAAATGGAATATCAGATTTACATTTTTGAAGGTCTGGTGAAAAATGGTGATCTTTAAATAAAAAGTTGTCTCTGTTAAACAATTGTTTAGTAGTTTCAATATTATTACTCAGGAAATTGTTATTGGGAGAAACTTTTTTTTTTCAGGAAAGGGGAGAAACATGAATTTTTTTTAAAAACAGCCCAAGCCTGACTACAATGAACTCCATTTGAATGTTAGCTGTCACCGCACAACACCAGTTCAAATGAATGATCTTAATTTTCCATGATGAGTTTAGCGTACCCAATAGAAACAAATTTGTGGTAATATGACGTTGGAAATAATATCAAATACAAGAATACAAACACTGACAGTGTATGGCAAAGGTTGAGTTCCATGTAATTAATGTACAATGGGAAAAGTCTACATACAGGGCAATCAAATTTGGACTTCACTAATGCACAACTCACAAGAGAAAGCCAAAACTTGACTAATTTCTTTTGCCAATGTTTTTTCCCGAGGAGTTCAATGATAAAAAAACCTGAACATGAATGGAGCCATCAAACATGAACTACGAGTGCCAAACTCTTCCAAACCAGTTCGTCTCGTCATGCAAACCTATTCTGCAGTGTTCTGGTCATTGTTGACTTGACATTCCATCAACACACGAGGGCGACATTTAATACATCTAATGGGACACAAAACCCGCATGCCACAAAACGGGGGCAATTCTAATCCACTTTACATGTATCTTAATTATTAATATTTTCCATCTTCCATTTTATCACATCTCATCATGTAATGACCCAGTTTTAAGTACTTCTGTTTAGGTCAAAGAAACAGCGCCCTCTATAAATCATGCGTAAGAACGATGCATCTTATGTGTGCTAGGATGTGCAACCATTAAAAAATAATAAGAATGCGAGGGCGAGGGGGGGGGGGGAAGCAATGTGGTTTTGTTTTAATGTGGAAAGGTTTTCTCATTCTAAGTTTCACATGTTATTGGAGACATGTTTGAAGATGTTATTTTAGAAAGGAGATAGGATGGGGGGATGAGAGGGGGGTCAGTGATGAGCATGGCGAAGCAAACGACCATCGTTCAACAGTTTTTGGGAAGTCAGATTGGCGCAGTGTTTCTTTCCTCATCTTCCGCAACTTATGGCCCGGGTTCGATTCCCGCCTTGGAATTGGGTTCTATTCCCCAGAATTAGCTTGATTTGGTTTTCATCCCACCTCCAAAATTGAACATTTCTTGATTTGTCTGCATTCTGCAGGATTTTTCGGGCATGCAAGTTGCGGTGCCTGTGGTACTTCTGAGGAATTCTTGGTTTCATTTATACCACAACTATATCATAATAATGGTCAATACATGTTTATTGGAATGAAAGCTTTATATTTGAAAAAAAAAAACATTTAAAAGGGTTGGGGGGGGGAGTTCATGAATTCACTACCATGCCCAACAAGCAGCAAGCAATACAACAATCGTCCAACATACCTCTGTAAAACTAAAGAAGAGCCCGACTCCGCCCGAGTAGTGAAGTCCCTGGTAAAACACTGCGTCCAGCTTTGTGTCGCACGGCTCGCAAGAGGAGCAATTCATCTGTTCTTTTCCTTTACAGCATGTTAGCTACGCACAGGCATAATGAATGACAAATTGAATAAAAGAATATATATCATTGTTTATTATTTTTATATAACTAAATATTCAGGTAATTTTTTTTGGCATAATCTACACAAACTTTTATTCCGGAATTTCGCAGTTAACACAACAGAAAAAGTGTGTTGCTGGTGGCATAAATTTACGTAGTCTGTGGAGGGTTGCTTGTCACTGTGCATTGGCTTTTTCCTTCCCTGGGTTTTCCTCCAAGTTCCCACTTTTGGGAGAAACGCAAATGATCCTATACGCCTTTAACCCATTACAAAATGACATTCCCTTTCGCCCAGAACCAAAAAGTATTTAAAGCAACTCAGGTCAACTCAAGTGGTCTTTGATTTTAGACAAGTTAACTCTTCTGCATTGATTTCCACTGGACTTTGGAGATCCATCGCCTAGACTCGGGGCTTTACAACAGGTGTCGCCTACCTTGGCGCAGTCTGGGTGGGTGGTGTCGTTTCCGTTGAACCCACAGCAGTCCAATCCCTTCTGGATGTCGGCCTTGGTTTCCGGGCCGGAGTTGTCCCAGCTAGCCTTGACTAGCTTATTCCGTTGGTCCTTTCCCAGCGCCAGGCAAGCGATGGATACGGAGATCTGAATCAGGAACACCAGGAACAGGATCACCATGTACTGGGGGGAAGGGTTCAGGAAGATACATCTTGCAAAATGACTCCAAATATGCGACTAGGCTTTATGTGTCGCATAGTCTCCGTTTATGACATTATTCATATTCAGTGACTCGGGGAGTCAGCCAGTCAGCCAGTCAGTCAGTGATAAGCACCGTCAATATCGGAATTTTCAATAATCGATTATCGGAAATCTAATATTGAGAATATTCGATACAAATCGATTATCCCGTGTAAACTTTAAAGATCATAAAGATGACACTTTCATAACAACAACAAAATCTTTAAGTCCCAATTTTCATTTGTTCTTCAATTTTTTTTATTTATTTTTTTTTTTTATAATTTTTTTTTTTTTTTTTTTTTTCCCCCTCAGAATTATTCCTGACATCACAGAACGCAAGCGGTAAGAGCATTTGTGATCAGGGAAATAGCTTGGTTGCCAAGGATACAAAGAAGAGGCAGACTTGGTGATGCTTGAGGGCACCGACCAGCCCAATGATGGCCACAGCAAAGAGGAAAATCCCACAGGCGATGATGCCGCCCACGATGTACATGCTGGAGACATAGGCAGCGCTCTTAGCGACCGGCGGCACGATGATGAGAATCAGAGCGACAATCTGAAAGGAAACGATGGGATAAAGAAAAAAAAGAAAAGGCAAGAAGAACATGTCACTTATTGACAACCAAAGATCTTGTCAAATTCCTCTTCTGTTTTTCACGAAGAGGTATTTTTCTTCGAGATTTTGTTGAGAAAAAAAAACGTGGAAAATAATGTTTGCTAATTAGATCTCATCCTAGATTAGATGCCTTTTACACGGGCTAGTCACCAACAGTCAGATCATATTTCAAGCAAGCACCGAGACTAGTCAAATTCAGTCAACAGGCAAAAGCAGGCAAGTGGTAGTAGGCACAGCTGGCTTATCAATCACCTACAGTGAAATCTCTACCAAGTTACATAAACAGTCACAGCCAGTCAATCCTGCTTTCTGTAGGCTGGGAGCTCTTAACTGTTGAAAACAGTCACTTGATTGATTTTGACCGAAAGGACAACTTGGCACAGAATGTTAACGAAGGTCAATTTGATTAATTTTGTGTACAGAAACTCAGCCCCCCACCCCCATGGTCTTGATTACAATGTACATCCTTTCCGATTTGAGCAATTTGTAGGCATGTCAGTTTGTTGCTAAAGCTATCCAACTGTGTTACGCAAACATTCATGTTCTCAATGTGCAAGATGGTCATGTTGAAAAACATCTGTGTAAATAGACAAACTGATCGTATGGACAGACATCAAACATTACACAGTATTTGAACGCATATATTTGCATTAATTCCATATGGGGAGAAAAAAATTAAGAATCATGCATGCACTGATTTTCAATCCTCTCACATAACAGACTACATGCTAATTTTATGAATGTTCATCGTCTCATGTGCACAGTTCTGCAAACAAATACAGGGGTGTGAGTGACCACTGATAAAAATAGCTGAAAACAGCTGAAAAAGGTGTAAAAAAGCTGAACTTACTATACTTTTGTACACAGCAATTGAGGGAAAAAAGCTGAAATCCAGAACAAAAAAAGCTGAAATCAGCTTTAAAGCTGAGATTTCACACCCCTGCAAATACATGTGGCATTTATGAAATCAAACAGAGGCTTGTCTTCCATCTAAGGGATTTTTTGCATTCTGCAAGAAATTGAACAGTGTGTAATTTTTCTAGAAAAAGACTCTACAAAATTTTATAGCATGTGATGGTTGTGTGTGAATACCATGAACGTACATGCATTGGAAAGCATCTGCCAATATTTGTTCCCCATAAATCAAATCGAACAGACGGACAGTTTTGCCACATACTGTGGGTTCAAGCATGGAGGTAGAATTACCGTACATGTACCTCCATGGTTCAAGCAAACCAGAAGACTATTTTCCTTGAGACCTTGGAATTCCTTGCTTTTACTGATTTTAAACTGATTCCTTGCTTTTACTGATTTTTAGGAGGCACAACTTGGATTGAAAACTGAACGAATTCGACTATTTTACATTTTCTGATAAGACTGGAAGTGTATAAACCAAATAAACTACAATGAAATGAAATGTGCTAAGTCTTAAAATTAAGGAAAATTCAGCCATAGCACATTTCAGTCAATTATAATTTCAATTTGCATGATTTACAAGGCCATCACACGATATCTGTAAATAGGGTAATTTACCCGCCTGATTACATGCAACCACCCATAGTTATAGATTCATTGTTTTGTTAATATGTTACGGGGGGAAAAATGGACAAACGGCACAATCACATGGCAACGCTGGCAATTTTTATACAGAGGTCTTGAATCATGGCATGACATGATGGTGGGGTACGTGTGGCCGCTCTTGTCTCGTAAGCCCGAGCATCAAAACAAACGCTTGGTTTGATTAGATTGGCGGTCAATGATCAACCAATATGCGCGTTGTGGGGCAGGAGTCAGTGTCGCGCTACTGTGGCCGTGTACTATGTACGTGTGCAGTACACTAACATGAACCTTGCAAGCGTGTTTACATATGGTAAACATGCAAACGGTTGGAGAAATTAAGAAATGGGACAAAAAGGCTTGCCAATATTAACCACGGAATTCTAATGACTTCGTCTGCTGAGATCACCGAATCAGCTAGTGAAGATCACAGCAATTGTGAAACACACTCACCTCCAAGATGCATAATTTATATATTAACATCTTGACGGTTGAATTTTGCAGGTTTTTTATATGCAAATCACAAAAATTGAGCTGAAAGTATCAGAATTTTTGCCTGTATATATGTACAGCGTAAAAAGAAAGGAATGCCATTCTTGTACACAAATTTACGTTCATTTTTTTGCTAAGAAATTTGCTTCCTTCTGTTAAGCAATTTACATAAAATTGAGCCCATATAGACCATATGCGTAGCAGCCATCTTAGAGCGCAATGCCTTTGTTTAGCAGGAATATGCATGAGTGAACTTCTTATGCATATATTGATATGGGAATAAAATGACAAAAGTTGCCCGCCAAGATGGCCGCTACGTATAAGGTTCATTGTCTAACCCTAACCACCAACATAGGCCCTTTTGGCTGGAAATCATCCTCAATCCTGCAAAATCCTCTAATTGTCACTATGTTAAAATTGAATTCAGCCTTAATTAATTAATCCAAAAAACAAAAAAATAACCCTTTATTTCTTGAATTTGTTCAGGAGGTGTGACCACTGCCTCAATCATTCAAAATCCTCCAACAATCACTTTTGCTACATTGAGCAACTTCCAACTATATCTAGAACTTAGAAGCAGCGTGGATGGTATCCAAGATAATGTGGGCCTCTATTATGCATGGCTGAACATATTCAATTACTCCAGAGTACAGCCTAAGACCTTGACACAATTCATCCTCCAAAATCATCTGATATTTTCTTGCCGTTCAGCCTCAATACTAAAAAAAAACCTGTCCGATTGATTTTGGAGGATTGAGGAGGGTTAGGGCTAATGATAAACAAGACCATAAAGTGCAAAACAGATTTAGATGCCTAACGGTAACTCACGAAGGCATGGGAGGCTACCAAGTCTTATTGAAGAAGGCCCCTTAGGCTCAATGTGTGTGGGGACACTGATCAGCGTCCTAGATTTCTGAACAGTTGCGAATGCCTCGTTTTGAAAATTTAATAAAGTAAACTTCCCTGAAGCATTGTTTTCGGGAAGCTTTTCCCCCTTTTATCTGCCCATGTATCAGTATTGTAGAGTGTCCCTACAGTTTCCATGCTCCATGAGTAAACAAAAAAATGTATTTCCTAAGTTAAAAAAAAAAATCAGCTGCTCCAAATTCCTTTTCAACCAGTGCAGTTAGAGATCTCGCACTTTAATAGTTAATTCACAAAAAATTGTATATTTTTTATAATACATCATATATTATGTAGATTGTATCTGAGCATAACTGAATGTATGAATTTTCTCATATGGTTGGTACTACAAAGGCCAAAAAAAAATAGTCCTGCTTCCGATTACATGGTATTTGAAAATAGGGTAGGTAGGTAGGTAAATTTATTTTTTGCCAATTTTTTTTTGTGTACGATCACATGGAGGCGTCTGCGTATAGTCAAGGGTAAAAGGTAGAAATTGATGGTTTTAAGGGTTTTTTTTCTCATTTTTTCCATAAAAAAATTAGGGTAGGGGCTGTCAGAATAGGGTAGGTAGGGAAACCAGAAGCAGAACTATTATTTTTTTTTTGGCCTAACCACTTTGTGGGCAGGCATGTAAATACTTTGAATGCACTTTTTCTTCAAAACCAAACACACAAACAAACCTCTCTCCCACCCCTACCCCAAACAACAACAACAATACTGTCTCCTGAGTCCTGACAAAGGGCAAAGCATACTCAAATGTCTAGTTTTCCTCCATTTTTTTTTCAGGATCACACAAACTCACAAAAGAGATTTCAGAAAAAACGTGTCATTTTTTTTCAAATACTGGCTGTCGGGTCAGATGAGCAGCGCCAGCGAACCTATACCTTTCCCATTGGTAAATGTTGACATACGTACATGTATGGCAGGCTCTATCGTGCAACAAACAGTGCATAGACGTGGATTGTTGTCTGCTATGCCACATGTACATGTTACCATACCAGCAAATCTTCATGGATTTGCATTGCTGTCGTGTAAACCCCATTTTTTTCCCCATTTGAAATTAGCTGATGCACATGGACATAGAATTGAAGAAATTTTTGGTACACCATACAATACGGTTCGCTTGTTAAGAAAATAGACTGTGGAGATTTTTTTTTTTAAGGGTTCTGCCACTGCACAGCTGTATAGTGCATCTAATCATGGAGGCAGAAAACACATGTATAATAATGGTAGATAAACAATATACATGTTCAAAAATGCACATTATGAAATCACGATCAATTCTGCAGTATTATTGCGATATCCCATTTATCCATATGTTCCCTGTACAGACAATAGACCGTCCACGTGTCGATGACAATAGTGCTTCATTTAAACATTGTGTGTGCATGCATAATGGGCCAAAGGTTACATGTATGCACACTGCATGACTAATGAACAACTGTGGGGGGTATGATGTCATCAGTGGGATGAGGATTAGACTTGTCAAAGTCCTTCAAGCATTACCACAGCAGAGTATGTAGCCTTGACCAAGGCGTTGCGGGCTTATCGATTCGCCGATAAAAAAAAAATCGCCGATAACAAAATCCCTAATCAACTTGGCAAGGCATAATTGCGTGCACATATCGATGCCCGTACGCTGCTAGTGAGAAAGTAACTTGTACCATACAGCAAGGCTATGCTTGTACATGTACATGTACGTACGCACGTACATCACTGTATTCACACACGTACTCGTACAACAGCCATGCACACACAGTACATGTACATGTACATGTACATGTACAAGTACATGTACATGCATGAGCTAGTCCGCGTAACCCAACGCCTTGATGGTTTTGAGTTGACCCAGCAAAACCTATTACGGTAATGAGGTACCACCCCCGCGTATATACTGAATTCTCATTGGTCAGCCCGCGATAGGCTAACAAACACGTCGCATCCGCGAAGAAACGCTGCAATGGCGGCCCGTTGCTGTGGGTGAA